CCTTGCAAAAAGCAATGAATAGCTCCAGTAGGTTAATGTACTTTCCCCGGTCGTTCTCCTCTTCATTCACCCAAGATATGAACTCCTGGGAGCTGACCTAACTAGTGGGTCATCCCAAAGTCCCAGCTAAACAGTCAGCCTTACTTCAAATGTAATATACAGCTTAGAAGATAAAACCTGCAAAAGGACAGGGTAATTCTTTCTTGTAATGAACTTGAGAGTGGCAAGATGGCTCCTCTTTGTTGCGGTTGTAGCTCTGGGGAAGCATATTTTGAAGCAGTAGAACTGTTGGAAGGTAAAACTTCTCTTGAAGTCATAGTATGTCTGATCATCCAAGTTGATTCCTGTGGAGCACACACTATGCTTTTCATAAACCTCGCAGTTAACACCAAAATGGACAGGGCAGAAATTCTATAACTTCCTCATGTACTTGTCAGGGGGTAAAGTGCAGTCCAATTGACTAGGAAGACCTGCAGTGACTCTGGTGCTTCTGGTGGACCAAGATGGGGCAGAGGCTGGAAGTGATGAGGGAGGGTCTGGCACCTCCAATACCTTGGATGCCATCGGTTGAGAAAAATCAACAGTGCATCAGCACTGTATGGAAAAGCATGAAGAAATTGCATCACCGAGTGGTGAGCTGGCCAAACATTGCCCAAAAGGTTAACTGCCAATCAAAGACGGTGTGGTGTGTGAGCAGCCTCTGTGGTGTCAAGCGCTCTCTCCATTTGAGAAGTTACTTCATGAACCTTTCCAAATAGTGCATCACCATCACATGGAGATGTTGGGAGGAAGGCGGTGCAGAAGCTCACTGCACTTTTTAATGTCCGGGTTCATTCTGATCTTTCCGTTAGTCTATTCATTTCCTTTTCATTTTCATTTTCATTTAACTTGTTCCCTTTGTTCCATTTAATATCCGGCTCCATTCTTGATCGTCTGCAGTAGTTTCATGTCCGTTAGTACATTTCTGACATAGCCCTATGTTCCAAAGACTGCGCTTCGGCCGGATATCTATCGGGTACACTACAGTATATAAACCTTCTGTAACCCATAGTATTTCCTTAGTTTGAATATCATCTTAGACTCAGTTCATTCCTCGTGTTCCCTCGGCTCTTAGGATTGTCATCCTAGTCCAACCCTCCGAGCCTTGGGATTATATCTCTAAGGCTAAATCCCTCCGCCTCTACCTTCAGGTAGTCCGTATCTTGTTAGTTTCTACCCGGACATAGTCTTGGGTAGTCTTACCCCTCTCATCCGGCCTAACCATACCGCCTCGGCCGATGATATCCATCTCCCATAAATTAGGGGCATGTACTCGGGTAAAGGGTGCAGTGCACGAGCTGAAGCCAAGCCCCTCCGGTCCGACCCGTTGAACACAGTCTTTAACACAGTCTAATAACTATGGCTACTAGACATATCAATATTCACAATCTGTATTCAGCATTTGTAGTATCTTGCATATACTAATATCATCTCAGTCACTGTTTGTACAACAGAAAATAAAAAAATATGCTTCTATGTGTTTATTTCTAGATAGACATAATTCCTAGTATTTATTTAGCAGCAGGAACAATATATCAGAAGTTTTGGATTATAGGACAAGACCATATTCTCCCTTTCCTAATGGTACACTTTCTGTAAAACATGATTTTTAGAACTAGAGGAGAATATGAGGTCTATTTCTGTGTATATTTATAGTAGATATATTATATAGCTAGCCCAGGACACTGACAGGATCCTGGATTTAAATAAAATAAATAACTTCGAATGAGTTGGAGGAAAGGAAAGGGGGGGGGGGATTGTTTAAAAGTAGAAAGAGGACTCACTATGTCTGCGATCTGACCTTCTGTACCCCATTCTGTGGGGAAATCATCTAAGTCCGGAAAACTGTCAACAGAACAGCCACCTGCATTGTAATAGGACAAATCCCTGGTGAACCGATACATGTCACCAAAGGATCCAGATGCATATGGATATCCATGCTTCAACTTCTCAGAAAATTGAGATGTGAAGTCACTGGGGATATCACTGCAAAACATGATGAAGGATCAAGACAATGATTATGGGAGAAGACTCACTCTTTGGGCATGGGTCCCATCATGGGTAGGGTGAATGTGCAGGATGTAAGGTCGTGACTAGGAAGGTGGAAGGTCCAGGAAGTGAAGTAGGCTGGTAGTCAAGTTGATGCAAGGTGCTTATTGGCAGCCAGCTGGCAGGTGTTACAATCTGTCAAAATACATCAACAGCATGATTTTGAATTGGTTCCATCATCTTTGATTCTGCAGATAGAGCAGATGTGAATAATGTCGGCTAAGTGTCATCTGTCCAGACTTATCTATAATGTCAATCATTATCGAGTGACATCAAAGAGACTCACAGGTAAGAACTTTTGTGTATTAGTGGGCAGCTTCCTCATTACCTAACTGAACCTCCCTGAACTCTGGGCCCTCCAAACTTTGTCTCACCCAAGATGTGAAAATCAGGTGATGAGTGACTCAACATGCTGTTCGCAAACTTGCATACAGAGAACAAGATTGCATGGAACTTGAACATTTAATGAAGAGATCATCCGGCAGTAGCATAAGGTGCTGCAGCAGTTCACATTGAAAAGGTTGAAGGACAAGGTGATTATATAAGTCTGTGTTGGCCAAAGAAAATTGCTTATTGTGTAATTTAGCACAAGATCACGAGATAGTGCCTGATCGATGCATCGGGTATATTGATAGTATGTACTATAGGAGGAGAGCTTAATCATACAGCTCAACTCCTAGTGTAGCATAGTATGTAGAAAATCAGGATCATGTAGTGAATACAATACAATTGGTGTTGATGGCGCGTGTCAGTGTGTGCTGCTACTAGTACAATGATGATATATGCAATCTTTGAGGTGTTTATACCTAGAAGTGTACTTGTCAAAGTAAGGTTTGAATAAAGATTATAGCACTCATGCGAAGCATTGATCTCATCTTATTAACAGCATGGAGAACTATGTTCTTGATCATTACAAGACAGTGTTAAGACCGTGTTCAACGGGTCGGACCGGAGGGGCTTAGCTTCAGCTCGTGCGCTGCGCTCTTTACCCGAGTACGTGCCCCTAATTTACGGGGGGTAGATATCGTCGGCCGAGGGGTATGGACAGGCCGGATGAAAGAGGGAAGGCTACCCGAGACTTTGTCCGGGTAGAAACTAACAAGGGACGGACTACCCAAAGGTAGAGGCGGAGGGGTTTAGCCTTGGGGATATAATCCTGAGGCTCGGAGGGTCGGACTAGGATGACAATCCTAAGAGCCGAGGGAACACAAGGAATGAACTGAGTCTAAGATGATATTCAAACTGAGGAAATACTACGGGTTACAGAGGGTTTATATACTGTAAGGTATCCGACGGGTATCTGGCCGAAGTGCAGTCCTCAGAACATAAGGCTATGTAGAAAATGCACTAGTGAATAAAACATACTGCGGACGATCGAGAGTGGAGCCGGATATGAACTGGAAACAAAGGGAATGAGTTAAATGAAAAGGAAATGAATAGACTAACAGAAGGATCAGAATGGACCTGGATATTAAATGTCAGAAGGATCCGGACACATAGGGGCAGAAAGAAGCATGTACAAATGGGGACTCAGGGGGAATAAATTCTAGACCGGGCCCGAGGTAACGGGTGGACCAGACCGGATGAGAAGGTTCAGGTATGGGATATGACAGACGGCTGGTGGACCAGGCATCACTATGACTGATCATTTGGGTCGCTGGATACATAAGCATAAGCCCTTGGCAGTGATGCCCCTAACAGGCTTACTGAATCTAATCACACTTCAACTTGGCTCTGTTAAACTGTGAATATGCACTTCAATGTCACTGATCATAGAAACTTACCAGCACCTTTCTCCCCTTTGTGGGAACTGGTCCAATTGTAGTTGATTGGATTACACAGGTCATCTGATGATATTTACTGTTACATGGTGACAGTGAATGACGCGCGGAGAATTAACTTGCTGTAATATCACCCAAAGTAGTAGTGGTGTTGTGTGATTGTATCGGAATCAGTTAAGTTTCTGGTGTATCACAACAAACAAGGATAAACATTTTCGGACTTTCAAAATTATGTTCAGAACTTGTGTCACGACTTCAACGTCAAAGTTGTCGTTTGCAGGTTGAGGTCATCTGGCCTTGCACTGGAGCTTCTGTTCTAAAATACTTGTGTTCAACCTTGTGCGGTGAAGGCTTTCTGGCCTTTGAGCTCAGGATATCCTTGCTCCCACCCATATTGACTTGAGGGTTGAGACCACCCGGCCCCACAGGAGCTTCTACTCCGTAAACCCTCCTGCTGCCAATAGAATTTCATGGGTAAAGGTCATCTGGCCTTGCACTGGAGCTTCTGCCCCTGAGACTCATGTCTGACTGGGCGCAATAGTGGCCATCCTTAATGCTTGGAAGCATATTGTTTCTCCTTGTTGTACATTGGAAATGCCTATTACTAGTCATCAATGAAATTATTCTCCATCTCGCCACTCCTCAAGATAGGACAAGAACCATATCTTCAATCAAGGTCCACCATGGAAGCATGAAACATTGACTTCCTGCATGGCTCTTTGCGAATGTACGGAGGTGAATACCACATTAGGAAGGCCGGGGTGAGTGGAGTCCATTGCATACATTACAATGGGTAAAACATCACTCATATTTCTTAGCCAGTTGTCATTCACAGACATTTTTGGCTCCAATGCTTTGGGGTTGATAGGTAGGATATTTGCACTCCTGAACGTAGATAAGTGCATGACACATATTGATCATAAAAAGAATACTGACATGATGAAAGGCAACTTCCTCATCATCTCATGGAATTGAGGGAACTGGTATTCATTGGCATAAATTTTCCCAATAATGCCCTAATAATCTGGTTTATGGCAGATAGCTTGTGCCCTGGAGTTTTATCTGGGAGCCAGATATGAAGCACGTGGTATATCTGGTACAACAACACTTTTGTTATTTATATTGGTAACAATGAAGCCAAACTCACCACAGTCAGCAAAGTCACAACTAGACCTGAACCCAATAGGCCATCCCCACCTTGGATTTCTTCCGGGAACAGATACAAGCTCCTGCACCATTGCAGGATCTGTTTTACAATTCCATGGACCAGCAGCCTCTTGGATGCAGCAACCCTCCCCTGATTTCGGCATTATGGACCCTGATGCTTTCACAGCTGGGTTGCTGGGAGACCCAGCTCTAGGCATAGTTGAAGTGGGTGACAAGTCTCTGTGGGGTGCACCATCTGCACCTAACGCACAAGTGCACCTTGCACCTCCACCTACACAAACCACTTTTCATTTTCCCAGTCCACCCAGTCAATCTATAACTCATGGTGAATAAGTGGCCATGGACAATGAGCCATGGGACTCAGACCAAATGGAAGGAAAAAGATGCTGGAATGGGTGCAGTCTACTCTACTGACATTCACTATATGTATCTATCTAGGTGCCTCGAGGCCCAGGCAAGACCCCTGGCCAAATTCTACTGACACAATGGGTGTTCGCTAGACCCTGCTGGCCAACCCTCTTCTGGTCTCACACAGGAATTTTCTGGGCAGAGCTTGGCATTCACCCTACGTCCTGTACCATACTTACCAGGTCAAGACCATGTACTGCCTCCTCTCCCAGCCACAAAGATCATTCCACCCACTCCACTCAAGGATGGTGGCAGTAGTCCCAATCACACTTTAGTGAACACCACTAATGCTCCTCCTCCTACTTCAACAAGAGATCCCAGTCCCATGTTAGTCTCAGGGTACTATAATTCTGCTGCGACCTCCTGCACTCGATTCCCCGAAGAGAATGAGCCAGTCACCCACCATGAGGAACATGTTGTGACTGGTCGCAGATCAGATGATATGAATACAGCACTCAAGGCCAGCTTTGGAGAGATCAAACATTGCTTCCTCAAACATTCAACATCCACCACTCTCTCCATGAATCAGCTAATCAATTTATTCCTGAAGAGTCGAGGACGCGCTGTAAATGGCACAAATTATTGGAATCTGTATGCCAATTATTTCAAGAACCATGTGCAGCAGGAGCTTGTGTGCATTAGCAGAGGTGCCTGAAGGTGGCAGCACACCTATTAAGTACATACAACAGTACAGCATGATACTTAATATTCATTTCCCTCACAGGTGCAACCGTATGCAGACACTGCCATGAGAAATTCAAGATGGCCTTTCCTGATATGTATCAAGACATCCTATCGAGGCACAAAGAGGCATCTCTCCTCGGCTCGTCACCCCAAACTATATAGCCCAGCGTGCATAAGCATTTTAAAAACACTACCGCAGTGTGTCAAGCCTTGTACGTACTCTCAGCAGAAGGTGTGGCATTGGCTAATGTCTCTTTGGGTAGCTCGAGTCTGGCTCCACTAGGTTTGGATTTGAAGTGGCCATTGTGCTATGTGGTAAAGTCATCAATGAAGACAGATCACTCGGTCATTCCTACAACACACCCAGTGCTGCGGGGGTAAGTCATTTGCCATTTAAATGATAACTTGTACTCAGCAAGTAAGAGTTTTGGGAGATGCCATGCCGTGCCAGCAATGATGTGATTATCGGCCATCTAAAAGCCCACATATAGTAAGCCAAAGTCTCTGTTTCATAATAATGCTACATGGTTACTTATGTGATCCCAACCAGTAATGTTACATCCCTTTCCGTGGTTGAAGAAGCATTTCCGGACATCAATGATGATAACCGTCACAATCCGACATCAAGCCTAAACAATGACATAGACTAGTGTTCTAATGTTGTGGAGGAGTGACAAGACAACAGCTTGAAGTGGCTTAAGAATGAAATTGACCGACAAGTCGGTATGTTTCATTGTTGTCACTCTGAGACATCTTCATTTCAACTAATGTACCCTGTGTCGCACCAGTCAACCTTGGCGGTGGATAGGGCTGGGGCCTCGACACTTGGTGCACGACAGATGGATGGATGAGTGATGCTACAACACGTGAGAACTCTACTCTAAGTGTCTGCTAAGATCCCAAAAACCCCTGCCTGCCTAAACCAGAACTGACCCCTGACGCCCCAACACCCTACTACAGCAGCAAGAAATTTGGAAGGATTTTCCCTTAAAAGCTCATGCCAGCGGCGCTTGTAGAAGCCAACCTCTGTATCAAAGGTTATCCCACGCACAAGCACACAGCAAACTTAGGGTGAACAAAGGCATCAGAGCACTGACACAGACAGAAATTGGCGCACTGGTTGATTTTCTGAAGGCAGGTACTATGGTCATCGCCCAATTTGCCAACAAGGATTGAGGTACATATAAACTACATTACAGTAAAAATGTCATACTTACATTAGGTATAGTGGGTGTCATTGCTTCTCAGATACCTGTCAATGAAGGTGAAGTTCCTCCACCTGAATGGCCACATCCTGGTGCCCAACGAATGTTCATTGATGGCCACACCAATTATGATGATCTTCCTTGCCTCAAGCCCAGCACTGCAACCGCAAAAGTCAAGAAGAGTGTCAAAGCTCCCAAGTCCCCTTCACCATCCTCTGAGTCTGAATTGGATGACAACGAGCCAGCTGAAACCTCAGTGCCCAAACCCCTACCTTGAGTGATCGCCCAAAAGCCCAACATGCATCTCAAAGGTGCTCCTCCACCTCCACCCTTGCACCCTTTCAAGGTTGTTGCCAAGCTGATTGCAACTACAAGCGAGGTTATTGAACTTACATCCGTTGATGATAACCTCTCGGAAGAGCCTGGCACAGAGTACGAAGAAGTGGAGCATGGAAAGAAGAGGAAGATCAAGTCTGCCAACACCTTGTGTGCATCAAAGAAGATTGCCCCATCCACAAAGAAGACTAACACTTCGAAAGCAGGGAAGAAAGGGGTGCTGGGCAAGAATGCAGAATCCAAGTCCAAGTCTAAGGTGCTGTCAATGACTTCTCCCACAAAGGGCGGACCACTGTCCCCATTGACAGTGGAATCATCCAGTGATGGTCTCCCATCACCAGAACATGGTGAGTACCATTCACTTCCAACTTAATGTTTGTTTGATGCCATTTAATAGGTCAAGCAATGCACCTTCGAGATGGGTCTTCTGAGGTCCCCAAGAAGGGTGCATTTTTTGACTTATTTCATTCATTCATAATTTACTTTACCATTGAATGTGGTGGCCCCCACTATTCCCAACCAGCAGCCTCCTTGTGGTGTCCCTCGTGCCCACACTCCTCATGGGAATGAGGACAAGCCTCCCCACTCTCGCGACAACAATGGCCCTCGTGATGGCCCTCTCCATGACACTTGCGACCCTCTCCAAGATGATGATACTTGCATTTGTGATGACCCTCAAGGCAGTCGTCAGCCTCCACGCAACTTTCTCATTCATAAACAACCCTCCTCACCACCCTTTCCATGACCCTCAAGGTGGTCATCAGCCTCCCCATGACCCTTAATATTATGACGACACTTGAGGTGTCATTTGTAACCATCATGATGTTTTACACGACCCTCGTAACACTGCCCACTGTGACCCTCACGATGCCCTTTGTGATCATGGGGATCCTACTCAGCATGATACTTATTACCCTCTCTGTGGCAATTCTCATGAGGCTCTACACCCACATGACCCTCATCACACTTGTGGGTACTCTCATGAAGCTGCACGTATCCACAACTGTGACACACTCCACCCCCGCGCACCTGGGATGCCCTATTAATAAGCCTTATTATACTGGGTAGTTACGTGTCTCACCAACTTTAATTAGGCTTGGATCCGTTAAATCTCAACACCAGCATTAAATAGTGCTCCAGCTCCTCCCAAATACCTTCAATAAATACTGTATCTACCTCACTATGGTAGGGGTGGGTGCACGGGCCTATTTGGCAGGTATCCCGCCTGGCATTAATTGCGTCATCTGTTTATTTTAATCTGGCACCTTCCACAGCGGCCTGCTACACTTCCCAATTTGAACCAAACAGCTTCCCACACTTCCCATCTCTCCTCCTCATTGTGCCCATTGTCGTGCTCATCGTCCCTGGTATTCCCCTCCTCCTCATCATCCCTGGTGTTCTCTTTCTCCTCATTGTCCCTGGCATTCCTCTCCTCCTCATTGTCCCTGGTGTTCCTTTTCTCCTCATCTTCCCTCTCGCTGCCTCCCTGTTGCTGCCTCCCTCTTTCTGCCTTCATTGTCCCTGGTGTTCCCCTCCTCCTCATCGTCCCTCTTGCTGCCTCCCCCTTCTGCCTCCCTCTTGCTGCCTCCCTTGTTCCATCACCTTCCCTATACCCTCACCCTCCATCTTGTCACGCTGCTGCCCCAAGCCAGCCAATGCCTCACACCTCAGGCATTGGGAGGGTCAAAGGGCTCTCCAAATCTGTCATATCCCACAAATTTAGAGGGCGCCACTGCTGTTCGAAGTCCTGATGGCTGGTAAACAACGACCAATACTCGATGTGTGTATTTTCATTCTTTTGTTACAGTCCTGCCTATGGTTAATAATGTAGTGCTGCACCAGAGATGGACCACACCCTGCACCCTCCCCTAAATTATTGATACTTGCAGTCCTCAACAGTTACTAGAGTCTCCCTTCGCTTGTTCAGGCTTCATGATAGTGGGTCATACACCCGAGATTGCATTGGCGCTGTGCTGCTGTAGATAGTGTTTAAAGTCCGGTTGCAGGACCAAAAAAAGACTGCAACCGGACCAAAACCGGACCAAAAAAGACCGGACCTTGGTTGCCAGTTGCCTCAGATCCAGGAAAGTCCAGTTGCAGTTGCCTAACTTTGCAAAAATGAAAGACCAGTAAAAGACTGGTCTCAACCAGTCCATTGTGGGACCGGTTGCCTATAAATGGGTAGTGCTCATTTAGGCGATTCTATCGGTGGTCTGATCTTCAAAATTGGTTGAGATTTGGGAAAGTTACAAGCATTTTAAGAATGGCTCGTATAAATCTGTGGGGCGTGTTTTTTGGCTTGTTGGCACTGAACCAGGGATTTATTTCCAAGCTTAAAAACCTTTACCAGTGTGTTCGTAGACCTCAGAAATGGTATGGAACATCAAATTTAGATAACTCTTGATGATTATCATGCTCCAAGACTAGCACAAAGATCAGACGTGTTAGAACGGCAAGTCAAATCAGTCAAAATCACCAATTGGCTCATAATGTACGCAAAACTTGAGTGCTTGACAAGATATGAGTAGCTATAGACTTGCCTAGACTAGGACTACAATTACCATTGAGACACCTAAGCCTTACAACAACTTTTATTTTTCAAAGACGAGCCTGATAACGATTTTTTTGCCAAGCTTATATCTTGCTTATATCTTACTCTATTGACAAGATAAGACTAGCTATAGTGTCGCCTTGACTAGCAGCACATATTTCGTCAAGACACCTAAGCCTTATAACAACTTTTATTTTTCAAAGACAAGCCTGATAACGATTTTTTGTCAAGCTTATATCAATCTTATATCTTACCCTATTGAAAAGTTAAGACTAGCTATACAATTGCCTTGACTAGCAGCACATATTTTGTCAAGAAACTTAAGCATAGTAATGACATTTCATATTTGACTCACATGCAGGGCGGAGTTTGGGAACCCTTTTTTATAATGCTCACATCTTGCTCAGATCTTAACCGTTTACTACAAAAATTAGACCGTTGGAATCGTGGGAAGGAGTACAACTGGTCTTAGACAGGTTTTAGACAGGTTGCAACCGGAACCGGTCTAAAACCGGTTGTAAGACTGCAAGAGACTGAAAATATCAGTCTTTTGAGGTCCAGTCCAAGGTTGCCTGATATTGTGGGAATCAGGCAACTGGTCCTGGTCCGGTTGCCTCCAAATAAGGCAAAAGACCGGACCCAACCGGACTTTTAAACTCTAGCTGTAGATGGGTGGTGGCTTATTTTTAGACATTAATTTTATCAAACTACCATGTCATTCCACTTTGTCAAAATCAAATTAAGTCTTTCACTACTACAGAATAAATTATGTTATGGCGTGGGAGTAATGAAATCTGTGCCTGCGAGAGCATGACCACCGAAAAGCTCATCAAGGTGTGCCAAGGCAGCATCACAGTCAAAAGGAAACATGTTATACATGTCTGGGGTGTTGGAAAATCAGGCCCAGGCCCAGGTGGATTGAAAATGTCAGTGTTAGACTGGGTGGTGATGAAGTCAGTGCCAAACTCGCTAATTACTGGGATACTGCTTGAAGTGGATGCAATGGTTGAGTCTGGGGCATTGACATGGGGTGCTGGGGTGCTGCTTGAAGGGGATATGACCATTGAGTCCAATACTGTTGGCTCTCTGCCTGAAGCAGTGGATGGGTCTAGTGTCTGTTCTTGACTGCGGGTATCTTCATCATCACTGGACTTGACAGTCTCTGCACTCCTGTACTTCTTGCGACGTCTGGCATTGATGTTGTCGGCTGTCGCAGGTCGTACTCACTTCTTACCCTTGTCAGACTGTGTCCTTCGGCGAGACTCAATAACTTCGCCACTGTTGATTTTTTCATCGCGCTCACGACGGAGTTGCACAAGTTCCTCGTCATCCAAGACTTTCCATGTTGTAGTGACCATCTTCCAACAGTCTAAAAGAAATTGAAGGTCTGGAAGGGAGCTGGACATATTGCTGAGGTTTGTGAATGGAATGTGCTCTGGCCATCCTTTGATGGCGACCTGATAAGGGTTGACCACGTTGCGAAAGTAATCTGCCCACTGCATCTTGGCTTTGCTTTTGCCGGTCACCTCCCCTATTAATAAAGTAAAATAAAATGTGTGCCATCGAGCGAAAGGAAAGGACTTACTCAATTTCTGGGTGATGATTGCTCGAATTTCTCCTCGAAGATTTGAGGTGCGTTTTTGGTGATTGTTTGCGGTGCCTAGTACAAATATAAATTAATTTAACTTGAGAGGATGATAGTAACAGAAAATTGAACCTTGTATCCCTTGGACAGCAAACCCCTCCATTTTGCTAACAAAGTCCTGCGTGTCAATGCCCATGATGGAGTCCATAAAGGTGTCATGAAGGTGATTGCGCGGAGGGGCAGATCAGTGGTACCACGTGTCATGTACAACATAATCTCAGCACCGGTGCGAGAGTTCAGGCTATTGAGCTAGTAATGACACACACTTAGCAAACATTATATTGCAATTTGAGTGTGCATACCTCATTTTCAACCACCTTGAGGGTTTGTGTTATGTTGTTAATCTTGGACCTTGTTGAGACACATACCCCAGAGATCTTGGTCTCCTTCTTGTCGGCAAATTCCTGGAGCAACTCTTCTTGTTCTTCCTGTGTGAGAGCATGGTATTTGTCCTTATGTTCACAGACCAGTGACTGGAGTGCTTCCTTTCCGTGGACATTGCCTGTTAATTCAACACAAGGTCACGAAAAGGTATAAGATAAAAATCAGCAAACTTACAGTTTTCTTTCTTGGCCTCCTGAGATTTTTTCCAGCAAAATGTGTTCCAAATGCTGAGCTTTGAATGCTTTGAACAGAGTAATCCCTGACCCATGTGCAAGTCATGCTGTACACGACGGAAGCTCTTGTGATGGGTGGTAGCCATGGTCGTCGTAACATCGTCAATTTGGCTCCATGCAGCATCAAGCACATCCTTGAATTGACGCAACTTCTCGGCTCGCTGAAACTTGAGTGCCACGCGAGCCTCTTTACTGAGGGTTACTTTGGGGCGACTACGAGGTTGTGCTTGAGTACGTCTTGCATGCTTTGCAGCATAGAATGACTGGGAGACCATTGTCCACAGAGGGACGGCAAAAGTCAGCGAAGGGCTTTTGTAGTTGAACTCAAATATTTAAACACACCAATAATGCATTTATTTTTTCTAACCCACGGTGGAGAAACAGGACATGCGGCTCATAACGAAAACTCAAAGGGGAACAGTGATCTACAGCAAAAATAATGAGACGAAAAAAAGTATAGGCCACATAAGAAAATTAGTATACCAATAAACTTCAGGACAACCGATAGAACAGATGATGGCTGCTATAGTCGTTCGATCAAGTTAGTATAATAACAGCAGGTAACATAAGTATCACCGACCTTTACAACATCAGGGCTGGGTGGCGTGCCCTGAAGGTCAACCAGCAATGCCTGAGACAGAATGGAAGCATGTTTATACGAGATATCCCATTTCGGGGACCTCAACACTGCCTCCCATCGGCTGCTACAGACTGTTTGAACTAGAACACGGAGCTTGGGTAAGATTTTGTCCCCCAACTTAATCTGATCCATAGCAACATCAGTGTTCGGTCCAATACTAATGAGCGGCATTCCACCAGCATAAAATGCAGTGTCCTGCTCCAATTTCGGTACCGAAAAAATCGGGCCTTCACCAATCACCTTGCCGGGCATGAAAGTATCCGCATGCCTACGTCGATGAACCTGTGCATGGGGTGTGGTCGGCAGTGGTGAAAATTTCTTGCCAAGGCCTGCACCCATCTCTGCACCTCCACGGATAGCTGCAGATGGAGAATCATGTGTTGTGGTCGTTTGCAACTCATTCGTGAAGGTGCTGGCAGGTTGGGCAGAACATTTGATATGTGCGCCAGTGGCCACCACTGGGCCAGGTAGATACTGTGGGCCCTTGACACAAATATGAGCTGCAGCAACTGTTGGATTAAGTTAGGCATGTGAACAGTGAAACCAAACACGAACTACCGCTTACAGTGTTGTGGTGGTTGTATGTTCTCGACGATGCAGCATTGGTTGAACCGCTTATGATGCGGCATTGCAAACTCTTGGGCAAATACCTGCACCCATACAGCAAGGTCTCCACCAATTCGCTTGGGTGTTTCTTGTAGTTTGCTCGGTGTGACATAGAGGTCAATGGGGAGATTTTCGGGTGAAGTGACTGCTTCAGACCCAGCACATCAAACAAGGACTGAGATTCCGCCATCAAGGCGGTCTAGCATACTCAGCTGGGAAATGAGCGAGACTTGAGTAAGACGTGGACACCAACATAAATGACTTACTGCATTGAAGACATCTTGCAGCGATGCCTCAAGCAGTTCCTCGTGGGTAAGAGATCTTTCAGCAGTTTGTTTAGCAGTGCCGCTAAAACCAAAATATGATGGGTGAAGGCCACCAGGCTGTCTAGCCTGATAATGTGTCCCATCAATACGAACATCATGCCTCAGTAAAGCCCTAGCGGCCACTTGATGTTCATTATTGCTGAACCCTTGAGCAAATGTTGAAGTGTGCAAAGTTGCAATACTGGGGATGGTGAATTTCATAGTGGCTTGTCCTGTGGTTTGACTTGGAAGGTGAATGGAAGCAGTAGACACAGCGGACTTGGGGTTTATTGGGGTGACCATGGTGGAACTAGTGAGGTCTGTAGTTGTGTAGGAGGGTTAAAAGCAAAGTTAAGCGCCAGAACGTAAGATGTAATGATAACGCTCACCATTGTGGGCTGTGCAATTCTGGAATGAGTCCCAGAACAAATCAAGCACCAGAAAGCTGTGATCATGAACCGTGAATTCATGGAGAGATCTTGAATGTATTGCTAGTGTCTCATTTCTACAGAATTCAGATGAATACATGCGTTAAGCAGAATGTTGAACCGTCTGACTGATGCAACACTCAAAGTCGATACAGCACGTGAGCTCAAAATCACAAATCCTGATCGTGAACTGTAAATTCATGGAGAGATCATGAAAGTCTTGCTAGTGTCTCATTTCTACAGAATTCAGATGAATAAATGCATTAAGCAGAATGTTGCACCATCTGACTGATGGAACACTCAAAGTTGATACAGCACATAAGCTCAAGATCACAAATCGAAGTTGAAACAGCACATAAGCGCAAGATCACGAATCCAATAGGTATGAAATATATGATTCAAATTTGAATCTCCTGAATTAACACTGTGACATCCTCATTGACCAGATCCGAAGGTCGATGCGGTATGTGAAGGGTTCATTAACATCCATCTGGCTGTTGCAAGGCGGAGGTGGTATTTCTTAGCCTTCCTCCACATCACCATAATTATCCTCAAGCTTTTCGCACTTGCCTTTGCATGTGTCTGGAGGTGCAATATACACAACATTATGGGGAAAGGGATGTGAGTCACATTAGGAGATGCAGGAGTTCAGCCTGTACTTGATCCTAACAGCCTGATTCATAGTTGATATCCAAAGCATATATATATATATAACATGTAGTCCTATGCAATATATGGGGGAGCAGTCACAAAGTGGGCGTATGTCAGTCATTTATTGAATGTAAACAATCGGCCATGTTCTCGGTGATCACTTTGTGTTCTTCATGGTCAAGAGCATCAGGGTCTGGTTGTGCTGTGGTAGGGATTAGTGTGATGATGTGCCATTGAAGATCTACACTCACCAAAATTAGCACTGTTAGTATCAACTGGTCTGCTGAACACAGGATTCGCAAGGTGAGTCCCAATGCCCTTGACACCAGAGAATCCAAACAGTCTCTCAATCTGATCTAACCGATGTATGTGCACAGCATTGATGGCTGCCCGTGAGCGCCACTGGTGTTTCAGCTCAGAAGCAAGTAATGGGTCAGCGACAAGAAGTTTGTTGATAGCTGCAGACATCTCTGTGGCTTCATCGTGGATAGCAGTTCGGAGCCAGTGAATTTCAATATTGAGTTGAATGATTTCTTCATGAGCTCGGCAGAGCCTAAAGTACTTCGTAGTTGCCTCACGGTGAGCTGGCCTTGCCCAATCCTTGTCTTGGATGTCAGCACGGGAGTCTCGCAGAAGGTCAAACTCGCCAAGGAAAGTGTAGTCAGCAATGTCTTTCCACGCAATCTTCGGTCTTGGTGGGATCAGGGAAGTGGCCTGGATATTGTAGTGATTGATTGTATTGCGAATAGCATCCGAGCATCGCTGTAAAGCTTTGCTAATTTGTTGCCAGAGCTTGTACCCTAAACAAATCATGAATTAATCAGCCATAGTACAAGCACCTACTAGTAGCGGAACACTCAAACCTGTGCCTGATAACAAGAGCTTTGATAGCTTGAATAATCTCATAACAACCAAATGTTCGAGCTCATCTAATGCAGCACAATACTTGCTGAGTGTTGCTTCCTCCTTGAAACGGTTGTATTCCTCCCCGCCAATCACCCATCTCTCATAAACAGATAAGACACCTTTGCAATAAGCAACAAGCACCTCGGCATGCTGTAATTTGGCATAGGAAGAATCAACTTGGATGCGGGCTTGCTTGAGCACAGCACCCATTTGTTCCAAACTGCCAGCATGTACTCCCATAAGGGCATTATTGCCAGATTCAAAGGCGAGATCCCATTCAGCCCTATTAAGATCACATCAGGGATGAGCGATAGTTGTTAGCTAATGCACGACACCTTCATTCTGCAAGCTCGTCAAGTACCTCAACATAATGTATAGAGAGCTGATCTCGTGGAGCTGGCCGCTTCAGACTATCCAGATATATGTGTTCCTGATCGAAGAATCTTGGGAAGTTGTTGTCGCTGAGGCGTAGCTCAGCCTTGATAGTCTCTAGCTCAGCTGTCAACAACTGAACCGATTTCAACGCTTCTCAGTAATGGTTCCAAAAATAATTGCCTGACGGCAAGGCCCATCAGTATTGTGATTGTAAATATGTCATGACGTACTAAGTGCAGCATACTTATCAGCATCCCAAAATGCAAAATGTTCTTTGATGGCTTGGTGGCGATGAAAATGGTTAGCATGCCTTGTGCTACGGGCAAGCTCGTTAGATGCAGAGAATATATGCTCACAACCCTCGCCCTCAGTATGACCTGTTCCCGAAATATACATTGGGTGCCAGTCGAGCTGGCACCTTCAATTGTGCGCATGGCCATGGAAGGCACCGACTGTCATCCAAAAACCAAGATTGTGTGCACGAGGACCCAATGTGCTATTGATTGACATTTCCGAGAAGGTGCAACCAATATTGTAAGTGCAAGCTCCATTTTGGCCATACACAGTAAGCAGCTTGTCAATGATTGCCAACGGATATTTTGCACTGCTGAAATGCATTAGCGCAAACAAAATGATTTCAAAACAAGGTCTTACAGTTCTCCACTTTGGATCATATCACATGCCAGAAGCACAAAATGATGTCAGCACGAAGCGATGAAAATCCCCGACTCTTCAAATACGGCAAACATCTTCTTACGTGTTTCTGGTCCAGCGTTTCTCCACCAATTCACACACAAGAATGCTCCTGGAAGATTTGTGTCTGTGGACTCGTCCTGCCAGTCATCATCACTCTTTGAGTCTGTCTAAAAGATAATGTTAGAACATAGTTGTATAAATAGCAGACACTTACTTGTCGGGATTTGACTTCATCCTTAAACTTGTCAACAGCGGTCACGTGAATCCAATAATCCGAACGGGCATTGCAAGAATCAGATTGGGCAGTTGTCCCATAAATGGTTGAGTCCCATCGCTTGAGGCTATTATTACCATCAATGGATACCAACCATTCAAAATCGAGTGCGGGCTCATCATCAAGCTTATAACAGCCTGCAGGGCATGAGTTTAGCAGACACCAGTTGACGGTATCCTGTTTGAGCGTGCCCCGCAGACGCTGCTTCACACGATGAATGATTTCTAGAAAAGTGTCATAGGCTGCGGAGAATTGTGTTCTTAGGTATGGTCGATATGGAACCTATAAACTCAACATAAATAAGAAAACCTTGATGTAAGTGAACTACATCATCAGGAAAAATGGTATTTGCACTAATTGCAAATATAGCATCTATATCCCTCAGAGCAAAAAGAGCAAAAAAAGACAAGTGCCCTGTTATAGTTGTCATATATAGCTGCCATATCCCAATAATTGCGAAAAATAGCCAACTAAAGACAGGTCATAAAAGTTCAACCCACCTTGCTTTAGTTGTCTCTGAATGTCTATGAATGACTTTATTTGCCATTTTTCAGTTTTTCACATTTTCGAGTTTTTCACATTTTTGACAACTGCACCAAGGGGGAATTGAACTCATGACTTGTGATGCAAGATAAAAGGTGATCAAGACCACTACACCATAGTCTCTTTTATATATCCTAACCAGAATGTCAATATATACCAATGATTCAAGTCACAACTTATAAGCTACACATTTACTTCAACAAATTTTCGCATTTTTGCTTATTAGATAAGGGTGACCATTAGGATGGGTAATGGTAGACCGTGGGAATTATTTCGAAAAATCACAGTTGTAGCCCTTGTCAAGGGGAGTCTATCCATAGTCTCATGACATCAATAGCATAAGATCCTATTGAGATATAAGCAAAATGCTCGAAAAACATCGGCAAAATTTGACTTTTTTGAATTTTTTTTTTTTCAAGTGAGGTGGTGATGAAAGTTGTAGCCCTTGTCAAGGAGGGTCTGTCCATAGCCATATCACATCAATAGGATAAGAACTGATCAAGTTATTACTTGAGACATTTTCAAAACAAGCTGATGATTTTCGAGTATTTTGCCTATATCTCACTAGCATTTTATCCTATTGATATTTCAAGATTGTGGATAGACTCCCCTTGACAAGGGCTACAACTTTGATTTTTTTTTAAACAATTCCCACGGTCTACCATAGTTATATAGTGGCACAATATACATCCAAAACCAAAAAGTGCAAAAAGGGCAGAAACCAATTTCCTAATCAAGTTAGAATTAGTCAGCCTCCTGTCAGATTAGGATTAGGATTAAGGTTAGGATTAGGGTTTGGATTGTGGTGGGATCAGGATTTGGAGTCAATTTTTCTCTATGCTGCAATATATGTATCTATAAGCATTAGTGGCACTACATGCACTTAAAGCCATTCATATCCAAAAATTGCAAGAACCAGTTTTCCTGATGATACATCATGAAGGTAACACAAAGTTTTGCATTGTGATTGGATACTAAACCGGGGACATGTTCGATGTGATTGACGGTAGGCGGAGAGTGTGCAAAGTGATATCGCAACAGAAGGATACATCGGGGCACACCCGATGTACCCATAGTAGATAAGAGTTTTATTGGGGTATTGGTGCAACAGTAATGGTTGAAGATGTGTGTGCCTTCTTGCTGCAAAAAGGAATAAGTAGAAGATATAACGCACTGTTTCAAACTTACTGAAAGTATCAATTAGCTCAATGTCATTAATTGAAAATGATGCATCGACACCTGACATGTTCTGATCTGATATATCTGGCATACCATCGCCAGAATCTCAATGGCGATAGTCTAAGTAGGCATCAACTAGGCAATCCAAAGCCCTTCAAAGGCCTCGTGCTCCCCACCTGCATGACTGAGGTCAAAAGCTTCTTCACCTGGAGGTGCTGTATGCGCGAACACCTCCACTTCCATTCCAAAATCTGCCATCATATTCTCAACAGCGCTTCGGTCCTCTGCCAACATCTCTGGTGCGGTATTAGCTTTGTATTGACAAAGAACACAGATGTACCTTGTATAGCATCCTGTCGGCTTGAATCTGCCTGTGCCATTCGCTGGCGTTGTTTGCCGGCCATTACGATTTTTGAACAGTGGTGGCACCCTCTAAATTCGTGGGATATGACAGATTTGGAGAGCCCTTTGACTTTCCCGACGCCTGAGGTGTGAGGCATTGGCTGGGTTGGGGTGGCAGTGCGACAAGATGGAGGGTGAGGGTACAGGGAAGGCGATGGCACAAGGGAGGCAGCAAGAGGGATGATGAGGAGGGAAATGCCAGGGACAATGAACACAACAATGAGCACAATGAGGAGGAGATGTTGGTTGGTTGGTTCATATGTGCTGTCATAAGCAATAGTCAGCTAGTGTTCTCTTTGACCAAAACAGTGAACCTAGGGTTAGTGTGGGCTAATCCATATATGGCGACGTTCTGGAACATAACCCTAACCCCAAAGCTAATGTGATGCAAGTTGTAACAACATTGTTTTGCTCACCAGGGACAATGAGGAGGAGGGGAACGCCAGGGACAATGAGCACGACAATGAGCACAATGAGGAGGAGAGATGGGAAGCATGGGAAGCTGTTTGGTTTGAATTGGGAAGCCATAGCAGGCCATTGCGGAAGGTGCCGGATTAAAATAGACAGATGACACAATTAATGCCAGGTGGGATACCTGCCGAATAGGCCCGTGCACCCGCCCCTACCATATTGAGGTAGATACAGTATTTATTGAAGGTATTTGGGAGGAGCTGGGGCACTATTTAATGCTGGTGTTGAGATTTAACGGATCCAAGCCTAATTAAAGTTGGTGAGACACGTAACTACCCAGTATAATAAGGCTTATTAATAGGGCATCCCAGGTGCCCCCGCAATGCATTATACCTCTGTGATTCTTGTTTCCGCTATGGTCCTGGCTCTGGTGACATTCATGCAGAAAGCAAGTTGAGTACTCATCATGACAGCTCACCTGCACCAAATTTTCATGGTAACTATGGTCCCAGTGAGCGCAGTTGTGCTTATCCAAGCCAATACAGTCCAGTGGTTGACTCAGGCTATCCTCAAGGTGGATACCCCCGACATGATGACTTTGATGAGCATGGGGATTCACTATCTCCCTATCATAGCCATTCAGGTGGTCGAGGGAATTATCGCAAGGGTTCTAGCAGGAGATTCCAGAATTCGAGGTGGGCAGACAATGATCCTCCTTTTGACTATGACCGTGATGCTGTGACATGAGCATTTAATTGTGATTTGTCCAATCCCCCGAGGCCTCCTCCCGCAAATTAATTCCAACCTTTGCTCTTGAGCCAATATCTGTATTTTGTGCTGTAAATTTCTACTGATTTCCTACCCATGCCTACCCTACAGCGAGGGCTGGGAGGATGCCCTTATACCTCTCAAGGAATTTATGTGGGAGACTCTATGGAGAGGTAGGTCTCAGAGATGGGTTTCACCCTACAAATAAACCCAGTCTCATAGACCGTGGGAATGGCAAAAATGTACTGCCAAGGGTGTCCAAAACAGTCTGGCCATATAAATACTATCCAACACTAGCATTTGTGTAGATATTGCAGAAGAAATAAAATTAATCAAAGGTTACATACTGTGACCAGTATGACACAAATTTATTGTATATTATCACTGGTACTCAACAAGGTGACTGTGTGGGCTTTGGGTAACTTAATCCTCCTGATCAGTGTTGCAATATTTGGCATTTTGGTGATGAGATTGCAACTACACTGTCACAATTGTACATTTGGTGTTGTCCATCCATCTTAGTCCAGGTATTCAAAGCTTTCTCATGCGGAGTACAATTATGATAAACTTTATATAAATTTTAAATCAGATAGAGCTTTCATTAGTAAACTACTTGGCGGTGTACAGCGTGCAAGCTCCACAGCTTGGTCCCTGTTAGCCAGTTCATCACAGTAGCACCTTGCTCTGTGAGTCTCTGTACAGACACCCACAGATCACCCAGTAACTACAAAATTCATTTAAATTGCCAAACAAAATCACTGTCCATGTATGTACAGACACTCACAGAGTGCCCAGAGAATTGGTGCTGCGCAGATATTGTTTGCTGGACTGCTTACACATGCTAGACAGAAAACAAAATGAATTTATTGAATCACATGACTATGGCAAATGGTACTGGGTCGCTGTGGGTGAGGAAATAGTAATGCGAACTCTGGGGAGTCACAAGGAATATCTACCTCGAGAGGCGAGCTGATAGAATCGTCCCTTAGGGAATGCTACTGAGACAATCTCTCTAAATAATGAGAGGGATCAAGAGAATAGCTGAAGCCAAAGATATGTGAAAGCGCGCGAAGATGCGCGGTGATGATGCGATGGACACGCGAGATGCGCAGGATATGCAGAGGGCAGCGGCTAACATGTGATATGCGTGAAGTAGAAACTGAGCGGCGGCTAATGATAAGGATGCTCCAGGAGACAGATAGACAAAGCAGTGATGATATTAGCGCTCAATGCGCGACTAGACAGAAAACAGATACTGAGTCCAAGTAGGGAAAAGTAAGTAAGTCTGGAATCCTCTGAGTCCTCTAGATATGTAAGTCACTACACGCGCTCTCAGGATAATGAGACATAAGGGAAGCGGATAGGCTGTGCGGAAGTGCAAGTGAAGCAGATATATGTAATGCTATGTGTAAGAGACCCTGGATGTGGTCAGTGATGGTAATAACAGTGGGAATATGCATGGAGCCGGATAGACAAGACAGGACATGGGAGGACATGGGAGGATATGCCGAGTATAGCGCTGGTATGCGAAAGGGGTGCACGTGTAGTATGCACTATGCGGTAAAGCGCAAATGGCCACGTGCATCTCTATAGGCCTGCACCTACCTATGGATAGTGATGAAGGCGATGTAGAAATAGGGGGATACGAGCCTGTAGAGATATCACTCTCTACATTACGATCGGGAATACAATGATATAATGTGCCTAAAACGATAAATGCTCGGTGTGGGGATATGGTACTTCAGTCGAGGAGAATTTGCAGGTGGTTGTGCTTTGCCTCAACAACTCCTTCGAGATTTGTAGCTGCGGCCCTGTATGAATGAAGTTAGTGTAAACGTTTTGGGATAAAGTCAATCTCCTTACCATCCTGCTGCAGCCCATTCTCGTAGTCACTTGTGTGCGTCCATGCTCTCAGCTGCAGGAAAGTCTAGTTCACTTCAATGAGTTTGGTGGTTCAGTGTGGTTTCAATTTGCAATGGAACACCAGTGTAGCCATCCAGGTGCAATTTTTGAGGGGACTGACGATGAAGACCAGAGGCCAGATCAGTGTAGAAATGAGATTGTCAAGCAGGTGTTGTCATGACTGTCAATGTTGAACTTCAAGCCTTCGAACTGCATCATTCAATACACTGCCTCAGCATGTTTAAATCTCAGTGAGCGCTGCTGTGCATCAGAAAAACATGGTCAATCTGAATTAGAACACATTTTATTTCTCTCAAGATCACACAGCCTGTTACTTGTAAATTGCTAGTGGAAAATAAAATCAGTAAGAGTGGGGCTATTGTATTGACATGCCACTAAGTACTGAATCAGCAGGATATGAGTGGGATGCTCATTCAATACACCACACGAGATGGGGACAAGATGTTGGGTCAATAAATGGCCAGAAAATTTACCATTGCTGCCCACAATGGTTCCGGTTCTGAAATCTTCCCCAAGTCAGCCCTGGGGAAAGTATTTTTAAAGTTTCTCTGGCTCGGTTGTCGGCAACATGTTACAGTTAGGCAGAGACAATTTGACTGAATCACTGTAACGATCAGCATCCCATACCACATCATCTTCTGAACGGATGATATTCTGTTGAATTTCATAATTCGACACTGATTTGGAACAATCTAGTGTTTCAATGTATAAAGACACACAAGCCAAAAGATCCATCAAAATCCTCAACCTTCACACATGAATCATTTGATAAATTTGACAATTAGATGAGCCATACCTTGCTTTGTGCAGCAGGTACTCACACAATGGTCTGGATAGCTATGGCCAGTCAGGGGAAAATATCGTCATGTTCCTCTTCCATATGCTTCTTTTTGATTCGATCTCTGTGTAATTTTAATCCAGACATTGTTCTGAAACTTGTCCTAGCCCATAATCAAACAAATGGGGTCCACTCTCATTCAGTATCTGCTGGCATGACCAAGGGAACATCTATTGCAGGTAAGAAACATAGCCTTGAGGGTTACTTTCACATTGGGCCTAGCACCTGGCAAGATGTTCTGACTGATCCCCAAAAAGGAGCCACCCAAACCTGTGAACAAATGTTGGACCTTGCAAGGTCAATGACAGACCTGTGCCAAAGCTGTGGAACTATGTTTTTCTCAATCGTGTCTTTGCATTGTCTGAAAGTCTATTACACAGTATGCACTTACCGACAAAACCTTGCAGGTCAAACCATTGCTTGGGTCCAAGGAGCTCATGCGGCGATTTCACATACACCTTGAAACTTGAGTGAAAATCCAAGACAGCCTGCAGATCTGTGGAGGATATCAGGTGACATGGGAAGGTCTTTTAAATTCAGAATAAAAATGTAGGAGTTGTGTACTTGCCTTATAGGATGAGTGATGATTGGTCCTGTGACCAGCAACCATCTCCGATGTCAGTGTCACATGGCAGGAGCAGCAGATGAGAATGTAGAGTTCACTGTAGAGGTGAATCCCAAGGGTGTTGAGGACCTCGTTGGACTTCAAGTAGTCGGCTCCGAGCATCAGACACACCGCACCAGAATTCACAAGAGATTATGTGCATGTGCATTTGGGAAGGAGAACACTGTTAATCAGTATTCCTTAATTTGACCCTTAATGACTTCTTTCACCCGAGGAGGAAAACTCCTGAGTGGATGTAGTGGCTGGCACGAGCACCTCCACCAAGGTATTGCCAGCACCTTTGTGGATTGGGTTTCCTGGCAGAGCTTGAATGAATAAGATATTGATAGCAAAGAATCTTAATGAATTAGCCTTGTGAAGGCTACCAATGTATTATATGTTGTGGGAGAGTGTATTGTGGCAGTGCTGATGTATCATGTAGGTGGCAGCATACTATTGCTCCTGCACAATAAAATGATTGCTCAGAAATAATAAATTGACTCACTGTTTTGGTATCTCACATGGTTCTGTGAATATAGTGGACACACAATGATTGGATTATCCAGTAATTTAATGATTGTTGTTACACCTCAACATAATGATCAGTCAGAATTAATTAATTAATTGACTATTATTACATGTCAATGTCTTTTGTATAAATGAGTAAGGGCTTTAAATGATCAACTGATGATTTGGAATAAATTATACCTGCCATAAGTTACAGTCATCATCATGCAAAATAGGCCGGTATTTGGTAGGTAACATTGTGTATATGCTTGTGCTCAGTCTCGAGGGTGAGGGAAGCAGATGAAGGTTATGTGGCTGTGCTCTTCCTACTTCAGATGGGAACTTGTAGGGGACGACAAAATTGACTTTCCTGCACCGCCAATTCTTATCATACCTGAACAACCTCCCTAGGTGCATCCAGTACTCATAGTCTATTTAATAGTTTGGGTCCTCAAGTTTCAAAAATGGGACCACAAGAACCCAAGGTTATCATATTTATGGTGGTAATCTGTCATGATGTGTTGACCCCTGGGGCATTCGTACATGCAGAACCTATCCGGGTCATCTCAAGCGGTCCCAGGGCCACGAAGCCATCCCTGTAAGCGATCCTCTGCTCTTTGTGCAAGAGGGTCTCTGAACCTTGTCACTGAGGACAGGTCATCAACTACAGTCCTCTTTGCTGATTTGGGTTCTGAGATATCCTCCATGTATAGTCTCATGGACCCTATAAACACACCATCTGGCTCCTCACTGACATCTTCCAGTCTGTGCAATTGTTGTGTGTTGGGAAACGGCAAGCGCGCTTGCAGCTGAGTTGCGTTAATGTATGTGTATTGTCCCCCTTGTTTCGAACGTCCAGCAACACGTATGTTTCATTCTGATTTGATCTTGCTATTATTCTCTTTATAGCACTTACGAGACGTCATCGAGTTCCTGGGCCAGCGCCCCTTTTTCTTATTGTCGTGGTCTCAGGTACATATATGCTCGCACAAGAGCTCGCATAGTATTTAGTCAGCTATGATTTAGCCTTGCACCTCAGATGTTTGCCTTCGTGCGCAACGACTGAGGTGAGACACTTACTTTTCACATATTCACCTTTACTTACTTTGAGTAGAGAGTCCGTTTATTACAGGTGAATATCAATAGACGTTTGCCTTCGTGCGCAACGACTGAGAGAGTCCGTTTATTACAGACCCACACGAATCTCTTATCCAAATATTGTGCTGAAGGAGAAGCTTGATAATGTGCTTGGAGGTTGTGATGTTGATGATTTGTTCAACGAGTGAAGCCTGGACTCAGTTGATCGTGTAGAAACGTACTTGTAAAGTTAGCATCATTGATCAGATTAATTTTCTTGTTCAGCAACTTTCCTGGAAGGCTAGTGATACAACAGGCGACATGGGTTGTGGGAACCATCTATATTAGCACATGCAAACTGACCGCTTTGGGTTCATGTCACAGTTGCACAGCCATACTGAATACTGTCCTTGATTACAAAGGGAAACAATTTAGTTGACTGTCATGAGAGGAGAGGGACAGCACTACATTTGGTGCTACATTCATCGACAATCTGGAGGCTGGTCCATATTGTGCACGTATATTGAAGAGGCAAGCTGTAGATGTCAGAGTGAGTGAGCTTCCTGAGGTCGCAAGGTTTCTTGATGTGTCGCAGAGTCAAGATACTTCCATCTAGTATACATATAGAATGAGCCCAAGTTCCAATAGGGAGGCGAAATATATGATTGTACATGCACCAAATCCTGATATTTGTGTCCAAAGTGTGCCTCTATCAGCGTCTTTTTGTACAACAGTGCTTCAGACCAATTCTTTCTCATCATCGTCAGCATTCTTAGGCAGATGTATGAACTGTAACAGATATTCAGGCAGTATGAGAGAAACAGACATGACCAGAAGCTTATGAGGTCATAAAAAGCTGTTTTCCGTCCATTTTCAAAGCAGGGATAACTCTATTTCACCATCCACATGTCCATTGAGGTCGACTTTCTGTTGGTCACCATTACAGTGCTCAAATGCAAATAGCCATCAGCCATAGGTGGACCCAAAGTTCTCAAAGATTGTTTGATAATGCATCAACATGTGATGATTGATCAGCATATGTACACCAAGCTTTTGCAAACCCCAAGTTGTAGATTTCTCAACGGTTTCAACAGAATATTAAACATAATTTGCAGTTTGGAGGAATGGGAGGGGGTATGGTCTTGATTTTGTCATTTTTGTCACACCAACATACCCAGAATGTGGTAGTCTGGATGTTAGTAAGTCTTTGCCACTGGTCAGCTTTCTGCAGTGAATTATTCTCACACATCTGTCAAATGGTGAATTACTGTTCAAATAGTGAACAAGTCAATATACATACATTGTTAGGAAGACATCCAATCCCTGATGGCCAAATGATACCATTGATGGTGTCTTGAAACACTCGCCAGCCAGCAGCACCTAAGAGATAACCAGCGACAATGATGTCTGGGTGAAAACTATGCTCAATCTCTTGCCATTGCATAGTCAGCAACTGACCTCGATTGAGAGGAGAACAGTGTACTGTGAAAATTGTACATTAAGTCTACAACAAATCTTTGCACCAGTGTTTAGCCTGGGAGCTCTCAGGCAGGAGTATTGAGCTCCTGTGGCATCAAGAATCCATTTCCTAGCTGCTTGAGAGCGAGCCATCTTCAATGAGTTTGCATTACGAAGCTGGATAAAATCATTGCAAAACTCAAAATCTGAAATGGACATGTTAGTAGCAAAATACAATGAGACACGGAGTACATGCTGGTGATGTCATAGGCAGTTTCTGTCTGTAGATCTTCGAGCTTGGTCAGACAGATGTTGCAGGGATGTATCTTGTGTGAGTGCCCAGTGAACCCAGCAGTCTTGCGGCATCCTGGTATATTATTGGCAAGTATTTCCAATGCTCCATGGACCTTTGGAAGTTTTGGTGGTAGATTACAACAGAATTACTCCATAACCACGCCTAGAAGAGATGGAAGTCAAATAAAGCAATCTCATAGAAGTCACTCACCTGCATATATCATCTTAAAGTCTGCAATTAATGGCTCCAAAGCATGATTTAACTGTTCGAGACTTGGTTCCTTTGGTCCTGGTATGATCATGGTAAGGTGAATGTTTTGCTGGAGGAAGTGAGCTGATCAATGGAGGTTATTGAACAAAATATAGATGCCACCAGCAAAGTGGGGTCTTTTGTCGGTGATTCTGAACCTGGTATAATGATTTCGAGTTAGTGATGTCAATTGTAATGAAAGGGCACATTAAGTACATCAAAAGCATTTTCGAACGCTTCGCAGGCTAACATAGTTGTGTTCCGCAGGGCAGAAATTGTTCATTGGGTTGCTGAAAGTCTACGCCCATTTGAAATCATCAAGGACAGGGGATTTCAGTCTCTTATGAAGACTGGAAGACCCGAATACTACTTACCTTCTCCTGCGACTGTGTCACGTGATGTTCGGCTGGTCTTCGCTAGAACCAGGCAGCGCATTGCTAAAATGACAAAGGCACGTTCATCAATTAATTAATGCGCACAACAAAAATATAATAAACTTACTGGCAGGAGCATGAGGGTAAAATAAATTTTACCACCGACGGGTGGACTTCGACAAACCACCGAGTGTTGGTGGCTGTATCTGTGCACCTCGAACATAAGGGGGTGCTGCTGAGCATGCCGTTAGATATTGTCGAGGTACCGAAAGTAAGCATCTGACTTACCAAAATTTCACGTCATTGACATTGTTAGTCACACACTGGTAAGAATTGGCGGCAGAATTTGAAAAGATACTAGAAGATTTCAGAATAACAGACAAAGTCAGTCAAATTGTTGGAAATGTGTAGACAATGAGACTTACCATAACAAAGATCCTCGCTGTCACATGCGATAATGCATCCAATAATACCGTGATGATTGAAGAACTCCATGAGAAACTGCCCGACTTTGGTGGGACCGCGTCGCATACAAGATGCTTTTTGCACACGGTAAACCTTGTAGCAAAATCCTTGCTTCAAGAATTCAAGGTGTCTAAGAAGGAGGGAGAGGCCACATTGGCAGGGCTCAGTGAAAATGTTGATGAGATTGGGGATGGAGATGATGATGTGGACAGTTTGGTTGATGAGGCCGCTTCGATGACAGACAATGAGCGAGAACACCTGAGAAACAGTGTGTGTCCAGTAAAATCAGTGCTTGCAAAGGTGGGTGTCTCGCTCATATCGTAAAACATACCTTTAAATGCAACATGTTCCCTAGCTCCGCAAGCTTGGACTCAGGATCATTCACTCAACAACAAAACTGCTCCCAGCGTGGCACAAAATTCTGGAAAGGTTGGAAATGAAACTTACCACACTCCCTCGGGATGTTGCCACTCGCTGGAACTCAATGTTCGACATGATTCAGTATGCACTGAGTCATTGAGAGGCAATTGACACTGTGACCCAGCAATGAGACCTGGGCTTGTGACATCTTGAGCTGACAGATTAAGAGTGGGAAATTGCGGAGCAATTGTGTGATATCTTGAAGGTATGTGAACACATAGGATTGTTTAGTGTCAAGTGTTTAACTCATTGTCTCTGCTTACCCTAGATCCTCAAGGACACTATGCTTTTCTTCTCCCGTTCAACTCCAAACCTGGCAACTGTTATTCTGGCTATGGACTTAATCAACGAGAAACTGACAACTTACTCTTGGGACCAGCAGTTTCTTCCCTCAATTCATGCGGCCGTTGGACTTGGCAAAAGAACATTAAACAGGTACTACCAACTGACTGATACATCAGAAGTGTACCGTATCGCTATGGGTAAGTGTTGACGACTCATATCATTTTTCTGACCTTTATTTGCATGTAGTTCTACACCTGCGACACAAACTCGCATATTTCAGGCACGCAAAGTGGGAGGACAATTGGGTTGAGACTGCCGAGACCCTTGTGAGGGAGACATATGAGTGTTCGTACTCGGTGGTCTCACCTGCAGACTCAGAGACAGATGATGATGGTATAGAAATGGAGGCTTCTTCAGTGAGTTGTCTTCGCTTTTGTGTGCACTCGCTAACTGAATTTACAGGGCAATATCTTTGACAGTATCCCTGCTGTCACACCTTCAACAAGTCGCCCCAACAACGAACTCGACAGGTACCTCGGCGCTGAAATTGAGTGTGTCGAGGACCCCCTTGCTTGGTGGTACGAACAGCGCAACATCTATCTGCACCTTTCTCGCATGGCATTAGACTATTTCAGTATACCTGGTACGTTGATTTTTTTCACCTTTTGTAGTAAAGAACTAACTCTATGACTATGGCAGCTACTTCCGTGGATGTCGAGCGTCTTTTCAGCTGTGGGCGTCTTCTCCTTTCCCATGTTTGATCCCAATTATCAGCAGAGTCAACACACACACTATTGTGCCTTGGATATTGGACCCAACTTAATCTAGTCAAAATGGAGGATGTTATGTCTGTCGCGGCGCTTGCAGATCTTCAGGTCTTCAGGGTGAGGAGGAGCAGGAGTTAGACAATGGGTGGGATGCTATTAACATAGACTAGGTACATTTTTACTACATATTTCTCAAATTGAATGCAACCCATGGGTATACCCTTCACGGGTCATGGTGTGGGTCATTTACCCATCCACCCACGCAAAAACCCAGACCCACTTCGAGGGTACGGGTATTCCTCCGGGTGTGGGTGTGGGTAGTAGCACTGCCACCCAGGGGTTTACCCGTGCAGTTGCCTAAATGTTATTGTATATCATAGATAACTCATCAACAAAACAGCACAAAACATGTATGATCAGGTGAGAGCTTGCAACACTTGCATGATCGCATATGACTAATATTGGCCAGGTATGAAACGGCGGTAGACTTGCAATACAACACCGGACTGGCGCGAGCCTTATAATCATGTACCGGTATTGTGATCCCTTGCAAGGATGTCGGCAGCCTTATGTTTATCTGGTATGGTCTGGTAGGAGGCGTGCATGTATCACACCAGTCATGTGAACTAATACAAATACAAATGAATTAAAGCTCTGCATACCCCTCGAGCGCCTCTTCGTTCTCGTCTTCTCCATCCTCAGGTCCCAGGTCATTATCAATGTCATTGTCTTCATTGTTGCTGTCACTGTCATTTTCATCGCTGTCAGTGTCATCCTCTTCTTGATCCAGTCCGCCATAACCAAACTCCTCCATCTCTGATTCACCAACTTCGTCTTCGTCCTGATCAATGATACCTTCATCTCCCTCGGATGGTCCACCTTCATCTCCCTCGGTTGCTCCTTCCTCATCTCCCTCGGATGGTCCACCTTCATCTCCCTCAGTTGCTCCTTCCTCATCTCCCTCGGCTGCTCCTTCTTCATCTCCCTCGGATGCTCCTTCTTCATCTCCCTCAGATGCTTCTTCGTCTCCCTCGAATGCCTCTTCATCTTGCTCGGAGTCTGCATTGTTGCCGGGAGCAACACAATCTAGAGGGTCGCAGTCGTTGCGAAATATTTGTGTTGCATTGCAAGTTGACTTGTGACCAACCCCCCCGCCACGAAAGCGCATAAACATATCACGGTCGACGAACCTATAGCAAGAAGGTATATTAATACAGAATCACCATAGTAAGTCTATACTCACATATTTACGTAGTAAAATTTCCAATCTTCATTTTTTTCATGAAGAGGATGGGAAATCGAGGGCGGTAAAAGTTTGTCGGTACGGCTGTAGGCAAATGTGGGGATTAAGTGGATGCCACGAACGATTTGACGAGGATCGAGAAATCCAAATGAACCTGGTTCATCTGCAGGTATGAATCCAAGCCGGTGAAGACATTTCACGTTCCAGCCTGACCGATAATTGTTGGGGTCGCGACCAAACCATCTAACCCATAAAAAGTCCATCTGCTGGGGTGAGTTTTTTTTTTTTTTTTTTTAAATCAAATTTATTGTCCTTTGGGGTCGAAGACCCTATGTTGGACATAACCCTATTCGAATGCGGGGGGTTTGCTCCCGTCTGATCTATCGTAAATCTATGTATTCTTTCGCGTGATGGAGGCTGACGCGTACTCTGTCGGCATATTGTCGGGCAAAAGCCGACGCCGATTTTGTACGAGGGGAATGGCAGTGGTGTGAGGCATAGGTAGGGGGAGGAGTGTGATGTTTGGGTGCGGGGTGCGGAGAGTTGTTCATGCGTTTTGTTGTGCTGATGTTTGCTAGTTTCGTCGTCGTCTTCATCGCTTTCAACCTTCTCGACCTTCCTTCTGTCCTCTATTCCTACAGCGACCTTCGTCCAGCGAGTGTCCTTCCCTTCGTTACTTCATGATGCGGTGGTTGTACATGTATGTATACAGGTGTTTTGATTGTCGTGATGTGAGTTCGTATGTTGATTCTGATGGTGGGGTATCTGTTTGGGTACATGTGCGTGAGTTGTTACTTGTTAGCTGGTCGTGATCTCACCGAACGTGGTCTTGAAGCGTCCTGAGCTGTTTATAAATCTCATAAGGGGCGTGGTGGCGTTGTCTGATGTAAGGATATATTCGATGGAGGATGCTTTGCGTCTAAGGGCGTTGGAGAAGATGTGTCATTCACGGATGTACTGCGGACAGTCAAAGAGGTAGTGGAATATCGTTTCATCTGTCCCCGGGCATATGGGGCAGTGCGGGGAGTCGGCTTTTCCAATACGAAAGAGGTGGTGGTTCAGGGGGATGTGACGTGTTCGAAGTTGGGTATAGATGCTGGTTTGTCGTCTAGGGAGGAATGATATGAGCTTGAGGTAGCGGTTCGACGGCATGCTGGGGTCGATGATCTTTGCTCTTGCATAGCGGGGCGAGTTTTCCCATTCCTTGCTCCAGCGTTTGTTCAGGGCGTCTTGATGCCATTGTTTCAGCGCCGATACACTATCCGGTAGTGCTTTATCTTGGAGGTATACCGGGAGTCTGTTCCTCGTGCTACTCGCTCCTTCTGCTGCTTCCTTGGCCGCCGCGTCTGCCATCTCATTTCCTATGACCCCCATGTGCCCTGGTATCCACCTAACGGTAAGGGCGAAGTTGCGTCCTTGTTCTCGTCGTTTCTTTGCTAGCATGCGCGTCATACCGCGAAAGTGTTCCACCAGGTAGCTTCCTGGCTTCGTGTTGTGGCTTTCTCCCGATAGTATAGCTGCTCTGTTGTCGATAAAGATAGATGCGGGGTAGGTGATGTTAGGTTCTGTGGCGAGGAGTTTAGCTGCGAGGGTTAGTCCAACTACCTCGGCTTCATAGACGGTGTGGGTTTTGGCTGGTCCGAGGTAGTACTTGATGTGCTGGGGTGAGTTGAAGCTAGGTGCATTATCACCTGTATAGATGACATTGACGTGAAAGACACCTAGAATCTGAGCATACCAATATGGATGGTCATCCTTGTGTGCGAGGACCATCACATCAGCATGCGTTCGTGGATTTAGCGAGTCTTGAGCCCGGCGAAGGTCGTATGTAGTGTAATTGATTCAAAGTACCTTATGATGGAAAATATGATCATTTACGAACACAATCTGGGCTCGTTCAGCTGCACTGAACTCATTTTCGTCACCGTCGTATTGATGTCCAAGGATTCGGGCAAGGAGATGATCTTTAAGTCGAGGAAGAAAATCCTGATGCGGGGCAGCACTCAGATCAAAATCAAACACTATAATTGGTTGAATTACCTCCAATGCACGATCTTCTGAATGCCTCCCAAGCCACTGCTGCACATTCAAAAAATATCTTGTGCTTGATGCTATATGGTAGTGTGCTTTCGGATCAGAGTATGCCAATGGCTCAGATGCTTTGAAAGGTATGCTTGGAAGGTCCTTTGATAGATTGTTTGCAGTGTGGCGTTGGCACTTGTCAGTGACCTTTGCTTTCCCTTTCTTCAACTTTGAAGGCAACTCATGCTCTGCCAGTCGGAATAAAATTCTCTCTCAGCGTTGTTGCTTGGCGATTCTGGATGTGAACTTTGCCTTACTAATGCGCGGGTAAAAATGTTTCACACGTCGGTGTTCGAGTTCGCCCTGTAGAAAGTATTGAACACAGTGACATTCAGAACACCTAGTACGTACCAGTTGAGTAGAATTATTGTCAGTGGTACCGAAATGTCGAATTGCAGAGACATAGTCCCCTAGCGCATGCAGCTTGTAGGTCATGAAATTAAAATATTGAGCCTTAACTCCAGTGGAAGGGCCTGTTGCATTAGCTCTCGAGGATGTATTACCACCTTTTGCAGCTGCTCGGGCCTTGCGACGCCCACGTGCAGCTTCCTTGCTAGGAAGGTCACGAGTCACGAATTTCTTTGCAGTCTTGAACATAAATTTCTGAAGACATTTTCCAAGGCATGTTGTCGAGGTGTCGAGAAATCCAAGAGTGGTCTCAGTGTGCAGTCGAAGCTTTGCGAGTCCGTGCCATGTTGCGAGCTCAAAGAGGAGGTCAAGTAGCATCTCATTCAACCTTGATGGAAGCAGCTCCTCAAAAACCAGTATTGCACACTAAACAGGGAGTCAGATAGGACAGCTTTGAATTAGTCCACATACCTGTAGTAAATCCTCGAAGTCTCAAGCAGCAAGTCGTTTCATTGCTGATGCATTGCTACTGAAACGACGGATTGTGCCTCGTCCAAATGTCGGAACTTGTCGATACCTAGATACCACTGGTGAACAGCTTGACACGTGGAATACTTAATATGTGCCTACCTCTCGTTTAATTTTAATATGCTCTCCTCGCCATATGCATGCAGGATACGAAGTAGATGGGTGAATACTGCTTTCCAAACACCGAGTTCGAACTCATGGAGTAAATCTGGTACGAAGAGTGAATAAAAGTTGAAGCCGAAACATCAAAGGCACTCCGAAAATGAGTTCTATGTATATCACCAGAGTCAGCAGTTTGCGAGAACGTGATAGAGAAATTGTACTTTTGATGCAGTAAGTGAATGTGGACCCAGTATACGTTTAATGAACACGCTCGTAATATTCATACCTTTGACATATAACCAGTCACGGACCATCCTGATCTTGCCTTGCAAGTAGCTGCTGTCCTTGCGTTGAAAATTTTCACGTCGTCATCGATCAGCCTTCGTACCCAACTCTCCAATCTTGTCCTTCTGAATCAAGCATCGCGGACAGGGACATTGTCCGAGAAATTTGATGCAAGACAGAAGGGTTCTAATGTGTCCATGTTAATAGACAATGAAATGTCAGTGACTTTCACGTACTTTTCTGGGTAGTCGGCCGAGTAGGAAAAAAAAACGAGGAAATACTCGCCGGCTGATTCCATCAAGGCACTCGATAACAATACCAAATTCATAAGCTTGCATGAAATTGTCATCCATCAGAAGAAGCCAAATGGCTTGCATCAATTCTTGGCGGCAATAGGTCAATATCTCCACGGTAGCGGCCTTGCCAAATGTGCGGCGATAAAAGTCCTGAATGGTATCAGTGAGCTATAAATATAGTGAATTAGAAGACGGCAAAGATTGACAAAGAACAGTCAGACTTGCCTTGGGTATATATGCTAGATGGTGTGCAGCGAACGACAATGGTTTTCCGTGAATGTACTTGGATTGATTCCCGAGGAACAAGTATATAGGCCACAATGACGCACTTCCAAAGCTAGCAAGATGTGTCGAGTCCGACCAAAGCATGACAGCAGCAATAACAGTCTCGAGCTTGCAACTTGGATCGGGGGGATGTAATTTTATGGCCTCGTGAGCTTCGAGCATAGCCTGTGAAGAGTATATTTTGGAGTATACACACTCCATAGGTTCGTTGGGTGATGGTCGGAAGAATAATTAAAATGGAGTTAGATGGAATCGCTCTGCAGACACCTCACGAAATGCAGACTTGATGACCTCAAGCAGACGACGGTAGAATAGTCCAGGGACCTCGAATTCCGGTGACGATGTTTCTGATGTGTGCTGGACACCATCAGCTGGTAGTTGAATTTTGACTGACGTCTCTATCCATCCATCTGTACCCAGGAATGACGAACGGATGTCCGCAGGGTCCCCCTGGTAGTTATCTAGATGATCCACCTCTTTCACGGCTCGAAATCCAGTAAGATGAGTCTTATCAAAGTCCTCAGCGAGAATGACGTTATCCACGAGACGGTCAAGCTCCGCTAGTGACTTCATGTTTGACCCACTATAAAACCAGCACATCAGACGAAAGACAGTGGCGTTCAAGAACGGTACGAAGAAGTTGTCCTTTACTGATGTGATGGAGGAGCTGAACCCAGACCACCATGGACGTGCGCCTGTCTGGTCTGCTGTATGCACGAAATGAGTAGAATCTGATACATGTGAGATTGAGGTGAGATTGTCGGGATTATAGGTTGGGAAGTGATTGGGATATGAGTGAAAAAGGCCGTATGAATCAGGCTCCGTAGTAACATATTCGGTTTCACCTGCAGCTCGAGGTATGTAAGGCTCGATTGGACCATCATCAACCATCGGTTCGTGCTGCAGAGCTGGTGCAGAGTTAGGAATGGGGGGAAGGTCATCACGATAGCGTCGTGGCAAGCGGCGCCTCCGATTAGGCAACCCTGAGGGACGAATCACCGGTGGAGTTGGCGACCTTGCAACCTATGCAAATATGAAGTTACACCAAGATATATCATGCATTAATAGATGAAACCTTACTGGTATATCAGCTGGCTCGTCCTCTCCCTCACTCATACTTTCACGGATCAAATCCCGTGCTCTAAGCGCAGCACTTTCATCTTCTAGCCGTCGAACTTTGGCAGCTTGTGCAGTTTCATGATCTCTGCGCCGCTTATCGAGCATTGTCGCCATTACTGCTGTCTGTTGCCTACCACATGACCCTCGCATATGATTTGCGAGGGATCATGGAGTACTGAAGGCGACCCTGCACACAGAACAATGATAGATGGCCATACTAGAACCAATGTTAGTAGGGTTTGAGCTGTGCCGAGTCACGAAATGGGGTGAAGTAAATAGTGTTTATACATGCGCTGGACAGACCCATGTGAGTCAATGAGGGAATCCGAGCAAAAGATTCTCAAGCACAATGAATCTGGTCAAAATGGTATCATTAAGTGTAATCTGCGTCATACAGGTAAAATAAAAAAGACCAATCATCCAACTGCCTTATCTTTCCCATAAGGCTACATGCGCGCAGAGGTCCAAAGTTGGTGCAATGGCCCGGGTATGCCGCAGGGGGGAGTGGGAAACATCACTAGACAGCCCTTAATTAGATTATCACACACCAATTGTGCATAAACACTTACTTTCCATGTTCAGATAGTGGGAGGAGGGAGGTGATGAACAACGCTATCAAGGAAAGGACTTACCGAGTGATGGGCAAATGATGATCGATGATCAATGTGCAGTGTGGAGAAGCAGTGACAAGTCTGATGTGAGCGGCCAAACAAGGCCATGCGGCAATTTCCGATTAATGTTCAAACTCCAATTATACTCTTATCGATAGATATTGATTCGATCGTTGATTCTGTTGACCAATACCTTCATCATGCCTGTTGATGCCATCGAGCTGGATGCCAACGAACAAAATACTAACCGCTTCCAGGCCATTTTAAGGAGTCTTGATGGTACCTCGTCAGGTGGACGCAAACAAAAGCGCAGGTTCATAATTTCACGTCTTAATTGTGATATCATTGCAGGTGCCACTAATATCAACAGCGATATCCTAGATCCATATCTGTCTTCTGCTCGTTTTTTCCACCTCAACTACGACCTATTTGCTCACTTCAATATGGTTCTACGGGAGGGCATGCAGGCACAATTCGATCCTGATTGGATAGATCCAGACCAAGATCAAAGCGAAGAGTAAGATTTATATTTGTGTTCATGTAGCTAATTTCATCATTCGTTTAGAGCTCAAGCAATCAGGGAACACTGCCTCCAAGTCTACCAGAAATTTAGCTCCTCAATTCCAAATTGGAGTGAGCTTGTGAAGAATTTTGAAGCTGAAGCCGAGTCTTTGAATGAGTTTCTAAGGGCGGTGAGCTGCATATATGCGCTTGTTTGAGACGCACTAATATATTTTTAGATGGAAAACACTGCTAACAGTGCTCGCTGTGATGACACAGGGTCCCTCAAGCATAACGGACTCCAATATCTGCTCAAGGACCCAGCAAAGGATCGCTTCGACCCTCCGATTCTAAAGACCCATGGCAAGGCAGTACGGGGATGGAATCACACGGCCACTGCAAGACTACTTTGTCCTGCTCGTGACATTCTCGAGTTCGACAAAGACCTGCAGTGAGTTTTTTATGCTTTGTTGCTTCCATACACTTACAACACTCTCATATGCAGCGCATATATGGACCGAGTGAAGTCGGGGCAGAAAAAAATTACCTCGAAACAATGGCCATCCATGTTCTACGACATGAGCCTGTACAACCCGAGGAATAAGAAGTTAGGGTTCTTACGTGGCCATGCAATTGTACAGGTACATTTTAGCTCAGTATCTCACTTTCAAGTACTATTCTCACGTCTTATAGGGATGGCGTCACATCTTCACAGGACCAATGTCCGCGTTGTCGAAAGAGTGCACACATCGCTCTTCAAAGCCTGCGAAGGGCAAAAAGCACCATCTGATGGAGCCGGGACCCAGAAACATCATGTATGCTGCAATACAGGTAATGTCTCTATCTATCTGCGAGCTATTACAACTACTTAAAGACTTCATTACATCTCACTAGATGTATTTTGTTGCATGTAATGCCGAATCCTGGACTCCCGAGGTCGGCACTATGAATCTCGACGACTTATACTATACTGCGGTTGACCTTCTCGAGATGCATGCGGATGAGCAATGGGTGAAAGATTTGATACAGTTTTGGAAAGAGTCAGTTGTTCTTTTCTTTTTTGCTGTAAACTTCATTGATTGTTCTAGTGAGTCACCTGGACTTATGCAAGGTCATCCATCGAAGTGCCGGAGGGTTGCCGCAAACTCAACAGCGTCAGACAGTGAAGATGACATGGATGACTTTTTTGGCAATGACTCTGAAGAAACACAAGGTGGATCCGGACACAATAGATCGACCACAGATCGTGAATCAGGTGCGCCTGCAGGCCATATCAACAATCCAACAAGTACTGTGTGACACGACTCGGAATCCAACACTGGAAATACTACTGGACCCAGCTCCACAGCGGCTGCTGAATCCGATTTGACATGTGGCACTGCTGCTGCTGGATCAAGCTCAACAGATGGTGCCGCTGGACAGGGCCGACAGGCTGGATCAACGGACGTGCAACTTGGAGGCTTGAATGGCAATGGCAACAATGATGACAATGATGACAATGATGGGCAGCCCCGGCGCAGACGCAGGCTCGACCAGCAAGGTAATATTTTTATTACATGCACCAGGCGCTTACAATTGTTTCTTCCTAGTGAATCAAAGGGAGCGCTCCTCATTGACCCCTCCACCCACATCTCCCATCGTGACACCAACTGCCACTCGCGGGTGTGGCCGTGGTCCCAGCAACCGCCGTGGTCGAGGCAAATGTGGCGGCAAACATTGATCCTCGACTTGCTCATGCTTTCAATTTTTTTTTTATCTTGTCGCATTGTTCTCGATGTTGTCTGCACTTCTCATGTTTTCGTATCATTACAAGTTGCTCAATCAATGAATTTTAAATGAATTGAAATACATTATTGGGAACCATTGCACGACAATCAAAGGCCTGAACAGGTTTGAAATATCTTGTATTCTGGCCGGTTCTTACAAGCTCTGCCTGGCTATACACGATCCACAAGTTCTTGAATGATTCACCTGTCTTGTTACAACCTTACATAAAACCCGAACCATCGAAGCTCGTGCATGGTGTCTCACCAGCCTGGCGGCACCTTGTGGCACCTAGTGAACCTGGTGTACCCATACACGACAAGGTGACGACATATAAGGTGGGTGCCCTTTTGTTGATGCTAATCCATTTATTTGATTCATGACTATGTGCATCATAATTAGTTTGCAATCATTTGGATCATCCCTAGCAATATTGTAATGTACTGTTGACCCATCGAAATCATATTATATTGACCGTCAACGGTGTCAACAAAATCATGTTCGATTACATTTTGATGCCATAAAAATGCCTATGATAATGCTCCCAATTGGCTTTAAAATGCTAGTTTTGTACCTAATTGTGACAAGTATGGAGATATATATTGTGATGTGATAATAATGACCATCAAAATGCTGACTGATTAATCACAATCAAACCGTGTGATTAAGGTATTTTAATGCAACAAAATGTCATAATAAAAGTTCCGGCAATGGATGACTTTCCATAGGCAAAATAATCCAGAATAGAATATTTCGGAGTCCAAAATACATTTGCAATAGTGACGAAAATTTGGTTTATGCAACAATAATCCCCTGTAGGCTCAGTCATTAGATTTAGTCCAGTCCTTGATGGACAATCTTGCAATGCAGTACCTGCTTCTCAATGAAGACGAAGCAGAACTTTTTGATGATGACGGCCTTGGAACAGTGATGGCAAGTAACTCTTCGTTTAACGGAGGGTGAGGATTGGTTGGAGGTAGGTGCTGGGACAGATTGGGTGAAATTGGATGCACCGGCGGAGGCGGTGTTGTCAGGCCTTAATTTTGTATGGAGGACTTGCAAGTATACTAGAGTTTATGTAAAAAGACGAGGGAGAAAGAGATGTCAACAAATGTTGACGAGTCACAACACACCTTTTGACCACACATTGAGTAAGAGCTAGTTCGGTAACCGAATGTAAGGTGAATTTGCCAGCTGGATTTGATTATATAATGTCGGCTAGTGGTCCCGGTTTGAGGCCCGATGACGGAGTTTTAACTCCCTTTTGACAATGTCTGGATGCCTACTTTGATATACGACTAAAGATCTTCAAGATCACAACAATATCTGGGCTGGTGTTATATCTATAGTATTATCCGCTCAAGTCCACATCCTCTCCATGGCTCAGGAGTCATCTCATAGCACTCATATGGACAGGGCGGTCTGGACTGACACAGAGACTGATCAACTAGTCCAATACCTATTCAACAATTGGGCCCAGGTCTGTGACACCGGTAACTTCAAGGATGTATCATACAATGGTGCTGCAGAGGCCATTGCTCCATACCTGCAGAATGGTCCGATGAAGACTGGGGAGATGTGCAAGACAAAATGGGGATCAGTGAGTCATATATTGATATATTGTTTAGCTATAGACTGATAAGACATTTTTTAGTTAAAACAGACCTATAACGCTATTCAGAAATACCGCCAGCAGTCCGGTGTCCACTGGGACAATGATTTAGGAGCTAATATTCAGGGGGAGGGTGCAGGGGCAGTGTGGCATGAATATATTTCGAAGAAGGTAAGTCAGGTTCACCGCTATATCATGCTGGCGGTAGTCTCACTGTTTTATCATAGGGAAATTTGCCCATGCGCCCTTTTCGTGTGTCAGGATGGAGATACTACGAGCAAATGGACGGTATAATACCACATGGCAGTGGCGCACGAGGGCGCTCTGGGTTCCATCCTCATACAGCCCCTCCCCCTTCCTTGACCTCGAGCTTGGGCGCTAGCATTCCAGCAGTCGGACATAACACCATGGGTCCACCTATTGCTACTTCTAGCATCAGCGCTGCTTCTGCTGGTCCCTCTAATATGGCTGCGTCCACTTCTACTCATACTTCTCAAGGTCCCACCTCTATCAGCAGCATCAATACCCTTTCCGCATCCTTAGTATCTCGTCCTAGCACCAAGCGCTCCCACTCAGACATGGTTAACGAGCCTACCTCATTTCCTGCTCCTGCTCCCTCAATTTCTATGCGAAGTGAAGAGCCACTCACTCAGATGTTGCCGCCTCCCGCTAAGCCAAGCTCCAAAAGAGCCAAGACATCATCAGGCCGCGCGCAGACTCAAACCGGTGTCGCCACCAAAGACAGCAAATCAGATGTCAAGATCTCAAAGGCCACCACCGCTGTAGCTATGATAGGGTTCCAGAGCTCCGTTAATCGCTTAACGGATATGATTTCTGAACGCATGGTCTATCCCAAGGATCGGGTGATGGACCAGTGCTCGAGGGCCATGCAGATGTTGCAGGATCATGATGCTGACTTGCCATTTGAGGAGCAGCTGATGATGCAACAAGTTTTCGCTATGGATCCTGCAGCTACTGATATATATACGCAAACCACTGACAAGGACATGCGCCATGCTTTCATTCTTTCAACGGCCCAGTGGTTGGGAATTCAACCTATGCCTAGGCCCAATTCTTAGCGGTACATTTGTCTTACTACTACTCATTGCGCATGAATGTATGAATTGTTGTGCTACTACATGTCATTGTCACTGCCCTCGAGGGAACCCCGCTGTTGCACGATAGTTTGATAATCCTCCCACATGCAGTGTGCAATACGGTTGCGCACTTCCTTCATGGTTCCATTCTCATCAACCTCGTCGTCGTCGTCATCAGGGATTCCTTGGTACGCAGGGTTGTCATAATCAAAGTGTTCATTGTCGTCGTTTGGCTCATCCATGTGCGCTCTCTCATCAGGATGGTGGGCGCATATAAAATTATGCATGGCGCATAGTGCAGCAGGTATACGTGCCTGGATGGGCATAGGATATTCAGGTGAAAGTAAGAGAATGCGAAAATGACGCTTCAACACGCCAAAGATGCGCTCGATCACGTTTCGAGCAGACGCATGTCGCAAATTGAACAGCTCTTCTTTATTTGCTGGTCTGCAAACATAGAATAGATATTAGAAAGTTTAAAGTAAAAAATAAAAAAAACTCACCTGGTATTAGCGCGGCCCCATTCAGCTAGATGATAACGGACATTGCGGTAGGGGACTAGGAGCTCATGGCATAGAGGGAACCCCGCATCTGCTAGAAAATACTTGCTGGGAGGAATATATAAGCCGCCTGCACGAGCCTCATCATAAAGGTGTGCATCTGTAACGGATCCCTCCCAGCCAGTGAGAGCAAATGAGAACTTGAGGTCGAAGTCGCAGGCGAAAAGACAATTTTGCGAAATGAAGCCTTTGCAATTCCGATACGTGGGGCGATCAGATGATGGGGGGTGAGCGTGAATATGACTACCGTCGATGGCACCGACGGTGTCCTTAAAATATGGCCAGAGCTTGGGATCGTTGCGGAGCTTGTTTGGGGCGTGGTAGGTGTCGTCGGGAGAGTTTACGTGCTTGGTGTAGAACGGGGAGGATGAGAAAATGGACAACATCTTGCGGAAATATCTATGATTGGTGTGAGCTCGTTACCATCATAAATAATGATAAAAAACAACTTACTTTGAGATGGTATCGTTTGATTGTTGAAAGCGCTCACCGACGTGATGGACGGTCAGTCCCGTAACACACGTGTAAAGAAATATGGCGAGTTGTTCTTCCAGGGAAACATAGCGCGAGTTTCCATGACCCAAGGTGCAAAGTTCTACTATAAGGGAGTGAAATGCATCTGCGCGCATCCCAAGTTCACACCGTATACGCTCTGGGTGGCCCACAATGAGCTCTGGGTGGCCCACAATGAGCTCTGTGACCCACTGTTGACCTGAGAGGGCCGATGTATGATACGGCTCCGGTATCGAGTCTTGCAGTAGGGTCTCTGTGGTAGTTAGAAGTACGCTAACCAGCAGCCCAATATGTTGGAGGATTCGCAGGTGATCCCGCCTGGATGCAAGACCACCTGGTGGCTGATTCCGAACCCGACTGAGTTGTTGGATTAATGGTTCGATCGCGTCCGACATCGTGTGCAATCATCGATCTCATAGATAATGAGTACTACTATACCACTGATGACAATTGAGACTCAGCCAGCGGCAGCATCTATGCCGACATTATATAATCAAGTTCAAGCTGGCAAATTCACCTTACATTCGGTTACCGAACTAGCTCTAAGGCTCAATGATTACGTCAGCGAATATCACTGGCGTAGTGGCCTAAAACGGACGAAAGTCGGATATTCAAGTCTGCAGGGGGGGGTACCCCCCCTACAGATCAAAATAAATTAAGGTTTGAAAACGGGGGGCAAAGAAAATACTTTTGCAAATTGTGCTCAAATGAACAGCGGCATTGCAGCACACCTTCCTAATGTAGTCAAATTTATGATATGATATTCTAATAAACATTTTTCGAGCCTATGGAAAGTCATCCAATGTCCCTGTCAAAATCAATAAGATAATTTAATGTTGGAGCAAAAAAAAAAAGGTCCTGGGATGCCCGTAGGGCCGTACTACACAGCAAGAAGTTAGTTAAGCCTGAGGTTAACCTAATCGTTTTTGCACTTAATATATATATATAATTTGTATCTTGTACTGTTTTGTATGAAGACAGAGTACTGTGTTAGGATAAGATCTGCCGGTTAAGCATAGAAAAGGACGAAGCACTAATGTGGAGTTGTCCGGCAGCCGCCAAGCGGATGGCCTCAGGTTCATCGAGAGTTTAACCTGCGGCTCAAAGTGTTTTGTCCGTCGGCCAAAAGCGATATGTCCTGGGAACAACGCCATTCAATGGCTCCGGCCCATATGTGCTATCTGCGCAGGACTTCTTTCAGCTATCCTTAAGTCATCGTCATTCGCTGCATCAACACAACAGCTACTCGATCAACAGGCCTGTTGGGTCAATTCGCTATAGCTGAAAACTACTCATCCTGCGAACAACGTCCCGCGCGAATTGAGGGCGCAATAGTTCAAATTTAGACAAGCCAAAGTAAAATTTTGTTAAGTCCCTTGCTTCTCACCTCACTAACACTAGTACTTACTGTCGTTACTAGCTAATATGTAGTGTCGAGCTTGTACTTACACCACTCGCGCCTTCATAATTTTTCGTGTTCTTTATCTTTACCTTTACCTTTTATCTGTCATATACCGTACACTGAGCCCCTGAATCATATCCCATCTCTCCCAACAAACAATGTCCGGACCTCCGAAATGTAGCCAAGCTATACCTTAACCCTATCCCTACCCCTCGGCAGGATAACTCCACATCCCAGTCTCCACCGGACATACCCCTCAGCAGGATCTGCCCTGTTTCCCATATACGTCGGACGTCCTATTCATCGGTCCTCCTCCTGTATACCTCAGATCTCCTTTTCGTCGGACGTCCTATTCGTTGGATCCCACTCATGTCGTCCACTCGTCTACTCGTCCACTCATCTACTTGTCCACTCATCTACTCGTCCACTCGTCCGCTCGTCCACTCGTCCGCTCGTCCACTCGTCCGCTCGTCCACTCGTCCACTCGTCCACTCGTCCGCTCCTCCTGTATTCGTCGGACATCCTATTCATCGGACATCCTATACGTCGGACCCGCTCGGGTCCACTTAACCCCTAAGCATCGGACCCTAAACATCGGACCTACTCAGATCCTGAGCTTCGGACCCAGGTCCACTTAACCCCTAAAACATCGGATCCACTTCACAGTTCATCTCCGTCCCCATTTCCCGTGATCTGCTTGACAGTTCATTTCCGGTCCTGCTCCTATTCTGTTACCCCATTTGTATAGTCCCCTTGTCCTAACCCCTATATGCCCGGATCTGTTTGACAGTTAATATCCGACTTCATTCTCGATCATACCTCCTATGCCTGGATCCATTTGATACTTCATCTCCGTCTCTGTTCCTGTATTATTTTCCTTGCGCCTGTCAGTTAAACCTTTCCGTATGTCCCTCTTGTTGACCCGGATCTCTGCCAACTCCGTCCCCGTCGCACATGTCCATAGTATATAATACCTTGTAAACTCGTAGTAGTTTCCTCAGTTCGAATATCACCTTAGATTATCCTCATTCCTGTTTCCTCAGACCCGGATCCATTTCCATGGGCCCGGGTCCACTTCCCTGTCCAACCTCTGTGTCCTGGGATTGATTCCTCGGGCTATACTCCGCCTCTACCTTCGGGTAGTCTACCTCTGTCAGTTTCTACTCTGGACATTGTCTAGTGTAGTCTTACCTCTAGCTTCTGTCCCCTCGGACTTCCTGTCCTTCTGTCCCCTCGGACTTCCTGTCTTTCCGTCCTTACACCTGTCTGTTTCTGTCCCCCACGTCCGCCGGACTAAAGCCCCTATTCTCCGGGTGTACTGAGCCCCTATTGTCCGGTGGACTAATCCTTTATGTCGGCCGGACTAATCCTCTTATGTCGGCCGGACTAACCCTCCTTACGTCGGCCGACGAACCCCCTTTATGTCGGCCGGACTAATCCTCTTATGTCGGCCGGACTAACCCTCCTTACGTCGGCCGACGAACCCCCTTTATGTCGGCCGGACTAATCCTCTTATGTCAGCCAGACTAACCCTATGATCGGCCGGACTAATCCTCTTATGTCGGCCGGACTAACCCTCCTTACGTCGCCCGACGAACCCTCCTTACGTCGGCCGGACTAACCCCCTGAACATCGGCCTGACTCTTCCTTGAAAAGCCTACCAGACTTGTCCCCTTGAAGTCCACCGGGATTCATCATCCTCCCTCGGACTTTGTTTCTAGCCTTCGGAAATTAAGGGCACGTACTCGGGTAAGGGGCGCAGCGCACGAGCTGAAGCCAAGCCCTTCGGATCCGCCCTTTGAGCATGGTCTTAACATTATCATTAACTCTGCCAGCCTCCCTAGTGGCCCCTTCCACACCTTCCTGCATCCCTGCTGCTATCTCTCGTGGTTCTGGCACCTGTCGCTTCCCTGCCATATCCTCCCGCAGCCTGCCACGGCCCTGATACCACCCCTACCTTTCCAGTAACTGCTGACTCTATCTCGCATCCTTTTTGGTAAGCCTTCTCTTCTCTTTCTCACTTTTTATACTGATAAGTATGCCTTCCGCGCCTCTTATCATAGTGCACCCTCATTCGCTCCCCTCACACACCCGCTGCTATGTAACTCGTCCATGTAAGTCTTTCTCTTAATTTCGTTGTCTTTTTATTTTACTAATCCCATGACAGGCATATTTAATTGCATTCCTACTCTTCTCTACCTCTCGCACCCTCTCTCAGCCTTCTCGTACCGTCTCACATTATCATTCTCTTGCGCCTTCTCATACTGTTTAGGGTTGTTGTTGCGCCCTACCTTGTAGCTTTCCTGTATTCTCTCGTGCCCCATGCCATCTAGCACCTCCTTGCATTGCTGTTGCTGTTGTTGTTATTGTCTTACTGTAGCTTTGTAATTACTATGCATTGTATCTTTCAATGAAGTTTTTTTTTTAGCTTTTGTGTGAAATTAACAAATGACCAGTACTACCCAATCTTAGCATAAGGGCCAATGCCGCCCAACAAGCAGTACTGCACTAATCTCGGCCTGAGGACCAACACTACTCAATCCTATCAAGCTAATCCTCATGAATGGAGGTTTGCTGAGGTGGATACACAGGCTCCTCTGGGACTTGCACCAGTTCTGTAACCATCAAATTTGCCAGTACATAGCTCAATAATCCTCATGCTCTGGAACAGCCGGTAATCAGGTTTCGATTGCCCGCATCCACCGGATAAAAATAACATTGCAACCGGCGGCTAAAGTTGAAGATGTCCTGAGGTTCAAAGCCACATCACCCGTGGGACAACACTAGGATGAATTGAGCTTTGCCATCACACTCGGTGTCGCACTTTACATTCGATTATACGGAAGCCAGCAGATCCTTTTTGCACTCAATCACGTCTAGTATCATCCTAGCTACAAGATTTCTGGGCCAACCGCTGGTGAAGCTAGTTGTCTTACTGTGTATAGGTGAAGGCCATAGGTATTTTGGGGCAGCATTTTATGCTGGTGTTGGGTTTTGAGGCAAACAAGCCTAATCAGAGTTGCCGAGGCACGTAATCGTCCACTGAGAATAATAAAGCTCCCTAATTGGGCAACCCAGGTGCATCTGACCATATGTGTTTCGTGCCACTGTTTTGTTGATCACCGCACAAAACTTCTTTACATACGCTCAACATACGCTTCGTTTCCAGCTGTACTGTAAACCCTGGCATATAACAGATCCACTTCACCGCGCGTTTGAACATGGACAGCGAAGTAGTGAGAATCAATCATGGATCAGACGTGTTTGTTGTCCGCGCATGTTCCAATGATGACGGGGCGGACTTGTTGGCTATCGCAGGCGAGCATTCAGTGGAAGTCTTCTGTGTAGTATGTGCGTTCCCAAGCTGTATGAAGGAAGCCGTTGATTTGTTCTTTTTTTTCATTTAAAGAGCCCACTCATCAATGACAGGATAGCGTCTTTTCATATTGGAAGACGCATAACAGCTCTAGCGTGGTCGCCTCGATCCATTTCACCTAGTTCAAGTGATGACTGGATTATCGAGTAAGGCAGTCGTAACTGTCCGCAAAGCACGAAGTTGACGCTGTCCCAGAATTACTGCTGCCGCCTCAGACTTCAGCCTTCACCTGCTAACAAAGTCCTCAACATCTTCCGAGAACATGTTCGCGTTTGGCGGTGGTCTCAGCGGACATCACGGCAGAGTCAATGACATGTGCTTTTGTGGCGGACGTGATCAAGACAATGCGAGATATGTCGCAACCGTGGCAGGTGCATAACTCGTTTAAATTACACAATGAGCATACTCATCTCGTGCCCAGATGACAAAATGCTGATGGTTTGGGATCTACACCCGGCGCTGGACATTTCTTCCGGAATTCCTTCTCCAGAGAGGTCAATGGGTACTGACGCGTCGTCGTCACCTCATCCTCGCCCTCAGCCAACTGCATATGTTATTTCGTTTCCCCATCCCCTCGTTACTGTGAACTGCCACCAATTCAGCAGCAAAGAATTTCTGGTATCAGACTGCCGAGGTTCTATCTTCTTGACAGACTGGAGGTCTGATCCGGAGCAAAGCGAGCAGGGGAGCTGGAGGCACTCTAGTGTTATTGAGCTCGTTGAACCACACGCTTTGTCCAAGTCATTTATGGGCATTTCATCACAGTGGACAGGATTTGCAGCTTGGCGTCAAGATAACATTGATATGTTGGTGCACAATCAATTCTGAGTTCGTCTTGCAGTTGACTTTGTATACCATACAGCGTAGGGGCAACTTACGGCTCCCGCTTTTCCATATGGGACTTGTCTAAGCCTCAGGGTGGAAAACCTTTACAAACTGGTATCAGTTTTCCTGAAGGCGGTCACCAATTCCGGTACGCTTAATCCATTGTCTGTAACTACCGAAGCCCTTACTTTGGTCTGCAAGATGGTGCCCAACGAATCCGGATTATTTCGCTGTTGCGTCCCAGTGCCCAACCAAAGGAGCTATCATTCACGTTCATGACATGAATTATGTTCATGCACAACCTCACGTTATCAACATCGCTCCCCGCCCTCATCGCGTCAGGGATTTTGATTTTATGGCTAGGAAGGATAACCCAGCGCTTGCGGTTGCATATGGTGTAGAAGTCATTGTTTTCCCCATCGGCGTTGAGTGACATTTTAATGGAGAATCAATTACGATGACGTCATTCATGAACCAATACTACTGCGGTACTGAGGTGCTGCCAGAAAATTCCGTGTATGAAGAAGATAAGTGCAAGAGAAGCAACGCCCCCATCAACTGGTCCCAAATCCACTTTGGCTGATAGGTGGTATGTGTACGTATGAATTCTGGGGATAAGTACCAGCTGTGTCTCCGTATGCGATGTTGCGGAAACCGTCGTTCGCGGGAACGGTGGTACCGTTCTCTCCAAAACCAAGCTCGACTAACATACTGCGGTAGTAATGAAAGTCGGTTTCTGAGACATGCCCAATGTTATAACCTGGCAGTTGACCCGAAGGGCCATACGAGCCAGACGTGCGGCCTAATGTATCCGAATAGTTTGGTCCTCCGCAAGGTGCGTTTTGGCTGCTCATATCAGGAGACGTCTGCGTCGGGTACACAGGATATGGCAGTAGGGAAGAGGATGGTGGGCATGAAAATTGATGGGATGGGCATGGAGCAGTCGGGGTATACGGACCTGACAATTTAACTGTCAACATATACACTGCATAGGAGGGAGACCGCTTACTTTGAATGTTTGGGTCAATGGGAATATCTTTTTGAGCGTTTTGTCGAGCCCGGTCTATATCATTGCGAACGAGACTCCACAGAAACCGAGCGTGGTAGGCAGCTGATGTCGAGGTGGGTGAAAGGTGAGAAGCTTCCTGATACGCATCGGCTGTTTTCGTGATCGCAGTATGAATCTGGTGAGCTGCACCCTCCGGTAATTCTGATTGCAAGTCTGTGTGAGTGTTAGAGCTGCGGAGTAGCTAAGGTCGACGCATCAACTTTACTCAGATTTAGATATAGCACATTTATTACCTTCAATAGAAATATGGCAGAGTATGCAGTCATAACGGAGGTTGTCTCTTGTCCGTAGCGCTGCATAATGTGTCAATCAATGAAAAGTATAATAGAGAAAACCTTACCAAAACACCAAATTCCCTAAAGTCTTTAGATGCGATTCCCAACACATTCAATGCATTTTCGAAGCAAGCCGATAATGCGCGAACATGACTATTCGTGCGGTTGGCCTGAGGGCGAGACAGTTTAGCAACGACGCGTCCAAAGAAATCTGCGACTTACGGGTGGGATGCTGGATTGAACACCAAAACTATTCAAAAAAAGACTCGAATAGAGGCAAAAGAAAGTGATGAAGGAAAAGTGGAAAGATTCTCCATTAGCTATCAAGAAAATATGAGGTCATGCGTCGGAATATGAAATGTCGTACTCCTCACCTTTTCTCATCTCATGGTCCCAGGTAGTGGTCCACAGTGCAAGCTTTGCATTGCAATTTTTCAGCACCATATCGATATTGACTTGACTGTTTCCACCGTCCGACAGACTCCGGTTCGTGTGGAACATGTCTGTAGCCTCGGTCTAATACCATCAGACTCTGTCATAGAGGTATAGAAAAAGTAAAGGTCTCACCGCTATACGACGGAGCTGTGCGAAAGCAGAAACGATAACATCTTCGCATCGAACAGGGGACCCGCCCTGCTCATGCCAGGTTTCAGAGTGCCTTATAAAGTCATCCTACAACGCGTGTGAACTGTCATATCCTGGGAAAACAAAATGACTTACTTCAGGGAGCATCCAATGCCGACCCGTCTGCATGCTGAGACTCCGGTCATGCACAAATAGGACGAGGTACGTCCTTTCTCGGTTTCGCCTTTCACAAAGCTGGAAATCGGTTTCGTGAGCAGGAGGTTTGGCATGATATCGGTTGAGGCCAAGCTCTACGGCCATCCGACACGCCTGAACACAATTCGTAAATCAAGTTGTCGATGCCAATAAAGTCTGGATCACGCACATATCCAATGTACATCCACGTCCGCTTCATTGAGATTCAGCTTGAGCAAATTGAGACGGATCCAAAACACACTCACATTATCGTCTTGTTCTCTCCAATAAGTAAGGCAGGCAAAAGCTTGGATCACTTCTACTCGTTTCCAACCTTCTGCGAATGCCCGAATTGCAAGCTCATTAGCAAGCCTCAGACATTCCTTGTATAAGCTTGGTTCAAAGAATTTGCAGCCGGCCATTATCAAGGTAGTAAATAACAAAGGGCATTTAGACCGCACATAGGCAACAGAATGCAGAGCTGGATCGAAAAGATTGATAAATGGATTCAGTCGAAGGAAGATTGCATCGAAGAGGATCTTTGCTTTGTTTTCGTTGATTAGGCCGGCTGTAATTGGATCATTATAGCCAATCGGGAGAGGCGCCGGGCGCAATGACTGGGGGAGGTAAGGATCTCGAGGTACATGAAGCATTGGTGACTTGTGTTCTGGGTTGAGGATGGTCCTGAAAAAGGAGTTTTCCCTTCTGATCAATTTGGCAGGGAATTTCTCATCACTCCTTTCCTCGTACTCTTCCTCCTCTGGATCAACGGTACGTGAACTGACACTTGAAGCCGCATATCCGTCTGATAGTATTGTTTTGAGTCAAAGTTTATAATCTGATAGGTACGAAATAAATTACCAGCGGAACCATAAGCGTCCGAGGACTGGAGTGCGCCAAACTGAGTGGTTTCTGTCTGAGGAGTACGCGGGTCCGCGGGAAATACTGTCGACAACGATGAATCATTTTGCTTGAGTTTCGCTGTGTTCAATCCTTTCTCTAGGCGTCGGAGCATTTTAGACGCTTCGGATAGCCTTGGGACACTGTGAGATGAAGTAGGCAAGGTAAGAAGAATATTCTGACTTTGATCCAGGTTTGCGTCCTCTGCGATGCTTCTCAAAGACACAACTTGCAGAAAAGGATCAATATCATGGTGGAATAATTGAATGATTGCTTACTCTACGCCTGTTCGTTTGCACCTTTGACAAGACTTGAGACCATCTTCTGCGCCGACGCATTTCATCTATCAGAAAGTCAGATGATTTATCTCGATATGAGTGGAGCACGGACCTTTGCTGCGCGACAAACAGTGCATGCTCTCGGATTGCGCACAATAGGCGGTTTTGAGCTGGAGTGAGGCTTGGTAAACATCCTTGATTGACCAGATTGCCGTCATGGAATGTCTTACGCTGCCCTTGACTGCTCGTCTACAAACTCTGAAGTGCCTTGCATTCCCACTTGAAGTCGATACGGTTATCAACGTCAACGGTGACTCGGCGTCTCTTTATCGACCGGGGAAGGCCGGTTAATTTAGACTGAAATTAAGGTGTAGAGAGGTTAAAATAGTATGGAGGACGATGAGATACTTGGGTAGACGATTGAGAGAAAGACAAAGTATGGAGGTAGGAGGATGAACAATTGGAACTAGTAATACGCAGCGATATCAGTGAGGCGGAAGAGAGATGGGGAAGGGCACAGTCGCAGTGGGATCTGTCGCAAATAAAGCCGGGCGGCAGAAAGAAGTCGAATTGCCGAACGCGGCAATCATGAAAATGTCCGATTATTACAAACAATAAAAAACAGAACAAACCTCATAATTAATTTAAGATCTGGCACAATCCCGATACTTGGTTTGCTGCTACCTAGCCTAGCTCTGGTACTAATTGTCCATTGAATATGTTCAACTTACATGGTCGTACCCTCGTATCGCCTTATCCCAACTTCCGAGAAGAAGGGAACAAACAGTAGTTCAATGAACGCAAGTTGCCGAGCTTAGGTACAGGTACGCTCCCTCCGGACTATCGGCTATTTTTGGTTGACCGGAATTAGCCGTTACACTTTGTCACCACCTGAACATTTAGGCCCTAGGGATACCGAACTAGGATGTCACACATTGTCACACCCATCAAACTCCGATCCTGTAGCAGATTACATAAATAGTCCACCGAACTGTGACCGGTCACTAAAAATACCCATCAGATGTCATTCCCAAGTGCTATCTGACCAGCTGCGATGTGCGCGCAAAACAAACGCGTCCGAACATGCCTCTCTAATAATGGGCGACTAGATTAGACCAGCTCTCGAGTGTTGTCATTTCACCGCAGTCATTTTGAGGCACGCGTTTCATGGCACAAAGCACAAAGAATTTCTTCAGTGTTTTCACGTAGGTCACAGATCTCCAAAATACCATGTCCAATAGCAATCATAAATATGTGGAATTCCGTGCACTGGATTGGGAGTTGTATTAACGTCAGGGACGCCTCGTGGCCAACACGTTCATACACCTATTATTCGCGAATCGTGAACTTACCCTTTGTGGCACCTTGTCCACAACGTATACAAGCACAGTATGCTCAGTCAATAGCAATCCTCGGTTCCCTTAAGCTTCGCTATGCCCTTACTCACTCGCAATGTTAACCTGACTATCCATCTCACTTCCAGCATCAATGGCCGGGAAACCATTTCAACGAATTCCAGCACAAAAATACTTACGACAAGTCCCGGGCACGCTACATCAGTCTCCATCCCAGCAATCGTCGGCGGTACTGCCGCGGGGATCGCGCTTGCGGTAGCAGTGTTAGCAGCATGGAAATGGTGGACATCGATCATCAGACAGCCCAACAAAAAATGCCACTCGCGGAGGGTATGCTTCATGTAATTCCCGACTTTAATGCCTTTATCATTCAGTTGCTCAATAGCAAAATGTTCTTAGGAGACGTAACCGAGCAACTCCTGATATTCCAAATGGGGAGGGCTGCAGCCGTTCGAATGGTACGGGATGCTCAGACGGGAAAAAGAGTCTTGCAGATTCACCACCAACCACAATAGGCACTACACATCACACGACTCCCGTTCAGCATTCATTAACCATGGCTGCACCGTCGCCAGGACCCCCAACAAAACCCCCACGTAATCCAGCTCGTGCTATGCGACGTCCTTCTGACCATTTCAAGGAGGGCGTTACGCGTGGAAGTAGGACGTCGTTTGTGCGGGCTTCGAATAGGTTGTCTTATAAATCAACCATCAGCACTGCTTCGATGTATTCCACCCAGACTAGTGAGGAGGAACAACAAGTGCCCGTGCCCGCAGCTATTATAACAGCAGCCTTAGGTGGCACTAGACACCTTTCAAGACCTGGTCATAGCTACGAGCACTACACCATTGGTGAAGAGCAGGCAGAGCAAGCGGAGTTGGTAATTCCTTGTTCAAGACCGCAGCATTCTACAGACCTTGCCCAATTACATCGGGTCTCAAATATCAGTGCTGGGTCACTGTGCCTGCAGCAGGGGGTACAGTCAACTGATTCAATTGGAGTAGCATATGGGGGTGAAGAATCGTGATGGGGTATTAGTAGATGATCCAGAGGGCGAATGATTGGACTATGAAATCAATAGCCGTAGTTTAGGATTTACATACTATTGGACACGCAGGAAACACGTCATGGACCATGCTATAAGTGTGGAGGTGGCTCTTGGCTGTGCCTACCGAAGAGAAGCAAGATGTTGCTGGCAGGTCCATGCAGGACAGTAAGTTGAAAACCGAATGTCAGGACCAGTTCACCTACCGATTCCGCTTGAGTGACACTAGCATTAAACTCCCTAACTTCTCGCCAGCAGTCCAGAGGCGTGGAGGGATTTTGTCTATGGAAGCGACAAATGAGTGACCTCAGAACGGGATAAACCAGGATAGGCTCACTTATAACAAAACACCACTGCTTCGCCGCTTTCCTTCACCGCAGGATAATCGCTGAGCTGTCTCCTAGCCTGGAACCTGTCTACCTTGGTACGAATCTCTTCAAGATCACCCATCAATGTCACACTATTCTTGACATCGACCTCATCTGAAGATTCTCCGCCTGTCAATGTCGAGGTCATGTCCCGGTCAATGTTCTCTCTCTCAAGAGCGAGTTCGATTTCCTTCTGCACACTTTCCTCTTCCGCTCGTAGATGCTCCAACTCCGCTTGTATGCGAGCACGTACGTGGGCATCGAGCGTGGATTGCCGTTCTAGTGAAATGTCTGGTGACATCGAGGTATCCGAGAGGTGGTTCACAACATCCTGCGAGAACTTGACATTATGCACAACTTCAGGAAACTAGCTTTGGGGATAGGAAAAAGACCAAACCTGAATGGGTGTCTCGTTATAAAAGACCTTTTCTTCTGTGTCCGCTTTGGACTGGCCAGCGCCCATGATTGACAAGAGTTTTACAATATAGTAGCTAGCGCTTATTTGTGTTTTCTACGGCGTTTCGGACTTTCAATGAACTCGGGGAAGCTCGGCAAACCATTTCAACATGCTTTTCGAATTTTCATCAGCGCAACGCCCCCAATGCTACTTCACAACATAGGTGCAATGTCATATTCCACGCGAAACTAAACAGTCTCCTCGCCGCAGGTTAATAGTGGGACGGCAACATTGACTGGCCACCAGAACCAAGTCCCGTCCACATCAAATTAACCCGCAGTATGCCTATGTTGGTATTTATGACCGTAATCGAGTAACCTTCACCTGTTGAGCGAGTACAAAGTTATAGAGGAGGGATTCAACTCACCAGTCCGGTTCGATCTCTGAGAGTATTCTTATCCTAATAAAAGATGAAGTTTACAACCACTCATCCAAGTGAGTAGACTAACTGTGTCCTCTTGGTTTCTTCCACTTCGTGGAAAACAATCCACCCAGTCCGCGGTTTTCGGGTGAAAAGCACAGATGTCGGGTGGACATACAGAGTCTGCTTGAGTGAACAACAGTGGATACCGTACATTTGGCAATATGGCGTACTTTGTTTCCCTTCACCGATCGGTACGTTCCATCTGCAACCCATCGGGCGCCATTGCGCCAATACCCACTGACTAAACATTGCCGAAGCCGTTTAGCATCACCTTCGCAGCTCTGGAGAGGCAAGTTGAAGCGGGTCATGTATTTTTTCAGCTGGGACCGAATCGACACCGCTCTCGACATGGCACGGAAGTTGAGGGCATGAGCTTTGCACCATGATGAAGATCGACCGTATTTAGTGAAGGCATTATATGCTACCGAACGTAAGCAATCAACTTTGGGCATAACAACCAAATACCATTTAAAAGTGTCAAATGATCCTGATATCAATATTGTCAGTTTTTGAATTGAGGTGGACTAGGATTGATCGTACCCCTTCATCAGCTGTGAATTTTCGTCTCTCCAGTTCTGCAATCGCTCCGGGGGCACCGTCAGGTATGACAAATGCATCCTATAATGAACAGTTAAACATGATAGGGACGTTGGACTAATAAGGCTCTCACTTGTATTGAAATCATAGCCGCAATTGTAAGAATTTCTTCACCGCAATTGAAATCCTTTGAAGTAAAAAGCTGCTTTGCATCAAGCCGTGCAACAAAAGTCAATGTTGTTAGCAAAGCGCACCATTCTAGCTATATTGACCTCAATGGGGCATTCTGCAACTCGCTCGCCGATTGGAGTAAGGAGGCCATCGTCGCCAATCATTCCTGCAGCAAAGAGCCCTTCAAGCGCACGTAGAATGCTTTCTGCTGGAGGTGCCGAGACCCATTCAAACTTCATAAGGTCATCTATACCTAAGGATTTTAGTTGCAGGATCGGAGTGGTCATGTCAGTACGAGTAATTTCAGGCGGCGTGCTCGTAGGAAGAGAAGCGAAAACGGATTCAGGATATAAACGATAGCAAATTCCTGGCGAGGTCCGTCCGGCACGACCAGCCCTCTGTATAGCAGATGCTCGGGAAACAGGGACTGTCGACAAGGAGGCAAGGAAAGTAGTTGGGTTGTATGTCCGTATCTGGAGCCCATGAGAGAACGCGGGTTAGAAGGTAATGAAACTGACCTTTACAAACCCACTGTCGACAACAAACTTCACCCCATCGATGGTGACGCTGGCCTGATTACATCATAAGACGCCAGGTTGCCGAGAATGGCGCGACTCACTTCTGCGATGTTTGTGGCGGCGATGACCTTTCGCGTCCCTCGCTCTGCAACGTTAAAAACCCTGAGCTGTTCTTCTGTGCTTAAGCCGGCGTGCAGTGCAAGAGGAATTATCTGTGTAGCTCCTCGTGGAAGTCTAGATAGTATCAGAGTTTGCATGAGCATAGGTATCATACGCAAGGAAACTGTATGCGCACGTAGGAATAAGTTCTGTGAGTTCCTCCAAGCATCTATCTATTTCTTCACGTCCCGTCAGGAATATCAAAATGTCACCACCGCCGTGCTGCGTAATAGGGGTAATGTGGCGAAGAACCAGAAGGTCCAGATTACGCACCTGCAGGTTAATACTCCATGCAACTTCAACCGCCTTCCTCACATAATCTGGAGCGGGCTCTTGAAGGTAAGCGACCTCAACAGGAAACATACGCCCTTCCAGACTAATGATAGTGGCGTCGTCTGGATGTGTCCCGGAAGTGAAGTATTCTAAGAACGATCTAGCATCCAAAGTAGCCGACGACACTATCAGCCGAAGCGACGGGCGCTTGCGCCTAATTCTGCGAATCGCGTCATCTTAGCTAAGTAGCCAAAGGCAAAGATTAAAGAGTGTTGGACAGACTTCTTCAACACACCCAGCAGTAGATCTGTGTAGAGACTTCGCTCGTGCGCCTCATCAATCTGGCAACTCACTGAGCATACGCCGAAAAGAGTAATGTGGTACTGACCATAATGACGCTGTAGCGCGAGAGGAGAGGGTCAATCAGCGTCTCTCGAAAGAGCATGCCATCAGTCATGTAGCATATCCGAGTTCGTCTTTTGTCGCTGACATCTTCAAAACGGATAGTATATCCAACCTATGAGAATACACGTAAGCGATGCAGAGCTATATCGGCTTGGTGGCGTACCTCATCCCCAAGAAGGGTACCGACTTCTGCTGCAACTCTGATAGCGACGGACGTTGCTGCAACACGTCGTGGTTGGGTGCATGCAATGACATTACCTTCGGAAGCCCATCCAGATTCTAGGAGATACTGGGGTAGTTCTCAACCTAGAGTGAGATGGAACTTGGATTATCTGTGATATTTGATAATTGCTCACGAGTTGTCTTTCCTGACCCTGTTTGACCGACGACGATTGTGACACCATACTTCTCTACGCAATGCAAAAGTTTTTGCCCTATAAAATAGAGTTGGGCAATGCTTAGAAGGCAACGGCAGTGAGTGAGCATACGGTGTTTCCAAATGGGCAATCGTTCACGCTGCGCTTGTATAGAAAGGGAACCATGCGAAGGTGCAGATTGAACAACATTTCCTTCCTCCTCTGTTGCTCTGTCAAGTGTGCTTCCAGGTCCAGCAGTTCCTGGCTTCCAGAACGTCAAGGTAGACATGATGGTTGGCGGGAAGTGTGATCTAAGTATAACGATGGTTGTTTGGATCCAAAGGCTTTGCACGCAGTGTACAAACAACCATTAATAACGCGCTGCGCTTGTTGTTGTTAATACAAGCGTTATTTCCTTCCAAATGGATGCCCGAGAAGATCTGCCTAAAATATCAGTGGAGACAGAACAGGATTGGCGACGTCTTCAGCGAAACATCTCAACCGCTTTCCTAGATAGATTGGACTTGGAACTTGAATCTCAAGGTACCAGCCAAGACAGGGAAACATTTCTGCCTCACATAAACCAAGTAAGCAAAGCATCTCTCGTTCAAACACGATGTTCTGAAAGATGTCAGTTCCTTGAAACACTTTTTGCGATAACTAGGCCAAATCTCCGTATCAACGGACGGACTACCGAGGAACCATACGATGACGACGAAGGTGAGAGTTATATGTTTGACAGTGATTTAATGTTGCTCATGGATGATAGAAATGGAGCCTTTTGATGAGGCTCTTGACCGACATATTTGGTCGCTTTCCGATCAGCGACTAAAGTGGGATAGGGAAATTGGAGGTCGCCGCCGGACACGTCCCACGGAAGTAGAAGCCCTCGTTCAGGGGGTTTACGCTCAGCATCGTAGTGTTGACATGGATATTGATGCGACTCAGAAATCACATCCCCCAGATCTGGATGGTACGTGTGGAGTTTGAATAGGAGAACGCATCTAAATCACCAATAGACAGCCAACTTGATCATGAGATGGAAGAGACTTTCGTAAACGCTGTTACTATGTCAGCTCAGCTTTCTCAGGTAGGGTTCTTCCAACACCTAATTCAACGTGCTTACATGATCTCTGCAGTCTATTTCCATGCAATATGAGCGAGCAAACAGATTTACTGCTGTTTCGAGCGAGGTGAAGACACTAAAACCTTGACATCAACATACGCACGACGTGACGCGTACTATTTTCATGATCCCCTGAATCCGCCTCTTCCACCTCGAGGTGCGAAACCTCCACTGCTACCACGGGCACTCCCTCCTCTGAAACCCCCTCTGAAACCACCCCGATCGCCACCGAAACCACCTCTTGCCCCGCCCCTGCTAGCGCCTCGTCCTCCCCGTCCTCGTCCACCAGGGGCCCCCCGTCCCCGTGGCATACCGCCTCTTGCGGTACCGCGCCCGCGTTCTGAAGATGATCTACAGTGAATCGGAAGCTTATATAAGAGAAGAAAACATACTTGTTATACCTAGACAAATAAGGCTCAGGCGCAGAAGAGGAGAGACTCATAGAATAGAGCATACCTGCAACTTTTGGTTTGGGGAGGAATCGCTCGATGGGTAACAATTTATCGCCTCCAATATATACTTTATCTCCTTGCTTGAAGCTGCTTGCAACCATACCTTCTCCCATTTTGACTGAAAAATAAACTTCATTGATAGGGCCAAGGATCTCGTCGACCTTGCCAATCACGGATTTGTTCTGAAGGTAAATGGGGGCGTTGAAGTAAGGGACCCTGTCGGATATGAGGGAGGAACATAACATCTCGTCCTCCACAGCATGCATAAATGTCCCCATTTCTACCAAGGATAAAAACGGTGACACGCAAATTGTAAGGGTAATAGATATCTTACCGACGACTGTAGCTGGAGGGCCAAAATCACGCTGCTGAAATCCTCCACGTCCCCCACCGCGTCCTAGAAGAATGAGTCAAATTGGACTCTCAGTAAGAATTACACGCGTACCTCCTCTGCTAAAGCCTCTTGCTCCTCGACTCATGGTGTGCAAGGAAATAAAAACAAAGTGATTATGTAAGCAACTGCATGGACCAAGTTACAGTAAGTAGTTGTATGCTTGGCAATGGGCATATAAGTACACAATTTCGCGTTTGTCCTTTACTAGTAGCACACTGGCCAGCAAAGGGCAACGTCAAATCGCTCTTTCGACAAGCTTTTGAATTCGATGAGCTTCTTTTTCCGCCATTCGCCCAGCGTAGAAGGGGAGTTTACTCTCAAAGATCCTCCGGACAAGGCTGGTAGCGATACCGTGCTCCTGAGCTCCCGTTTGTGGGCATATTTGTCTACACCGCAGGATTCCCGCGTTCTTGTCCTAATATCTTCTGGCGATTCAACCGCACCCTTATCAATATCTCAAGACTTGGAATGTTTGACTTGTTGGGCGAACGAGGATCCTGATGTGCGTTCATTAAATATGTTCATGTTTTGTTCCATGTAATCATTGTCACAAGACCGAGTGCATCGCAGTCCCACCTCACTGGCCAGACCTGTATCCTCATATTTTTGGATCATTCAGTGGCCGGCGGAAACTGCACCTATCCTGTGCAGATGACGTCTCGCTCTCCGAAGTGGTATTGACAGCCCAAACTCCTGACGCATACAGTTTTGCATTGTCCCACAATTCTGCCCTTGAGGAATGGCTTTTCAACTCATCGCTGATCATCCGAATTGGTGAAGAATTACATCTTCCCCGAACGGTATCTCTCTCAAATGGCGACATTTCTGAAGCATTGCACTCGGGGCTCTGCTCGTATCGCTACAGAATTGACGTTGCATACCCGTACTCGCAAGGGATTGTGCAGCGCAATGTCACGCAGTTTGTGGTGACCTGTTTCGATGAAGGAGCAGAAATTGGAGGAGGCACGTCGGTTGTTGGCGTATACTCATCTGATGCTGAGATAGCTTCTGAGCCACTGGAGATCAGTGAATCTTTTCTCATCACTGCTGCACTTCCGGCACCCGTGACTCAACATAATGGTCTTTATGAGGGCGAGTATGTCTCTGCCAGTTTGAATGTCCTGCTAACGTAACTGAATGTTGCAGTCGCCGCAACGAACGCCTATTTCCGACTTCAACCCCTTCAGAGAGAGAACCGGGATGACATTAATAATGACGTTGCTCTGTACCTGCGAACCTCTGATTTCCGTCGGCTTGGTGTCCTTGATGGTGACTGGGTACGTTAATTGCCTTCTTTTGCGCGAAACTAAACGTGCTATGCCCAGGCTGTCGTGAGCGACCTGGAGTCATCCCAGGCAAGGCTGGTGCGCGTGTTTGCGCATGATCACGAATCAGTCCCTTCGTATGTTTTTGATGTGTGATCTTATTACAAGGCTGAAAGGATTTTAGTGGTGTTGTGAAAGCTTCGCCGTCGCTGATTTCCTGCATCCGTGTTGACTCTTCCAGTCTGGTTTGGATTCGTCCGAGCCCTTTTGGTAACCGTCAACCGGCAATACCAGTGGCTCTTACTCTTACTCTTACTCGCATTGCATCACCGTTTTCCACCGGACGCAAGTTCGAGCCTCTTTTTCTTCAAGAAATACAATCCTACTTCAGTTCCTGTAAACGCTTGGTCAAACCAGGAGATTTCATTAACGTGTTCATTGACACCGACAGCGCAGAGCTTACTGATAAGCTTGACAACGGTAAAATCCCGATATATCGGTGAGTTTAGTCTGCACAAAAAATTCGGACCTGCCTCAATATTTTGCACCAGGCTGTCGAGGGGTAACGCACTGGTGTCCTTTGTTGTAGACAAAGTCGACTATGACCTTACCAATGCTGTAAATGACCATTCCAGTCACCCCCAGTTTGCTCGAGGCGACTACGGCTGTTTTGTCGACTACCAGCGCACTCGGATCGTGCTGCTCGGAACACAACATAAAGGCCTCCCAGATATACCCAACTGCAATGCCCTTCGTGAGGACTTTATCATTTGCGACGTTGAGTGATGTGTCGTTGACGGGCGAGTAGATAACGCTAGTGCCGAACCAGGAGAATTATCTTTCTCAGCTGGCACAATGGATGCAATGACTCGTTTGTCGGACGCGCCTCGATTCCAAGGAGCTGTGGAATTTGGCATTCGGCCATTTCTGCTTATTTCAGGAGCTCGGGGATCCGGGAAGTTTACGATGGCTTCTTCTATAGCCCGGCGCCTCGGAATCCACATTGCGGAAGTACGGTCACTTACTGAACTCGCCCTTCCCGAGATTTATTCCTCTGATCGACAGATTAACTGTTTTGCGATCATTTCGGAAAATGAGGTCAATACAGAAGGCAGCTTACGAGCTCGAATTGAAATGGCATATTCATGCGCGCCGTGCGCGATCGTTATTCGGCACCTGGACGCGCTGTCCCAGTCTACCCCAGCTTCGGAACCAGGAAAAGGTGTGCATACATCCTCTTTAGTGTACCATCGTGTTCTTGACCAATAACTCAGGTACCACACTGACACATGCCCTGAACGATTGCCTAGCAGATGTGGAAGCCTATATGCAATCCACGGGCAGCCAGATCTTCGTCATCGCAACTGCGAGTGACACATCTAAGATCCCTGCTATCCTCCTCTCGCGCTTTACAAACGAGTTTGTACTCAAGGTGGGACTACTATTGACTACTCACATAAACGCTCTGTATATGATCTCTTACAGGCTCCGACTGAGGCAGACCGATCGGGTATAATATCTCATTGCATGAATGACGTCAAGCTGGTTTCCGATGTTTCAGTGGCTTTTTTTGCCACGCAGACTGCTGCACTAGTTGCCATTGATATAGTCGACTTTTTGACACAAGCGGAGACTATTGCGGTCAGAGAGTCACTGTGCGGTCAGAGCTCTTCGAGTTAACAACCTCGCTGATCACAATGTTTGCAGTGATAAAATTACTTGTGGAACATGGCCCCTGAGCACCATAGCTATTCAAGCAAATCAGTTGGAACTGTCGCTTTTGAAGGCAAGGACGACTTTTGCTCAAAACATTGGGGCTCCAAAGATCCCCGCTGTCATGTGGGAGGACATCGGTGGACTGTCGAGAGTAAAGAACGAGATATTGGACACCATCCAACTTCCATTGGAGCACCCCGAATTGTTCACCGAGGGACTGAAGAAGCGTTCAGGTACACACGTTTTCTAGTCTAGCTCCCAATACAGCCACTGAATTAGGTGCCATAAACAGGAATCTTATTGTATGGGCCTCCAGGCACAGGAAAAACGCTGCTCGCGAAAGCAGTGGCGACTTCATGCTCATTGAACTTCTTTTCGGTCAAAGGACCCGAACTTCTGAACATGTACATCGGGGAGTCTGAAGCAAACGTTCGACGCATATTTCAACGTGCTCGTGATGCAAAACCATGCGTCATTTTCTTTGATGAGCTCGACTCTGTAGCGCCAAAGAGAGGCAACCAAGGGGACTCCGGTGGTGTTATGGACCGTATCGTAAGCCAGCTTCTTGCAGAACTAGATGGTATGTCTGCTGGAGGTGGAGGCGATGTCTTTGTTATTGGAGCTACCAATCGCCCAGACCTATTAGATCCTGCTCTTTTGCGACCTGGAAGGTATGAGGTGACATATTTTTGCGTAATCAGCCTTACATCCGTTCCCCAGGTTTGACCGAATGTTATATCTCGGGGTTAGCGAGACACACGAAGCTCAGCTTGACATCCTTCGTGCGCTCACAAGAAAATTCAAGCTTGATCGTGATCTCAGCCTCGCGGACATTGCTAAAGAGTGCCCATTCCACTACACGGGAGCCGACTTCTATGCTTTATGCTCTGATGCAATGTTAAATGCACTTAACAAGAAGGTTGCTGAGTTGGATAGTAAAATAGGTCTGTCTGAACACACGATATATGATGCGTTCTGACGACGCACTGAACAGCACAACTCAACCAACAGTCAGAATTTCGACAGCACCAATTGACCCCTCAGTACTATCTCACTGAAATCGCTGGATCAGATGACTTGCACATTTTGGTTACTCAGATGGACTTCATCCGTGCCCTGAATGAGTTAGTCCCTAGTGTCAGTGCAGTAGAGATGCAGCACTATGCTACTATCCAGAAGAGATTCATGCAGGAGACAGTGGAAGATATGTAACTGATCATCGGCGCTGTCTGGATGCGATAAATACTTTATTATGTGTTTAAGGTCGAGAACTAATCCGCAACATTGCCACCAGTTGCAAGCATTAGTACAATGGCATTGAGTACCAACAGAAACGAAATGGTTTGTGGCGCGTTGAGCCTAGATATAGTCTATTCATACCTGTCAGGTCCAGAGGCAGAAGACCAATCATCGGGAAGAAGTTTGAAAAGTGATTTGAGCAACTTTGCGTGAAATTTAAGGCGATACAAGGATAACATTTTGTAGTCGTGCTGCGACCTGGCCCAAAAGATAAGAATGTAGCTAGATAGGCTTAATCTTGAAGTGAAGAGAAATAAGGGAGAATATCAGACACTAAACAAAGGGCTGTAAGTTCGTGTGAGGAAATGTAGGCGAGAACACACCTTCAAGTCTTGTACGAGGTAGTAAAATACACGAAGTCCTTCAGGATCCTCGCTGTCTTGGATGTCGACAAGAGACCCGATTTTCGCAGTCTACATGTGTAGAATGGTGGATAAGGTCGCATTCGCGAGAGGACTGCTAGTTACGAACCTCGAAAGCAATGTGGTCGTTGCCTACACGTATCTCGAGCTCTTGCTTTCCAACAATGTTCTTTTTCGGCCAATTCGTGTCATCTTCCCTGGATGGCCAATCAGCAGGTCGAAAATGGGACATAATATGATTACTTTGTGATTTCACTCGATTCCACAATGCGCTTGAGTTCCTTGACCACTAACGGCCCAACCCACACTAAGGACTTGGGTCAGCACTCGCGAAGAATGCGGGACGGATTACTGACTTTCTTTCCGGATCAAGCTGTCATTCCTGTAGTTCGAGTTGTTGGCATATCGAAGACGACCATGGGAGTACTCAAACTCCAAGAATTCATGGCCATGTTTTCCGGAATGGCCAGTGCTGCATGAATGCTTAGCGACATCACAAACATGATGGATGATAATTTACTAGTATCTGAAAACGTATCTCAGCCCAGTTAGTTCATGAATTAACAGCACACTCGCCTGAGATAGAATGGGTCACTGTCATGGGAAGACATGGCGGGCGGTCTATTGTCGAGTCTCTAGCTCAAATTGGAGTAACCCTGGTAAGTCTGGTGGAATCCGGCATTCACCGGATTCGACATTTTCCTGAGAAAGCCCATCAGAGTGAGCGAACTTGAAGACATGTTTCCTCGACAATCTCGTCTAGCCCTGCCAACTATAGCCAGATTGGTGCGGTTTAATGGCAGCAGCCACGTAACGTACGTGCTTGCTCATTGCGTGTCTTGCAGCTGAATGATATTAGGTTTCATGCAGTGCTACACCACTGCCTACTCGACAGCCGGAACCAGAGGTTCCTGTACCATTAACAGAAGAAGAATTTTCTTCCGCAGTTATTCATGGACGCAGCCTCTATCCCCCGTTATACCACCCCCGCACTCATTCAGTTCCAGTCGCTCAGTTGCAGTTCCGCGCATATCACCCACAATTCCTTGAACTGTACATGCATTTAGTAGGACATGCAGCTGCAGCATTAGGCATCCCAATTTCACGCCCGGTGTACTTGCCAACGCAACGCTCGCTGTGGACTGTCCCCCGCGGTCCGTTCGTGCACAAGAAGAGTCAAGAAAATTTCGAGCGGAAAATACACAAACGTGCAATAAAAGCATGGGATGCAGACCCGGAGGTCGTCGACCGTTGGGTGCGGTACATCACTCGACATGCAATGCCTGGAGTTGGGCTGAGAGTGACTCAATGGAAAAGGGCACCTCCTGGTATCGGACAACAGATGGTAGATGCGGCCGTGGGGCAAACCAGACTGGGCTCCGGTGCCGACAACGTCAAGGAGTTGGCAAAGAAAATTGTGCAGCAGGAGCTTTGATCTTCTATTACGTTTTCTACCTTTCGTCTATCTCGTGCCATAATAAAGGCTACCGTCTTTTCAGCTTCCACTAGCACCGCTGCTAGTCCCTCTGAGGTTGTTAGTACTGTACCTTCCTGTTGGATCAACACCGCGACGGCCAACCTGTTCAGCCACCACTGTACTGAACCTCGAGTGTGTACTGCAACAAAGACTGATCATGAGCCCCATTTTTTTAGTCTCCTACACAGCGGACGTTTCGAGCGCTTCTACGTAAGGAGCAAAACATGGACCTGGCATGTCACCATCAAGCTTCTTGAGAATACCATGACTGAAGACGGACGTGGATGTATGAGAAGGGTCAAACTTTGATTGATGGCTTCCCTCGGTTCAATCAGACTGGAGTTCGATCAAACGGTACGGGAGGAGGTTGGCGGCGTCTGCCTTTCACCGTGCCAGATATTGCTAATTTAATAGCGTCCAAGGTACTTCGTTGGCTCGACATATTCGAAGATGCCGATGCGATGCTTTAGCACCTGCTGGAGCGCGGAAAAACTGGTGGACGTGAAGATGTTAACAATAAAATTATTTGAAAGCGTTATCGTAGAACCCGTACACGACGATTGTCAACTCATTTTCTGTCCCAACTGACATTGAGTTCTGGCACGTACATTGAACAAACTATGCCAGTGATATAACATTATGGGACGCTGAGCAAATACCTCTCTCCTTTGTTGCTTAGTCCTTGATGTATAGAGTATGGTATCAATCGAAGGAAGTTTATCGTGCCAGACGCGCTGCTGACAGCAAGTTTCATAACCAGAATACCTCCTTAGATGTGGAGATCGGAGCAGCTTTGCTTGACATTAGACGTATACCAAAAACCCTGCGCTATCCGCTGGTACTGCTGCCCTGCATGCCGCCCTTCCACCCGTCTCAATTGAGAATATAGCTCCATCTGAGCATAGAAGGTGGGCCTTTTCATCGACGTCATCCTGCTCCCTATCAGCATGTGCATGAGGATCGAAGGTGGATAAAACTCACAGGTATCCATTCCCATCCTCCGCACCGGATATACTCTACCACAGTGGGACCAGACCCCTCACTAGTTATCTTTCCATCGTCAGTGTATCTCAAGTTAATGTGGTCCCCATCTTGGTATGCTGCATTCAACACGGCAATTGATTTTTCCGCAAAGGCATTTCGAGCTTCTATTGTATCCATGACGAAGGTTGGATCACGGTGAGGTCGAACCATGACAATGTCTAGCGAGACCTCTGATGGAACAAATTCAGACACAAGAGGGGTAATTCTGAAAGTGGGTTCCAAACGATCGACATTGACGGTAGACAGAAAGTATGCGAATGGGCCATACACATCCACAATTCCGCAGTGGTCATCTGAATCCTCGTGGGTTACGAAAGTCTTTTGGTCTGGATCATATATCTCCACAACCCGGGTAGATGGCGTAGGCAAAAGTTTGACATGGCTGCTGTACCATTGCGTAATATTGTTCCTGGCAGCAATTTTGAATCTTTCGATGTCTGGCACTTCTTTCCTCAGACTCTCGGAATCATGGAGGATAGAGGCGTGCAAAGCAGTAGATGTCACTACTGCTGAAACAGCGACCTTGGAACAAGATTGTTTTGAGCTCGGTGGAGAAGATAGGGTCGTGATAGCCAGTGTGAGGGGAACGACATTCGAACCCTTGATGAACGCGTCAAGAGACTTCAGCTTGTATGACGGGCCCTCATGCATAGAGGTTGACTTGAATAACGAGTAGTAGAGAGCATTTGCCGTCCCACACGGGACAAGGACCACACGAATTGAGGATGATACAATGTTCTCGCGTACACCTTTCAGTGCCACAAGTGAGAGGGCGTTGATGATTTCGTGCAGTGTTCCATCGCCGGAGCCCAGTATCACTGTCACGTTGCCCTTATATCGTTCTAGAAACTCGATTACTATGGTACCAGCATGTCCAGCGGCTCCAGTTGACATTTTTTGGGTAACTTGGAGATGCGCTTGCTCGAGACGAGGAAAGACGTGTTCATGGAAAAAGGCCTCGGCAGTGCCATTTCCACAGACGGGATTGTATATCACGAGCAGCGGAGAACTCGCCATAGCAGTCTGATCAATAAGTAGTCAGCGACGATTCTTTGTACTGCTGGAAATTAGCTCACAGACCTGAAGATGTTGTTGGGGCTGTCAGGCCCATGAGAGACATCCTCGATGTGCTCTTGATAACGGTACCACTACGGTGTCGCCGGCCCGGGTAGTGGAAGCCCATCTGAACGAGACTCCCAGGTTAGGCTTGACGTCGTATGTTTCCGCATCTGCGACTATCAGGAGCACTGCTGATATCGCACAATATCAAACATTTCGCTTGCCGCACCATGGCTTCAGTCGCTCCTCCTGTCTTCAAGCCATTCACCCTCACGCTTATACAGCTTGGTTCCATTGGTTCTGACAAAGCAGCCAATCTTCAACATGCTCGCGAGATGATCATGAAGGCAGCAAAGGACAATTCAGACACGAAGCCTCAGGTTGTCGTACTGCCGGTATGCGGTCAATGCTGTTTCACCTGATATATCGTCTCATTCGTTTTCAGGAATGTTTCAACTCACCGTACGGCTTTGTTCACTTTCCTGCCTATGCTGAGAACATTGGCTACACTGCTGGCAAGGAATATGATATTCAAGCGAGTGTAAGCGAAAGTGTTAAAATGTTGTCTTCTGCTGCGAAGGAGGCGGGAATCTGGCTCATCGGAGGTCATACCTCGCTCACACGTGTCACAAGGGGGTAGATGGTTTATATTTTGTTTAACAGGTTCGATACCCGAAAGAGATGCGGAGACGAACAATATCTACAACACCTGCACTGTGTATTCTCCGACAGGTGTCAAGTTCCCTAAAACTTACTCCGAGCAACTCTGACGTACGTGGATGGAGGTGCACTTGTTGCATCACATCGCAAGGTTCACCTATTTGACATCGATATCCCTGGGAAGATAACATTCAAGGTGTGCTCCTTTGTTCTCGCTATAGTGTCTTTTCTGGATCCCATCGTATCCGTAGGAAAGCGAGACGTTGACCGGAGGAACGACGACGAACTATTTCGACACCGGTACGAACCCCATACAAAGTACTTGCGCTGCGCTCGATAAAACTCTCCCAAGATTTTGCACGTATTGGCCTCGGTTTATGCTACGACGTCAGGTTCCCAGAACTAGCGATGATTGCGGCGCGGCGAGGTCCGTGGTTACATGATTTATATGAGGAACGAACAACGTACATTCCCTCAAGGATGTCATGCCGTGGTTTATCCTGGGGCATTTAACCTCACCACTGGGCCTTTGCATTGGGAACTCCTTCAACGAGCTCGGTACCGTGTTGCCACGCTGCGCTCAATAGTTCCTGACGTAGCATTCAGGGCCGTTGATAACCAAATTTTCTTTTCCATGTGCAGTCCAGCGCGGGATATGACTGCCGGGTACCATGCAGTAAGTGAAGCGCCACATTCATTATTGATTAAGATATCTGAAATATCTTGATAGTGGGGGCACTCGATGGTCGTTGACCCATAGTAAGATATATTCTTTGAACGTATTTTGATCGCCCTAAATCACCTTTCAGTGCCCGTGTGCTCGCCGAGGCTGATGAAAACGAGACAATCCTGCATGTCGATATCGGTGAATTTGAACATCGTTCTCGTTATTTATACAAGTTGCTGATTTTGCACGGGATCTAGATCCTGAACCATTTAAGGAGGTAAGAGCTGGAATACCGGTCACAAAACAACGTCGCTTTGATGTCTATCCCGACGTGAGCGCTTGAGGGACGATAAGGTATGAATAGCAGAGGAAGACATGCTGTGAACGACGATGTGGGGAAAGTTGAGATTCCTAAGGGCACTTCTCAACTACAGCTATAGTATATGAAATTTAAGGTTCCCGATTCACTCTGCATTTACATGAACCTGGTTGCGATACTAGGTGTTGCAACTTTGTGATGAGTCTTGGCAAGGTGGCAGTGAAAAGATGAAAAAAATGACCGTTTCCATTTTGAGTAGAAGCCGGCACAGCTAGAGAAAATTCTGGTAGGTTCCACAGGATTCTTGAGCGCGAATGGAATCCTTAGAAAAAGTGTCAACAACCCTGAACAGCGTCCACTTCTGTGCCAACCACATCCCTGTCTTCTAGCTATCCCTCCCCCGACATGGTAAAAGAAACGTGCGGCTAGTGATATTCAACCGTATTTGTGGGCTAACACTCAGCGCAGGCAGTTTTATGATCTCCTGGAAGTCCCAGTAGATGCTTCAGAGCCTGATTTGAAGAAGGCTTACAGGAAGAAGTGAGATAAGACTCGTGGCAAGTCTAAACTTTTATTAACTCGTTTCACAGAGCCTTGAGACTACACCCCGACAAAGGTGGTGACCCAGAACTCTTCAAGGAAGTTACACATGCGTACGTCTTACATTATATGTACAAATTTTGGTAATCTCATTTTGTAGATACGAGGTTCTTTCCGACCCCCAAAAGCGCAGTGTATATGATGCTCGAGGTGAAGCTGGTCTTTCCGAGCAAGGCGGAATGGGCGGGATGGATCCCCAGGTAAGGCCCTAATCGACATCGATGGTGACATCACACTGATTTGAATCCCTAGGACCTTTTCAGTCAATTGTTCGGCGGCGGCGCATTCTTTGGTGGTGGCGGTGGTGGCGGGGGAAGTCGCCAGCAGGCTGTCCGCAAGACCAAGGACCTCGTACATCGCGTAAACGTCACGCTTGAGGACCTTTACAAAGGCAAGACGACTAAGCTTGCCCTTACTCGGAACGCACTTTGCTCCAAGTGCCACGGTCGTGGCGGAAAAGAGGGCGCTGTGCGAACATGCTCTTCATGCAGCGGACGTGGCATCAAGGTCACTTTACGCCAGATGGGCCCCATGATCCAACAGATACAGTCCGCCTGCGACGAATGTTCGGGTACGGGAGAGGTTATCAACGCAAAGGATCGCTGCCAGCAATGCAAAGGCAAGAAAGTCATGCCTGAGAAGAAGATTTTGGAAGTGCACATAGACAAGGGTATGAAAGGCGGCCAGACAATTATTTTCAGCGGAGAAAGCGATCAGTCGCCAAACGCCGAGTCAGGAGATGTCGTTATCGTCATAGAAGAGAAGCCGCACGACCGCTTCAAACGTCAAGACACCAATCTCATCACGGAACTGGAGATTGATCTATTGACAGCCCTTGGTAGTGGACGAGTTGCGATTCGTCATCTCGACGATCGCGCTCTCATTGTGAACTTTGTTCCTGGCGAGGTTGTCAAGAACGGTAAACATTTATGAAACATGCGGTGATAGATTCGATGCTGATATTTGTGGCAGATGCTGTAAAGGTCATACGCGGCCAGGGAATGCCCTCCCAGCGACATCATGAGCCAGGAGATCTGTTTGTGAAGTTCACTGTGAATTTCCCTGAACACATCGATCCTGCCGTTATCCCCTTGCTTGAGAGAGCACTGCCACCACGGACAGAGATCGAGAAGTTCCCCAAGAATATTCATCTCGAGGAGGTGGATCTGGATGAGCCCGACGCGCGGTCAAAGGCAAACGCTATGTCAGATGAGTCGATGGACGAGGATCATGAAGGAGAGCCGCGTGTCCAATGCGCAAATCAGTGATTTGTTCATGTTGGATTAGCATGATATCTGTTGCACTAGAGATCCTGGCATCTGTTGTTACACTCGTTACATTTAATACGCATTTTCATTTCATTGACACTTCTTCACTTCTTGGTTAGCACTGCGTTACTGAGGAATGTCCCACCGAATCTGAGTTTAGCGGCGGTGAGAATGAAGAACTTGATCACAATGAGATGGGATTGTACTTCGGGATTTTCCTTGAATGCATTGTAGGCTACATGATTAAAGAAGCTGATCTCTGTCTCGTTTTCTAGCGCGCGAGACAGTCAAGAAAACGCTTGTATCCACACACTCAACGGACTTACCAATACCAAGTTCAGCTAGGGTACGGGCGTCATCGTCGAAAATCCAGTCGTCGTGGTCCATATTGATAATCAAATTGGTCGTCTGACAGGGGTTTAGGCTAGCCTCAATGTTGTACGGCTAGGGGACCATACCTTGGCGCCGTGAGCTTTGGTGTACAACTTGAGCGTATCTGTGCCGGAAAGTTTAAGCATTCTCGTATCAAGGTAGAGGCCGTGGTGCTGACCTAGGTGCACATTCCGATATGGCTTCCATCCCGAACTAGTCTGAATAGCTGCAGGGAATGATGAAACAAGTCGGAAGATGCTGAACAGGGTGATATTATATATACCTCGCCGAGCCATATCCTTGAGCTCGCCAACTTTTGTGATCTCGAGGTTCAACATGTGGAAGACAAGACTTCGTTCCGTGCGGTATTCGAAGGATTTGATTACTCTTAGAGTTATGGTCGCCTGAGTTTTTGGAAGAGCAACGTTTGTGAGCACATCAGAAATCCCAGACATCTTGCAAGTGCTGGAGGAGAAGAAGCAGTTTACGATGTCGGCCAGTCAATGTTATGTACTGTATCGGGACCCAGTCTAAGGTCATAAGCTTTCCCGAGCAGTCACCTCCAAATTGCAATGTCCGTGAGCAACTTCAACGAAAACATACCAGCACCAGACGACATCCAACCCCAGAAAGATCCACGGACTCTTACTTCTTTAAATGAGATACTCTCCTGCTTGTCGTGGTACCAATCCGTCGAAGCAGAACTCTCCAACTCCCTAACCGAGCTTCTCTCAAATCGTCAACCTATTGATAAGTCACTTCAGCAGTTAGAGGCTCTCGTTCCGCGTCTCGATGAACTTCAAATTGAAGCAACAAACTTCTCGACCAAGGTCTCAGCTACTGCGCAGACAGCAGAACGCGTGGGTGGACGTGTACGTTCACTTGATGAGGAAATGAGGCGTGTTGGAGAGGCTGCTGAGCGGGTCGGACAAGTCATGGAACTGAAGGTATGCCTTTGAATGCCGTCCGTCCACCTTCAGATTCAACTGATGATGTTTGTAGTCTTCTCTTGCTCAATTACAGTCTTGCATTGAAAATCAAGACTGGGAATCGGCCGCCAGATCTTGTGCGCGTGCCATGTCTTTGCCCTTTAAAGTCATTTCAGGGCCCTTTGCAGAGTCTGTCGTTGTGAGTAATCATTCGAAGCATACCAGGCTCTTCTTATAAAACCGAGCAGCCCACAGCTGAGAATCACTTGCCTCCAGCACAAACCCTGCAGGCTGCACGAGAACAACTTTTATCCATTTTTAAAAGTCACTTCGAACAAGCTTCTCGCGAGCGAGACGCTGCAGCCACGACCCGTTACTTCAAACTCTTTCCTGCTATTGGTTGGGAGGCAGAAGGTCTCGAGGCGTATGCATCGTTCGTTGTCGATCTTGTGCGAGTGAGAGCTCCAACATCAGCCAAAAGTACGCCATTTCAAGCTTGACCAATAACCACTTTTTTACGTCTCACTTAGCTTCCTCACCTCTATACTTTGTGACTGCACTTACAGCGCTTCTCGAAAGCGTTGCCATGATAGTTGATCACCACCAACCGGTCGTCGAAAAATATTATGGGGCAGGTAAAATGGCGATTGTCATCAAGCGCCTGCTCGATGAATGTGACCGTGTCGTGCGGAATACATTGGATAGCTGGAGAGAAGATAGGTCAATAAAGAGAAAGGTGAAGTATTTATTCCGTGCAACCGGATGATGATTTCGAGACGAGTGCCCAGTAGCTTCTAGATGTGACCAGCTCTCCCTTCTCTATCGCACCTGCTATTTCTCGCAAGCAACCATCCCTAGTTTCATCCCAAGACGACGATGACTTAGACCCTCGCGAGATCGACAAACTCCTATCTGAAATCGCGGGTATGAGCGGTCGATGGTACCTTTTCCGCAAGTTTCTTGTGGAGCAACTGCAGGTGAATCTCATCTTCCACGCAAGACCCGCGCGAGGCTGAAAATGCCAAGGATGAAGATGTCGAGGAAGATACTCAAAGCGGCCGTGTCACTCCTGTTTCGCGAGGTCTCAATCATCATGAAGGGCTTAAGTCACAAATCAGCGAGGACATGAATCAACCAGGTCTACTACAACTTTTGGAATCCAGTCGCTCGCATCAAGAGTTCGACGAACTACTCTTGACCTGTTATGTTCCGATGGAGACGTGGTATACACGTACTATCATCGACAAGGTATGTGTTCTCGCACACATCAGTATCTTGGACTGAACTCCTCTAAAGGCTCACCGTTTATCGACCCCTGACCTTTCGCAATCTCCCGTTACTACCACGACCCCAGACGATGCATTTTACATTCTCAAGACAGTATACTCACGAGTTCTGTCTGCGGGTTCATTCAAGCATATTGAGCGAATGACTGATCTCTTGAAAGATGTCATGGATCATGATTATGCTGGCGGCATCAGGAGGAAACTTGATGATGTATATCGAACAGCGGGGAATACTGGCGGTGGTGGGCGTGGGGAGAAATCTGAGCGAGAGTGCCGCACATCGTTCATCGTAGGTAACTCTATGTCGACGAGGATTCTACGCTGACACGTTGTGTACAAGATCCTCCTCAATGACCTTGATATATCTTCTTCCCACATGGAACGATTGACGAAAGACTTTCTTGGTCACCAAACCATAACACAACTTTTCCTAGAAGCAGAACAACAACACGTGAAAAGGGTCATTTCCGGTTTGACAGGATCTGTGGCTAAATTCCGTTCGGCACTGAAAGTATTTGCTTGATTATGCCCATCGAGGATCACTGCGCTGAATTATATTTCAGGCAGGCATAGAGCAACTTTTCAACCAGCTCATGAGACCCAAATTGCGCACCCTGATCCCAGACGTGTTTAAAGACGTATCATATGTGCTCGACGAAGACTCCTACGCTGCCGCAGAACAACACGACATTGTTCGGAAGCGGTTTATTAAAACGTGGGAGGGTTTAGTAGATGGGTACAAGGTCAACTTTCCGCCGCAACGTCCAGGGCGTATATTGATATTTTGCACAGGATGCGTTTACGGACAGTAACTACCGCATGTTGTTTGGGCTTGCACTTGATGTCGTTGCTCGACCCTGGGAGAAGTATATGCTGACGCTCCATTTCTCTGAGGTACGCGCTATGTTTCTCCGTGCTCATCCTGAAGGTCACGTCAGTACAGCTGGGTGCTGTCCGTTTCGATCGTGACCTTCGATCAATAATGGCATACCTCTCGTCTCAAACGATCTTTGGAGACATCCGGGAGAAGTTTGTGCGCTTGCAGCAGATCAGTTCGTTACTGAACTTGGACAATGTGAGTGAAGACATAAATTGAATGCCACTCCAGTCACCAATTATTTGCTTAGGAAGAAGAGGTGGATGGATTCTACAGCGGATCAGGCATATCCTGGACTATGAGTTTACAGGATGCAAAAAATGTCGTGGCCTTGAAGGTATGAATTTACGCTGTGCAAGACAGATATACATTCCGTGATGAGATCATAGTTAGGCAGATGATGAGAATAGTGTGAAACCGAAGGGTGGGATGTATGAGTCGAAGTTCACCCTCGTCTTAAAGCGTCTAGTCTTGCTTGGAGGCTATCCTCGTCCGATGGGCCACCCCCTGCCGTGTCGTCGCCTTTGGGAGAGCTACTTCCGCCGAGCGACTCTCCCAGTGCCACCGGTCTGCGTTCCGTCAATGGTGACGATATTGAACCGATACCAGTAGGTGCATCCGTGAGCTGCAGATTTGAAAGTGGGTGAATATATTATGAGATGGGGAGGACACCATAGTTACCTGCTGAGAAAGATTGACACCTATTTCATCAAGAACCTCCCGTAATATCTTATCGCCTTCTTCCTCTTCATCTTCAGCATCATCCTCCATAACGTCATCCACAGCGTCTGACATCATTTCTTCTTTCATATCCATCATCGAGCTCTCCTTTTCAAACTCATTCATGATTTTCTGGATAGCTGGAAGATTTAATCCCCTATTCATTGACGCCATGGCCTGGAAAAGGTGTCAATGAGGACGTTGGGTTGAACGCACGCCAAACGTACCCTCGTGGCTCCGCGCATGGCATCTGCCATTTGCTGATTACTTCTTAGAGTCTGTATCCTCAATCCAACGGCCTGTAGTTGTGTCCTCATTTGGTAAAACTTCTGGATATAACGCCGAGTGCGAACGAGATCCTTTGCCATCACTTTACACGCATTCTACTGAGAACATTGAAATTGATGCACGACGAGGGAAGGAAAGTTACCATTTGACCAGCTTTGGCACTCTTCTTGATGTCTGTCACAAGCTTCTTCTCGCTTTGCTCAAGCTTTGACCGTTCGCGGTCAAGCTCTCGTTGTGCTTTGTTCAATGCACGCTGATGCTGTCGCAATCGCTCAGCAGGCGTAACGGTCTTTCCAAACAGAGTTTCCTTTGGAAACATTAGCGAATTTTAAGCAACATTTCGAATGGAAGCCGCACTATGATGTTCATGACAATTCGCGTCCGTTGTGGTGGTGAAGTTGCAGGATTGCTGCGCGCCTGCCACTACCCTTGGGCCTTGGCGTTAGCTAGTATGTACCTTAATTGAATTACGTAATAATTTGGTTATGCTTACTGAGTACTACTTAGTAGTACTACTTAGTGTTCGATACTTGAAGCTTGAAAGCTTGAACTCCCAAACATCATGGAACCTGATGCAGTCGGACTGCGTTGCGATCTAACGTCCTGCCACGAGTTTGATTTCCTCCCAATCAAGTGTCACTGTAACAAGGTGTTCTGTAGGTACCACATTTCCCCTGATAAGCACACTTGTGCGTCACCAGATGGGCCTTCCGCGGGGCACGCCCCCTCCGTAAAACGCCAGAGATGTGCTCTTGGAGATTGCGAGAAACCAAGCCTTGAAAGTGCTATCAGTCAAGAGGCTAATGTCGAAACGAAGCCAACTTCATCTGCGGCATGCCCAAAATGCCTTCTGTCATTTTGTATCGAGTATGTCTTCCGGAATCTTTTATACAAGGAACTCAACTGGCCAGTCACCGTCATCCAGATTTGCATGTATGTACAGGTCTGCAAGAGCAGGAGTCCAATGAGAAGAAGGATGCTCAAGATATTCTCGCGCGCCATTTTTCTAATCCATCTTCATATACTCCCGTGGCCGTTCGACGCACAATCAAGCCTCCTACAGACCCCAGAAAACTAGCTCAGATGCAGAAAGTTACACTCATGAAGATGCGTCACAGTGCTACTGCGGGGGATCCTAGGGACAAATCATCCACCGTACCTGTCAACGAACGCTTGCACATCAAAGCTCGGTTGGAGGTGACTGGGATGCCTGTGCAAGAACGCGTACTTTGGTTCAGAAAGGTAATATCCATCTTGTTATAGGCTTTGGGGATGATCTCACTTTTGTCTTGTAGTCTGTGGTCACGGGTAGGGCATTGGACCTGATCTCGGCGAATCTTGGTGTCCCCTCCTCGTGTCCAACAGTGAGTGAATTTTTCCTAAGAACATGATCTCCATGACCTCATCCTCCTCCTAGCCGCTGTGCCTCCTAGAGAAACCAGTCTTAGATCCCTCAAGTTGCTCGCCCCTCCAGAATGATCTGTTATTGTCTGAACAGGTGGAGGACACCTGTACTATAGTGTTATCTACTCTTCCTCATAGTGGAAGTAGTTGATGGATGTCATGGTGCTTCATGACGTCTTCATCTCAGTATGAAGATCACGCCGGATTTATCCACGAGCCTATTGGAAGTTATATACATGAACTCAGTTGACAAGGTCCTGAAGTAGCTAGAGCGCAAAATCGATCGGCAGCGTAAGGTATAGTATTATAGGGAAAGTCGGGATCAAGCACGGGCGATCAAGCTACTAATGCAGCTAATCTGCGAAGATGAGACACATTGAGGTACGCTGGAACGTATGTCTCCAAGCCAGACACTTCGCGAGGCCAGGGAGGCTCAAATGGACCGACTTCTTCCGACTCCGGAGACAATAGTAAATGATCGTTCCGATCATTTGCCTGAACGCGTGAAGCCACTACACGTAGAATCTCAGGAGAAATGGGGTTCTAGAGGAGTCAGCGAAGAAAATGATTGCAGAATGCGTGCGTCATACCTCATATTCTGCCACGTAGTAGTTCGTACACATTCGCTGTATTTGCATCGGACTGAGCATCCAGCAGACATCGTAGATGATCTCTATATCTGCGGGCGTTGCCTGTTCTACGGGTGTCAGTGGTTAGACTAACGTAAGAGTAGGACGTACCTTCTTCAATTGCAGGAGCTTTATGGCCTGCATCAAGTGTTCCAACTGGAGTGTCCCCTCGGGCATGTCGTGAGATTTGCACCACTCTTCTATACGTGTGATATTATACTGAATTTGCATGGCTTTAATAGCTTTCTGTCAATGAACATAGCCGTGCAATGGATAGGGACACACCTCGTTTCCAGGAGGAGAAGTTCCTTCTCATCAAAAGGTCGTTAAAGCTTGTGACCCCGATCAGCTTGAGAAGTTCAGCCATGACTTGTTGCACTACTGAATCTTCCATGTAATAGCTCTTCAAACTCTTCCAGACCATGTTGAGAAGGTTTAGGATGTCGTCCATGCTATACGCTGGCTGGCTGTTTGTATTGAGAAGACGATTGAATAGCCGACCACCGCCATCGCTCGTCGTGAACCCTGGCAGAGACTGGCTCTCTATCAATGCGGGTACGACCATCTTGGCAAGGCGCTTCTTCGTCTCTAGCATCCACGTGTGGTATATGTTATACTCCAAGCTGCCAAGGTCGTGCTTGACGACCGTGACAAGCCGTTCATAATCATTCCAGTCAAATTCTCGGACAGCATTTTCTTCGCCAGGGCCAATGCCTTGTAGCATATCGCTTTCAGCCACATAGATGAACGACAGCATCTCGTGGACATTCGAAAGCCAGTAAATTCCGGGAATAATGGAATCTTCACCGCTGAATGACTTTAAGATCCAACTTGTTAGCAAATGAAAACACTCAATGATAGACAACGATCTTACCATCACATGGGCTTGAATGGACTCCATGATATTTGCCAAAAATCGCTCGCTCTCCGGTATCAACCCATATTTCCACATCTCATTGGTGACAAGACTAATGAGATTCGCTGGGAAAAGGATCTCCTTCACAGCGGACGGGTTAGTGAGGCTCGGTGCTGGAATCTTCAGGCCTCTGATGAGACCAACAAGAACATCTTCGTCCAGTCGCTTGGTTTCCTGCATAAGCTTGATCTTCTCCTCAGCAAGGTCGTCATATGAGCGAACATCTGCCAGGCTGTTGTTGCGCATGCGAAGGACATTGTCTTCGCCGTTGTATGCGACGGATACTGCACGATGGTTGAGAGCTTGATTCTTCTTGACGTCGAGCATGAGTTCATCAACAGACGTGCGGACTTCGGCTGGGTTGAGCTGAACAACACCTGCAGAGCTGTGTCTTCGTTGATGACGATTGCTCGAGGGCGGGACAAGGGCTGCGCCGTTGGAAAGACCACCAGAATCAGGCATACGCAACGCCGGAGCAAAAGTCGGTGACACAGGAGCTTCAACTCGAGCATTTCTTGTGAGGGCGTTGTAGGCATTGGCACGGTTTAGCTGCTCCCGTAGGCTACTGACTTCATTCTTGAGAGTCAGTATAACGGATCCATCCTCAACGGAACGTGAGGGGGCATGGGCAAAGGCCTTCTCCTGGAATTGCAGCTTATCTGCCTGTGCAACGAGCTCGTCTGAAAGCTTTTGGATCATCGTTTCCTTCTCCGCAGCCTTGGCGATAGCCTCCTCCAATCGTTTCTCTACATCAGCCTTTGCTAGAAGAAGCTCATCACGGCGTGATAGTTCAGCCTCGGCTGTTGATAGTGCATTATGAAGGGACTTCGCTTTTGTGTCGGCCTCTTCGTGTTTCGATGTCCACTGCTGAATCTGTTTCTCCAATTCGCTAAGCTGCGCCTGTAGTGCCTTCTTCTCCTCCGTGCGTGTCTGAAGCGTTTGAGTGAGTTCTACCACTTTGTTCTCTAATCGATACGATATCTCCTTGAACTTTGAGACTGAACGGGCCTCAGCCCTGAGAGCCTTGAGTTGTTTCCGAGCAAGCCGCCGACGGACACAAGATTGTAAATGAATGATATGCTTGACGTCCGACTTGTGACTACGACGATAAAGCCTAAGGGGGAGAAATCGGTAAAAGTCCATTACTTGGCAATCACAGACGTACACTCCACGGAAAAGAGATTGCAAGAGAATAGCAGCATGGGAAGTCTTTCTCTCTCTGTACAGTCGTCGGGCTTGGGCACCGCGAATACCTGAGGCGAGAGGTTCAATATGTTGCTACATGAATTCATAAAATACCTACGGCACTGGAATAATACGATGGAATTTCTGGTTTGCAGGAATTTGGACCTCTGAATGAAGCGGCGAATACCGGTTTGAAGGCGTCTTGCAGCAAAATCCCTACGAATGTTCTCTACGAGCTTACGGGCCAAGATACCACGCCACCAAGTTTGAATTTTAATCGTAGCTCGGCGTAACTCCTGGTACTTCTTCACAGCCATGCGCCTGCGCATGTTCTTCTGCACAATCGTAACAAGAGAGTTGAGCTTTTCCGAGCGGAGGGACTCCAACGCCGCGAGCATACCAGCCCTGAAGAAAATCTTTGTGAGACCACCTTGATACTTGTCAGGGTCATTGATAGTTCTCTCAAGAATAAGTGAACAGAGAGGCTTAAGTTCCAGACGCTGTATCATCGGCTGCCAATCTGTTGAGGGTACCAGCATGTAATACCTGTGTGATGATTGTAATGATCAGTAATTGACAACGCGCAAAGCTGCAGTGGTCATCGTACCGCTCAGCAAACTCTTCATAAGTCCAACGTGACGGATACCCAGCACAAGAAATACGTATGGTTTCGAGAACACCACAAGCACGCAACTGGCCCAAAACTTGAGACGGTGTGAACTCCCAAGGTCTTTTAGCCTCGTTCGGTTTAATGCACCGGATATAGTGGACATCTGTGATGCTGAGGGTGTCCATCAGGGTGATCAAGGAGGCTTTGAAGATGGAGCCTTGTGTGGGCTTCCGGATAGCAGCTCCTGGTCTCTTGGGGCCAGCGTTCGCTGCGACCAATGATGAGCGGCCAGGATCAGGAATGATGGATGAACGACGGGAACCTCCGCTGCCGGAATCAGACAGAGAAGGTGACCCGGGGTGTGGAGGATCAACTGCTTTCACAGATCCGAGCGCAGCGTCGAGAACTTCCTTCAAGAAGGGGTTCTTTGTGGATGCCAGCAAAACCATTTGCTCGTCAGGAACTGTGTCGCGGTTCTTCTCGAGGAATCCTTCAACTTCGTATGTGACATCATGGGCATAGTGGGCAATGGTGAACGCAGAATTTCCAAACCGAGGTTTCTTGAAGACATTTTTGTTGGCAGGCTTCAGAAGCTGGGTGCTCAGCTTTTGAAGGAAAGATGCGTCACTGCCCGACGGTAGACGCGACTCTTCGTCAAGGAGCGCGAGAACACCCAGTTTCCCTTCGATCACATCAATGCAAGGTTGATTGTCTGAAAAGTCGATAAAAGTCCAGTTGATCTCCTCCTTTACGTATTCCTCTTGCTCAAGTTTGAAGACGTGAGAGTTGAACTACAACAGTGGTCTTGAGTCATGAACATGCTGCATATATTTTACACTTACCTCTTGTTGTAATTTCTCGTTGGCGTAGTTGATGCTAAACTGCTCGAAGGAGTTCTGGAAACGTCGACAGTTGAGTACCGCGATTTAACTACTGAAGAATGGAATATAACCTTCTGAAAATGTTCAAACCCGTAGATGTCCAGCACACCGATGAACATCTCAGCTCGCTCAGCGGCATCTCCATTTTCACCAGCTAAACTTTCATTGACGATGGCCACCAACCATTCAAATAAGCATGCATACACAAACTTCGCCACACTATCCCTAACCGCTGTCGCCTGTGTGGCGTTGAGAGCGGTGACAATTTTCTCCGAGCGCGTGACGATCTGCTTCTTGATAGTCCACTTTTTGAAATCGGCCATATTCACCCCCAAGAAGCGAGTAGCAAGAAGAAGGGCAGGATCTGCATCATCTATGACCGAATCGGTTCGTGTTTGAGTAATCTTCACGTTGCCCAGATGGAGAAGTGCCGAGAGAAGTCGGAAGACCGCCCACTGTTTCTCTACACTGATTCCAACTGTCGACAATGCCTGTTGCGTCGCCCGGAACTCCTCCGCATCATCAACTCCATTTATCGGTGTCGATGTCGGCCCTCCTTGTTTCAGATAGTGGAATTTGGTCACGTCGGTGTCAAGGCCAAGGTCCTTTCGTTCTTTCGATGGCGCACCAGCACACAGTTGATAAAAGATATGGTAATTCCGTTCGGTCGTTGGTTGAAACACAATGCGTGATCGTTCCAGCAGGTAAGTCCGGATTCGGGCGCCGACAATTTCTTGTTTGCCATCAAAAAGAATCTACAGCGCACGTTAGACATTCAGCGGTCTAAAATTAAATTACTTGCCTGAATGTATTTACCAAATCGCGAAGAATTGTCGTTACGAGTTGTTTTGGCATTTCCGAACGATTCTAGAATCGGGTTTGTGGCGAGTATCTGGCGCTCGATTTCACTAGACTCGTCGAGAGAAAATTTCGTCTTCGCTTTGGCTTGAGATCCGGGAGGATTTACCGATGCCAGGTATCGCATGATGAATTTAGCCTGAAGACAAGTTAAAGTTCCAGTAACACGGAGAAGCACTGTACACACTGATTCAGTTTTTCCGGCTCCACTAAACAGCGATACAAGTATATCAGTAACACAAGCAAGCTACAGATGTATTGAGATTACCTTTCACCTGACACAATGATTGTCTGGCCCATGCCCTCCTTCGCCATCGCGGTATATGCATCCTCAGCAATGGCAAACAAATGAGGCTCCAAATCTCCTCTTTTCCGTCCACTGTAGGCTTGTATGATCTCGGGGCCATATAGAGTAACTCGCTGAAAAGGATTGACAGCAATAAGCACGATTCCGCTATAGGTGTAGATGCTATGTTGGGCATAGCGATTTCGAATGGTATGCAGGACTTGAATAACACTCAGCACTAATGATGACGGTCACCGTAGAAAATGTATACCTGAAGGCTCATTTAGATGGGACAGGGTAGCCAGATCATCTGCTGTTTCTAGTAAAGGAGGATTTCGAAGTGGAGGCAAGCCTTCCTTTCCGGCCTTGATATCTTTGCCAGTGGTATTAATGACAATTTCCTGACATCCACGTTGGAACCCATGTCGGCAAGTTCTGTGAACGGAACAGTAGGAAATATGATGCGTACCTTGCCTCGTTCATCGACAAACGCCAGTTTTATCGAATCGTCAGCGCCCTTGGTAACAGCCGCGACTTCTGCAGAAATCCATGCCTGATCCTTGTCTTCGAACCAGACTCTCGTTCCCTTGCTGTAGATGTTTTCGGCCATTGCCCAGGCGTCGTAAGTAACGGTCGTGAGCTACGTCAACCGTGCGCCAGAGCTGCAACACGGTCGATTTATGATCACCGAGTGTATTGAGGGACCTTGAATAATTTGTCCCACGGTCCATGATTGTCCATAAAGGTCTCAGTATGAAAACACATTGAAACTCGAAAGGTGTACCTGAGGTCAACTGACAGCCATAAGGCATGTTATGTACCATGGCAGATACCCACGGCGTCATATGTCCAGCGTCCATCCACCTGCAACCTCCAGAATATATATAAATAAGACAACGATAATTGCATTATGCACGGGGCCTGCGGGGAGAACTATACTATGGGTGTAAGGAAAGTAGAGTCGGGGAGGAAGAGCTCGACGTTGGGATAAGACAGGATAATTTGGCGTATCAAAGGTGTTACATTGTTTCCTTGCAAAGGCTGGGCGCTGAACCCCGCAGATCTGGTAGCGGTTAGCTCAAGCCTAGAGGATTCTACTCTTGTCCTACTCGCGGTTACTACGAAACAATTTTGGCTGCAACTTGACGGCGTGGAGCCTTTTATAAGACCTTGCCTCGAGATCTAGTCTTTTCGTTTCCCTTGTCTTCATGTTGTATGAGTTTGTAAACCGGCATGTTTCCCGTCGTTCAGTGGCCCGTGTCGTTTCTACCTTTCTCTGCGTACTTATTGTGACCATTCGTCCGTTTTCTCAGTTGGGGGGTTCATCAGCTTTCCTCGCGTTAAGCCTGAAAGAGCTCGTATTCTCTGTTCAGGAGGATCTGGCACAGCAACTTGAAATCACGGTTATAAACATCACAGGTGCCCTGGCAGGTATTGGCGTATCGACCTTCGCCAAATACCTTGCAACCATTCCACAGGAGGGATCAGTGACATCCCGTCTCGTACCAGCTATATTCCTGGTCACAATCAGCTTTTTTGGTTCGTCTCCCGCCGCATGTCATACAAACGAAGCTCAGCCATTCTGAAAGCTGGTTGGGCCAAAAGCCGTCTTCCTCGTCTCCATTTGTCCGCGCGGATATCGTGCTTTGTATCCATATGGCTGTTGACTGACAATATTGGTGTGTCCTCTGTATGTTGTTATGCACTTTCCCCTGCCTGTAGGTTGACGATCACTTCAGGCTGTCCTCTCGGACTCGGGCAGTTTTATATGGATAACTGCGACAGCTGCGTCTGTTTGCTTGTTTTCTAGTGTGTCGATCTTACATTGGTCCTCGACTCACCTTATTGAAGAAGTTGCATCGACCTTGAGAATTCTCCACCGATGCTTATCCGTGTGCATGGACAATCCATTCACCTGTCCTTCCTCCCAGCAAATTGCTGACTTGAAGGATTTACATGTGGAGCTGGTCCACCGGTCTGTGATACTGAATGAGATGCACTATCAGGCAGCCTTTGAGCTCCGTATTGGGCGTGTTAACGGTGAACATCCTGTTTACATGCCCATTTTTCACGTACTGATACGCAATAGTTAAGTCCCTTAAGCCCCTACTGGGCATCGTTGAACACTTGCGCCGTGAATTATCCTGGGGGATGATACCTCGGTCAGTTCAAAACAACTGGCCCAGCAAATCGCATTCTGCTTCATCTCCTTCCTTCGAGGCTTCAGCAATAGAGCTTGGTAAAACCATCATGTCCTCAATCAAAGCAGTGGAAGATCTAGTGATCGGCGCGTATACGCATGCCTCCCTACGGTCGAAGCCATTGCATGAAGAAAGAGATGCAGTTATTGCGGCTGCCATTAGTCTCAATCTCGCATGGTACACTGCCAAAAGCGAGTTGTGCAACACTATTCGAACATTGAGCGAAAAATCCGGTTCCCCATCTGGTTCCATCATTCCTTTGCATCTCCATCATCAGTGCCTGTTCGCGACATCGCTGTTGCAGGCAAGTGATCTTATCCGGGGATTATTATAAGCTGAATGAGCCAATAATGGAGTCAGATGGCGTATGACACGAGCCATATACTGCATGTAGCTCAGAACATTGCCGCACACCACGAAGCCTCTCGACTTCGCTTTTGGCTCCCGCAATTGACATGGCAGTGGCTTGGCGTTGCACCCCGAACTTTCATAATGGAGGATTATGGTGCACCTATAGCTCATGATGCTTTCGAAGCGCCAGACACAACTCTATCAGATGAGGAAGTCAGACAAGGCATTGCTTTTGTTGATCGACAGGATGAGTCAAAGAGTCGAGAAGTTTCTTATGCCCATGCCATCAAAAGAATTTTCGCTGGCCCGCATTTATCATTAAAGGCCTTTCGGAGCTTGTCGTCGGCACCGCAACGCCTTTGGAACTATCCCGTCTTACTTCGACTTCGACTAGGAACATCAAAGATAATTCGAAACATGCAACATTCCACTCATTTGCAGCATGCGATGAAGAATGCCATTGGGGTGGCTATGTTAAGTTTTCCGGCTTTTCTTCCTTCTAACTCAGCAGGTTTGTTTGTTCGTATCCCTAGTTAAGTGTGATCAGTCATGAATTCAATGATAGGTTATCTGTGGTATAGGTGGATCCACGGACAATGGATGAGTATCAGCTATGTATGGGTCCTTGAAATTAATACTGGAGCGAGCTGGCGCGTCGGTTATTTGCGTCTCGTAAGTCCCGTTCAATAATATTCGCAACGCGTGTTCATGTATTTGATAGTCAGGGACCATTCTAGGAGCTATCTATGCTTGTATCGTGCGTCCTGCGATATCATCATTTTCACCCTGACCGCACTTGCTTAGACATGGGCTATCTGCGGGAGGAATTCCATTGGCATAGTGGCAATGGTAACAGTAACTAGTTCCGATAAATTGCAGCACCTTTCATCTCTTGACCATTTTTGTTAGTTGTTTGATGTACCCATTACTTGGATTGTCACGAAAAGCAGGATGCCGTCCTTGGGTGTCGTCGCGTAATGTCTCTGTTTGACCTGCTGTGCGCAATGCTGATTACTATTTTCTAGGTCTGTTACGCTCCCTCCTATCGTGTTGTCCCAATACCTCACACCAGATTCGGGATTGTCCGTGCAAAGTATCGATTTTTACTCGCGGACCTAGTATGAACATATCTCACGATTGAGCAGACTTGGCTTGGATGAGGGCTTCAACGATTGCTCTAGGCATCATCGCCGCGTTGGCAACGAACAGTCTCGTCTTTCCTCGATACACTCGGGTATGGCAATCATATCCATGCTCAACTTCATTTTTTCTCAAATCCAGAAGGTATTGTTTCTGAACCAGATCAGCAGGACATTGAGTTTGCTCAGCCAGTTATATCTGCTCCTTGGACAGTATGTTCCTCCTCAGCTTATGAGTCTGTGCTGCCCAAACCAATTCTAGGGGGATGTTTCGGAATATATACGCATTCACGCCACACGACAAACAAGAGACATTGAAATTGGAACTTCAAATTCGTAACGCGTTGCATCAATCTTCGTCGCTGCTGACTACTATGAATGATGAACTCAGTCTAGTGCCGGTGGGTTTTAAAATACTGTTTTTTTTCGCAACTAACTCGTTTACAGAAACCAATGCGCCACTACCGCGAAGTTGTCCTCAAAATACAGAAGATTCTTGACTTGATGACTGGTCTTAGAAAGATACGGGAAAACATACCCCGTAAGGAGACTGTCGCGTCAGTCCTGAAAGAACGGAAGGAATTTGTAAGTACTGGCAGACTCGGCTGCTGAACTGCATCCATGATCAGACGCCATTGTCAGATATCCTGTATCTGTCTCTCGCTGTTTGCGAGTCAACACGTATTTCGAGCTCGACAACCTCTACCACAATTTCTCCCATCTGCGAGGCAAGCGCTTGAAACGCTTGAATCACAATTAGAAGCCTCCATGCGACAGTCTATCGACGTGGATGCGTCGGTTAACGGCATCTCCCTGGCGTACTCAATTGCGGAACGTGAGGTCATGAGGGATATGGTTGATACCATAGAGGGTTTATTGGAGCTGTGCCGCCAGCTGTTTGGTACATCGGCGTGGTTGACCCATACCTGGCCGGAAATGAGTGCTCACAACGCTGATGAAGGACCTGGAATGCCCGGTGAAGGATGGTTTAGTACAGTGGGGCGCACGTAAAAGGATATTTAATTCATAGGCCTTGTCATGTAGCATAGATGTGATGTTACGGGTGATAGCGGCTTCAAGTAGGTTCATTGTGTGCCATTATATGTCGCGTTTTGTAATTATAACGAATTATTTTATTGTGACGTCACGCGGTTTCAAAACTACGCGTTGTTATTCAACCAAATAACACGGATGGCAATAAAATTACAATTGACAGGTCTCTTCCTCTTTCACTCCACCAAGCTCTACGATGCCTCGCGTCTGCTGGTCCACTTTCCAACCACCCTGGCCACTTCGGGTGTTCATTCGCACCATCATGCTATCCAGGCCACCATTGAACTCATCACTGCTTCCAGCCATAACATCCATTCCTAACGGGATGAATTCTAACCCTAATGATTGTCGACCACGGGGAGATTATACTTCTACTTGCATGAACCACAAACAATGCGGCATTGTTCTGGGATTGGGCCGCGTTATGACGGTGGTCTTTCATGTGCGCCTCGAGCGTTTGCCCGCTTGCTGCTGATTTCGTCTGCGATGACTCTTTTGAAACTGCCTTCATCGCCTCTTCGGAACGCGCTTGTAGCCGACTACGGAAGCACCTCCGTTCATGCATACGCACAGACCTTTGCATGTGCTGCCTCGGGAACCCTTTGTGAACGTGTCTGGACATCACGCGCAGAAAGCTAGCAACTTTCTTAGGTCTGACATGGTTGCGATTAAAGGGAAGGCAGTGCCGGAAATGCTTTGGTCCATGTTGTGGGCGGAGGTCGAACCACGGAACGAGTGCCAGAGAGGCGTCGCGGTATTTTGTTCGGTGATTTTCAAGAGAAGGAGCAGGTCACGCACCGGTTCGCATTCTGTGGCTAATTGCCAGTGGCGTACATCCCGGGTCACGCACAGATCTCTGTAGAGATCAATTAACCCAGGGCCGCTCTCGGAAGACCAGTTATCTTGACTTGCGCCTTTGCCCTTCATCTCTTGTGGTTCACATTCTTTAGCAGGTCAACACACATGATCCCCGTGGTCCGAGTCTTTGACTCTTTCCTCGAGTTGTGGGTGGTCTTACTGGGATCACCCGCTCTTCACCCCCGGCGTCTTATGATTTGCTCGCCGTGAGCAATGCTGTTTTCTCTGTTGTCCTTTGGAACAAGAAAATGTGCATGGGACTCAAAAGCGCCGGTGTGCGCAGCAAACAACCTGGCTTCGCGGTGTGTTGTGACGTGGAACATGGTCTGGAATGCATTTGGTTGTGAATATGGTACGTACAGGACAGGGATCCTAAAGACTGCTTCGGCTAGAGCGTTATGGGTGCAACATTGCTGTCGTCCCTGTGGTTTCGGCTCGCCTACCCCACATGTCAGAGGGATGCTGCGGAGTTACCGCGTACGATTAGCTTGGTTCGACGCTCCTACGCTTTCCGTAATCCTATTTGCGATGCTACTGAACGCTGTCATTATGAAGGTTCAGGTCAAGTTCGAGGCTATTCGCTCGAAGCTGACTTATGTCAGCGGGAACATCGCCAAGACCTGATCTGTCGATTGCGCTTCTGCTTTTTCAACCATCCTTCAATTTGCCGGTCTGTCTCTCTGTATCCAGCTTCAGCCCGCCCCATGGGCTACTTGTGATCCCTATTCGCATGTTCAGCAGGTCGATCCTGTCTTATTTTGACTTGAACCATGGGTTCGGCTCCCAAACCTCAAGTCTACTGTCATTCCGTTGCATCACCCTTCCCTCGGGAGGGGCGATAAAGACTTATTCTTGAGTTCAGCGGTGATGGGACGGCTTTGTGGTGTGCACGTTCCTGTCCATGGGGAAAAGACTACGCACAAGACAGGTAGATCTAGAAGGGTCATGTTGATGATGGGTGAAGGGTTCATGGAAGCTGTGGTTGTCCTGGTTTACCGCGACTAGCGCACGAACAAGAAGGTGGTTGGAAAGTTGCTAGGGGTGTGTTCCAGATCTCGAGCGACGGCTGAGTGGTCAACAACTTCCTCTGGACTGGATGTGACTTCCGTGACGCACGTTGTGAAGACGGTGATGGGTAGTTGTGCGAGTGTATATGGGCGGTCCGAGTCGTGCGAATGACAAGGATAGTCCAATGAATGGTGGCTAGGTGAACGTACGTGTGCCACCCTTCTGGCGCGGTGCGCGTCGGTTGGGATTGGTCCAAAGCGGGGGAAGCTTTTTGCTTCGAAAGTGGATGAGCCTTGTCCTTTACGGGATGCTGTGGGTTGGCGACAGTGAGGGCAAGTGGCACAGGTTTATAACCTCGTGACCCATAGAGTCCAACAATTTTTTGCATATCCCCGTCTTCGTGACGGTTTCCTTTTTCTGTCAATTTCTGGTGTTCGCCCCACAGCTACGACCGTTGGATAGATACTCTATTATGTGCCACCAGATTGTACTACGATTTGTCCGTTGATACAGATACCCATCATAATATCATAATAATTTGAAACAGTCAAACTAAGGAGATATGAAGGTGTACTACAAAGATGTCAAACTGATAGACGTGATGATGATCATATAGCATAACCGTACACCATGCCTTCGCTGCGGCTGTTGCGAGACAACTTGTAAACCTCGACCTTCTCGTAAGGGTCAGACTTGTGTGGAAGTGTGGGAACTCGCGCTGGAGTAGGCGGTGTAACAGTCACATGCATCACAGGAAAGACCTTGGTGGAAGCAAGACCAACAACCGTCGGACAGGAAAGGGAGTCAGTCAAGTATTCCCCCGAACTCTCCTTGCTCCGTGGAAATCCCGAGAACCACGAGTGGCGAGCATCACGATCGTTGCTGCGGTGGACACGCACGATGACAAGCAAGAGTATGCCGAGCACGGTGATCATGACCACGAAGACGAAGATTATCATGATAATGGTACCTTGAAGATTGTAAAGATGAGTTACAGGAGATTTTGGATGTGCGATATCTTACTAAGGCTGAATGAGGTGGACATCGATGAACAGTAGTGTTCTCAGCAAGAGTAAGAGCAATGAGATGGACGTCAAAGCGAATGAGTGTGCGCAAAGGAAAGAATGCGACAAGTAGCGAATCTGCAAAGTGAGTTGTTCATTTTTGAGTCGACGTAAGTAATAGCTTATGCTAGGGGTTTGGTCTGATTCAGAATCTCAAAGTGTTGTTGACCTTTATTTGGAAGTGGCTGGCAATGTACTGTTCAGGTGCTTGGCAGCAAGTAGCAACAGCACGGACGCGTTCATCTACTTAATTATTTTTTATTTCTAGATACCATTTTACTGGTCTCTGCATCGACGGGCTCAGCCCAGCAGTAACAATGGACACGTTATTTGGCAGGAAGAAAGCACGTCCCCGCCAGTCTTCGGTTTCAGGTCGTGATCTCTCCGAGCATTCTGTTCCCTATGACAAACTTGCTCCTGCCTCTCTGGTCCCAATGCCTGTCGGAACCGTGTCTCAAGGTTTGCGGGGCACACCTTCAAATCCGGTTATCTCAGCTCCCCTCACGAACCCCACTCTCACTCACAACGGCACTGAGATGAATTACAGTCACTTCACTGTTTATCAGCGTAGCAGACTTGACCGGGATCGGGCCAACACTTCCCGACCAGATTCCAGTTTTAGTGCAGCAGACTCCTCCACCCTTTACAACGATTCTGTGGCTTCGTTCACCACCGGAAAGCGACCCAAGACTCCCACCCATAAACTTCGCAGAAGTGAAGCATCCGGTTCATCTGGCAGACGTAGTCCAAATGGTGCCGATTTTGGCTCAATGCCTCTCCCAACTTCACCAGCCGTATCTCACTCTTCTCTTCGACCTGGCTCCTCTACGCCTTTTTCATCGGAAGCTGAGCGCGCTTCTCGCTTCTCGAGTTCCGATACTCACTCCAGCCATTTGTCGAATTTTTTCCATAAACCTCATTCGAATCAGGAGGAATTTGTCTTACCCCGGCCAGAGAGAGACGAAGATATTGAAGCTCTCTTTGAACACGTATCAGTGACTCGCGACCTCCCTCCGGTGCACAAACTCACCATTGAACAGAAATGGCAGTTGGTATATGGTGCAGAACAATTGCGATGGCAGGAGGAAAAGACTCGAGAGGAACAGGCTCGGAAGCAGGGTGATTCAGGTGCAGCAGGCTCTCTTGGCGAGGGAACACCAGACTGGTATATCAGGAAATTCCTCGACAACACCATCACTTCGAAACAGGCCTCAAGTGTCTGGGTATCTTTGAAGAGTCATGAAACAAGGTGGGAGGTTAGTTTTTGTGTTGTAATAATTGATAACCTTGGTCTATTTAGCTGGCTTGAACGCTTTATTGAGCTCCAGGGCGCTTCCGTATTAGCGCAGGCGCTAATGCACATAAGTCGTAAGGGTGCCAAGAGGTAACACCGTGGTTTTGGGCTCAAGTTCCTTTCACTAAAGCTTCGCTTAGACTTCAATCTGACACCGCCCTTGAGGGTGAGATTGCCAAGTGTTTGAAGATCATCTTCAACAGTGCTGTATGTTTCTTTTTCGTTTGTTCGTCATTGTTCATTGGGCTCAGATCCTCGCGGGTGCTTTAGTCCAGAGTGCGCGATGCTATGAAGTTGAATGGTGTCGTCACTCAAATCGCGTCTTCTCTCAATTCACCTCATCTTCCAAATCGCAAAGTGATTTGCGAAGTTCTCCTCTCCATCATCCACTCCGGCACAGACCCTCTTTCATTAGTATTTCCAGCTTTAGAAGCCCTAAGTGGCGCCAATGGCGAGACAATCGGATATTATGATTATTGGTTTAGGTCTCTTGAGAGCGCACTCCTGGGCAGGGGCAAGATGGGAAGTCTGGTCGGAGCTAGCGAGGAAGTTCGCAAAGGCGCTGGACATGACAATTCCCTCGCAGACTATGCAGTAAGTATGCTTTACTTGCGTTCCAGCTGAATTATTAATCTGTCTACAGTCGACCAATCTTTTCGTGATTGTTCATATCATGGACGCCATAGAAGACCTGGACGTAAGGTTGCACCATCGCTCGTTAATGGACTCTGCTGGTCTCCAGCGCATCATTGCTCTATGTCATGAGATTGGTACTGAGCCCATGGAAACACAGCTCGCAGAACTGCAGGCCATACTGGAAGAAGATGAGCAACAACTGCGGGAGCGGTACGACCAGGAAATACTTCGTGACCTGAATAGCGCTGAAGACATTTGGAATGCCCTTCGTCACAAAACGGAGAGCACAGGTGCTAAGGAGTACTTCCTTTCTATGATGCGACATCTACTACTCATCCGAGAGGAAGGTCCTGATATGATGCGCCTCTATCAGTTACTCGACTCGCTGGTCACGGACGTGGTTATGGATGGAAAACTTGCCACCGCAGAGAAGAGACTTGGGCACACAGTTCAACGGCTTATTGGCCATCTAAATGATGCCCAGCGATATCAGGATGCCATTCACGAGGCTGCGGAAGCTCGTTCTCAAGCTCTGCGTCTAAAGCTCGAGAAGGAGGCCCTTGAAGAGGAGATGTCACAAGGTTCAGACGGTCTCGTCGGTCATCTTAAGGCACAGGTCGCTCTCCTCGAACAGAAGCTTGGCTCTCATCGGGAAACCACGAAGCGTCTCCAAGGACAACTCGAGACGCAGAAAGCTGGGTATGAAGAACAAATCGCTCAACTGGAAGCTCAAATCTTGGAACTGTTCAGAATGCTAAGGGAGGTTGGCAAGGGCTATGAGAAAATCCTCGACTCTAGTTCAGGGACCATGGACCGGAAGACCCTAATAGAGACCCTGAACAAGCATCTCGAGCGAACCAAAACCATCGGCATCCTTGAGGGGCGCGGCAAGAAAACGAACCATGACAAGCAGGAGGACGGTGAAAACGACGAAACAGACCAATCGGACGATGACGCCACTCCTCGAAAGTCTGATGTACGACGAGGCGCTAATGGTTCAAGAGGTCGATCGCAACCTTCCAAGGTTGTCCGGATATCTGGGGTCCTTAACGGCCACGAGTCGCAATTCATGGATGCTGATGAGGCGGATGAACGGGCGCAAATTAACCATCAACTTGTAGCGAATGCCAAATTTGTATGATCTTTTCATTAGCAACGCTTGTAAATACTCATTGGTGCTGTACAGTTATCGCCTGAAGATGGTGCCGTCGCCAGTCCTCGGAGTATTAATCGCTCACCCAGGCGTACAAATCGTCTGATACAAGGCGATGACACACCATCACTACCCCGTTCACACCGCGCCAATAATCTTCTCGCGCCTCAGCGCGACACCGCACTTGATTACAGTGATTACGAGTCATCACTACGCGAAGAGCATGATGTGGAGAGCGAATTTGGTCAATCCACACGTAGTGGATTCACCGCCTTGACTGATGATACCCAACCTACTTCTGTTGGCTCGGACGGGTCTTCAGAAGTGCCCCGTGGACCCACTGCTGTGTCCTTTACTGAACAGCTTGCTAGAAAACTACAATCCCGGGGTCGATTCCCATCTGTCTCGGAGGGTAGTACAACGCCATCTCCACTCGCCTCCCTCGCTGAGGAGTCTGACGTCGCTCCTCCTCCTCCTGCCCCTCCGCCGCCGCCGCCAGTACCACCGAAGGACGATGACGAATCAACCTCTCCTCCCCCTCCCCCTCCTCCGCCTCCTCCGCCACCCCCTCCTCCGCCTCCTCCTCCTCCTCCGCCACCGCCACCCCCTGGGTATCTTCCTGCTCTTCCAACTTTTTCTAATGCCCCGCCCCCGCCACCACCTCCACCTCCACCCTCTTTCCTGAAGGGTGCTAATTCTACCCCAAGTTCTGCACCTAGTTCAGCTCGAGCATCCATGCTCCTCAGTGCAAATCTCAATGTCCTACTTTCTGCTCGCAAAGATATGCCGTTTGCACCTAGTGCCAAGATGAAGCAATTGCAGTGGGACAAGCTTCCGCAACAGCAAGTTGGCAAGACACTTTGGAAAGACGAAGAACCTGAGAAAGAGAAAGTAATGCTCGCCAAATTACAATCCGACGGAGTGTGGATGGAAATGGAGGAAGACTTCAAGGCCAAGCAGTTGATGATCAATCTCATGGGTGTGTTCTCTTTATTATTTCGTCATTTTGGTTGACATCCCCCGGAAAGCTCGACAGAGGCAAGCCGAATTGAAGAGTGTCCTTGACCCACAGACAAAGAAACGGGTTGGTGAGTTCTCGGAGTGCCAGAAACCTTTGGACGTACCACTTAAATCTTCTCTTACAGAGATCCTTATACAGCGGGTGAAGAGGATGGAACCTGAGGAAATTGCACGTCGCATACAGCAATTCGACCAGGAGATGTGCTCTGAAAATTTCTTGAGCGAGCTCAAAGGCGTCCTTCCCACCCCAGAACAGGTGCGACACTTACTAAATGTTTGGGCGTTGTGCTAAGTCATGTTTAGATTGGCAAACTCAATGTGTACCGTAACGCCGAGCCTGAGGAACTGGCTGGATTACACCCTTCCGACCGGCTCATGGTCAAACTCATACAAATTGACCGTCTTGGCCCCCGCATAGAGGGTATGCTTTACAAGTCCAAGTTCGAGGAACAGTGGCTACTCCTGGATGACGTATGTAGTTCTTTATTGGGCATTTTAAGCCATTCACCGCCATCACATAGGGCGCAAGGAAGGTGGGCGAAGCAGGAGATGCTTTACTGCATGCCAAGCACTTCAAGGAAGTTTTGAACGTAGGATCTCAGCCGAAAGTGTTATTTTGTCTAAAATACGTTTGCAGCTCATCCTCATGATTGGCAACTACATGAACGGTACAGGGATTAAAGGAGGCGCTTTCGGCTTCAGAGTGAGCAGTATCAACAAGGTAGATCTCAATCTTACGTCCTTTCAACTCGACTAAATTTCACTGCAGCTTGTCGACACTAAATCCGTCAACAATACCACACTTCTCCACTTCCTTGAACGGACAATTCATAAACATTTTCTAAGTATGGAAGAGTTTTTAGACGAGCTCGCCAAGCCCGCAGAGGCCTACCGAGGTTTGCGCCCGCTGTACAAGAAACCTAGATTGACTGACATAACTCACTCTAGTGAATACTCAGGATATTCGAAAGGATCTTGCCGAACTCCGGGAAGGTTTAAAACGTATTCGCCAAGAGTTAAATGACTATCATACCGACCTAGCACAAAATGACGGGTTCAGTAACCAAATGTGGACCTTTGTCGGAAAGGCAACATCGAGGCTAGAGTACCTCGTCGATGATGTAAATCATGCGGAAACCACATTCACGGAGGTGGTCAAGTATTATGGCGAGGATGAAAAGAACATAACATCACCGGAGTTTTTTGCGGTTTTCAAGACTTTTGTCACCTCTTACAAGGTCAGTGGTCCCGACATATTGGCGCAATGAGGTCACCAAGTGTTTTGCAGAAATGTAAGATGGAGAACCAAACCGCTGCTGAGGAGAGGGCTGCGGTTGAGAAGCGGAAGCAAGCTATGGCAGAAACAAGGCAATTGCGCCAGAATGCCAAGGATGCTGGCGCACACGAGGAAGATGAATCGGTTCTGGACAATTTATTGGAGAAGCTGCGCAATGGAGACACGGTTACACGTCGCGCAAGAAGGGCTCGTCAGAAACCGGACGCTAGGCCTCTGGTACATCCACTTGACACTACCGTTGACGTCGCGAAAGGCATGCTGGCTGCTCTCAAAGCCGATGGCTTTGGGACGTCGATGCCTTCGTCACCTACCGTCTCTTCTGCGCCACGACGGCGGACGCGGAGAAGGACTGACCTTGGTGGCGTTGACTCGCAATCTACCCTTATGTCTCCTGCAGTCAGTTTACCAGATCTACCCAGCAGCCCAGACGTAACAGTGGAATCGAATTTCTCGGACCTGCCATAATTCCTCCATCTGCTCTCGTTAGATGTTTCTTTATCTGTATCGTATCTGCTTGCATTAGTCTTCGCTCACCACGCATCTCACTGATTCAAGGACTGTTTGTTTGTCAATGTTGGATCCCATAAAGTTGAACTTTCAGAATTCCAAGTCCTAAACCATTCTCTTCACGACTCCACGTACTCCATATATAAGATACCCTTCGAACATGATACCTTCCGCTGGACGCATGATTTTCTCTTTTCTGTTTCTCGTTACGTTTCACGTGCATACAGCTCAGTCCGACAACACGGCTTTAGGAATAGAAATAATCCGCGCTCACTTTCAGGGGGCTGGTTTGGTGCCATCCCTGTTGGCGAACTTCACTCCTTCTGCGCTTCTAACCGCAACGTACGGCGGTGTTGGGATCGTGACCCCAGGTCAACTTCTTTCAAAATCTCGTAAGTGAACTCTATTCGCCATAGCATGTTGTTCATCCCCGCGCCAGAGACGCAAACTGCTCCAAACCTGACTATCACGCCCGCCAACATTACAACCTTGTTGAATGGGAAGTACACTGTTGTGATGGTGGATGCCTGGGCTCCAGGGTATAATGACCCGCGGGGTCAGATTTGTCACTGGGTTGTCAACGGGGTAACCATACAAGGTACGAACACGCTCCTAACTGCATCTGATATTTCGAGATTGACGTGGTGTACATCGGTGCAGACCACTCTGTATCAACGCGCGGAAGTGTGGAGGTAGAACAGTACAGGGGTCCAACACCACCATCCGGGAGTGGGGCACATCGGTTACTATTTGCTTCTTCCTTAAAAGGAAACCTAATTCTGACGATCCTTGCTGCTGCCTGCACAGTTATGTTATCTTACTATACGCTCAACAGTTCCCAACCGTCCCTCCGCCGCAGGGGTTCCCTATCCAAAGCAATGATCCAGGATTTTGCCGCCTCGCGGATTATGTCAAGGTGTGGTCACTTTCCTCGCGTGTAGATCCATTATTAACAGAACACTCATAAGGTCTCAAACATTGGACCACTTATTGCAGTATGCATTCTATGAGTATTATTTCTCCTGCCGCTAATCCTTTGATAAGGGAACCTACTTCACGGTCGAGGAAGGGACGGCTACTTTTACACCCTCTCCTACGTCTCCCGTTGTGACATCCACTCTCCTGGCTTCGGGGTCCAGTGATCCGTCAAAATCTGCTAGCACAGATGTTCAGCACAATGGCGCATTCTCGTCATCAAGCAATTACTTGACCATTTTTCTCGCACCCTTTTTGTGGCTTGTAGCGTTGTAGTTTTTTTTACCCTCACTTGATCACTCGATGTGTACAAATCATATGAATCATAAATTATCATGAGTAGGACAGGATATCCAAGCTGAGATGACGTCTTAAAGCAACACAGCCACTAGCTTCCAAATCTTTCTCTCGCCTGTAGGGGGTGCAGATGAGTACCAAGATACCATGTCGCTATTGATTTTGACTGGAAGTGACTACACTCACCGCATCCTGTGCCATGTGCACATAACCAGCATAACCATCGGTATACTTCCCCAACTCCCTGCCTTTGCTGGCTCCCAAGCCTACCCCTTGTGCATAAATGTTTGTTTGACTGTAACGCGCGTTTCAGCAGCGACAAGCCATAAAGCAAATGACACATACATTGGATCCACCCTGCCTTCGCCATCAGTGCCCAGCCCAGAACCTTCCTTCCAACCCATTATTTTTAAGAGTTTGTTGCCGACATTTGTTTCATCCTGCCCAGGATTGACTACTGGCGGGGGTGAAGGAGGCGGGGGCGGGCCTTCAACGTGTCGTCTCTTCTTACCGATTGCATTGCCAATATTGTCGGGTAAAGGTACATCGGGCTGGTTATGCATAATACGTCGTTCTGATGCTCGATCACGATATTTGGGCTGTTCAGGAGCCTTGTCGGCGGCCTGACGAGCAGCTACAGCTTTCTGCCGGGCAATATCTCTCAGATTAGCGTCCTTGAAATTCTTCTGTATGATAGGATGGATGGATTGTAAGAGAGAAATCGTCAGCTCATTCTGAAAATACTGCATTAACAAGAGGCGCGCCTTGTGGAGACCGGACTCCTTATTGTGACGCTTCAATTGATCAAGGCTCTTGAACTGTCGGGCGCAAAGCAAGCATGTCAATGCAGTGGTATCAGAGAACTCGAATTCTGTTTCAACAGGTTCTGGAGAAGGTGCTCTGGATGGTACTGTTGAGACCACCGTCGGTGTCACAACAGCTGGGGGATTGGCCTGTGGAACCTGAATGATCAGCTGCCTGTTCTTCGTGTTATAACACATCCGCAAACCAGTGCATTGGCATTGGGGCCATCCTTAAGTTCTTCTTGAACCTGATTCCATTTCTGGATATTGCTCACGGTCTAATGCGAGGACCGAAAATCACAATTTTATGGCAAATGATGCAGGAACAAACGAACCTTCTTGCTTGTGATGAGTGGAGCAACCATCTTTGACGCGGTCACTGCCACAAGACAGATGTTAATTCTCATACCCAAATACTTGCAGAGAATATATGGAAGAACCTTTGCTATCGTCGTTGGAGGTTGCTGGCTCAACGTCATCTTCGTCAGCAGCGAAGTCTTCAGCAGAAAAACCAAGGGATAGCTGTCCCGGAGCCTTTGCTGTCGATAAGGAAGCATTTAGCTTACTTCCAAGGGCACCTCTGTTAAAATTGAGTGTGACAGGTTTATCCGAGATGGGCAGTACGGAGGGTGCAGGAGGTTTGTTCAAGGCATCATCTACTTCCCTAGTTAATTAGTGAACGAGAAAGGAGTTCGCTGGCGTACCTTTCTTCTTCCTTTCCTTCTTCTCCTTGACGGGTCCAGTCAAGGGTTGAACCTGGGGTTGTGCAGGTTCTTCCACTTTGAACTCCAAAACAGCGACCATGGCAGATTCATCCCAATACTTTACAAACGCGCCTTCAACTCCGCCTAAGTTGATAGACGACGGAATTGCAGTTTCGTCGCGCAGCATATGATCAACTGGTTGGAATGAGTATTGATGAGCAAACGAAGCGGCGACCGGCTTGTCGGAGATTCGAAAGCCTGAAGGGTGAATTTGAGGAGACATGCTCGTGGCCAGCACTGAAGCTGCAGACTGTAAAAGAAACTAGGATCAGAAACCAAAACTTTATCACTCTTCGTCGCGTTACCTGATTGTCAATAAACTCAACAAATGCAAATCCGAAGCTGGCCAACGTGACCCTATCTTTAATGAGGACAATCCGTTTCATGCCTTTAGCTCCGTTTTTCCCGGGTCCTGCTGAATTCATCATTGCCTGAGCAATCGCTTGCGGCCCCGACAGCGGATCTAGACCGCGGAACAGTAGCACTGGCCCTTGGGTATTGCCAATGTCACGCGTGCCATCGTTCATGTTCTGGCGACCACGGGCTTTGTCGGGCAAAGCACTTTGAGAGTAGTCGATCTTGACCCGTCGACCATTGTGGGGAATGCCGGTCTCAAGCGCCTTATAGAATGTAGCTGTCGCTGAAGCGCCGTGCGAGGCAGGTGGAGGCACTTGAATAAATGGAAAAAGGGGATCCACATATGCACGCGCATGTTCAACACTCGCGAACTGGGCAAAGCCGAAGCCCTTTGAGATACCTTCAAAAATTCAACGGCCACAAACGTCAATGCACGGCATGAATATGAATACGAATGGGCAAGTGCCTGTTGATCTGTCTCTTATTATGGTGACCGTTTCAATGTTGCATCCATTGTTCGACAGGTATGCCTGCAGCTAAAGTATAGCATAGATTCAGCTCGGTACTCGAAGATATGTAAAGTGCGTCGACAAACATCCGCCTCAGAAAAGTCAGGATCCAGTCCTAGGAAGATGACGTGGGGGCTGGGTTCGCTAGGGACCAGACGCTTTTTGCCTTGAAAGCCTTTCTGGTGCCGGTCGTCGTGAGAATGATCATAGTCCTGTGGTCTGCCCTGAGACTGTTGATGGTAGGGGGTCTCGTAGCTGGGTTCTTCGTAGGTATTACTCGCGTCGTATCCCTAATGAGCATGAATGAGAACAGGAATAAGTTTAACAGAAGGACCACGCACGCCATTGTTGAATTTCCTACGCTTCCCATCCCCGTAGGAATCATCATCCCTTCCTCTACTTCCTCTGTCAGTAGTCCATGCTCCACTGTCACCCCAGTTGTCCTTTCCTTTATCCCAGTCACGGTTATAAGCCATGGAATAAAAAGAGTTGACACAGATGCGCTTTAAAGATGATGAAAGTCAAGAAGTAAAAGATAATTCAGTGAGCAACCTTCGCAGCGGACAGAAACAGCTGCGGCCAAACAAACCACAACAACACCACTCCTTACTTCAATCTACGACCATGGCCGTACCCAGTGAGTAGTGATAATTGAACAATACTTGGACAGATGCCTGACAGCTCATAATCGATTCAAGGCTTTTTGAAGGTTTGGACGTATTCTTGAACTCATGACACATGCTTTAACACGCCATATAGGTTGATCCCGCAATTGAAAGATGGAACCGTATGGTCAGTCGGGTTCAACCGTGTGCCTCTGTCTTTCTCAACTTTCTCTGTTTCCAGCGTGAAGATGCGTATAAGCATTTCAGATTTACCCCACGGACAACCTGGGTCGCGATGTGTGGGTTCGTACTCGTGCCCGGGGCGATCTGTTACCTGGCAAGCAAAACACACGTACGTTACCTTTTACATTTATTGTGTCATTTGCTTATGTGGTTATTGCAGTTGAAATGGAGTTGGGCAGGAAAGCGAAAAGGGGAGGCACTGGCACAGTCATGATTTCTACCCCATATCGCATTCTCTGCATAGCTCGTTCCGTGACATGGATACTTCGTAAATCACAGATTTCTATCAAGGCTAGCGTGGTTTAGAATCTCTTGCATAACTCTATGGCTACCTTGCAACCACCACCGACAACTGCGCTGAGTAGCGCATGTGCAGGAACTTGCTGAGAGTGATGCTCTACAGCAGTGTCTAAGTGCCCCAGCTCGTCATCTCTAAATTCCTTGATAACGTCCCTCAAAAGTGGGATGCTTGGATGAGATGATGGTAATGACTCGAAGTCTTTCAATTGACTGGATTCCCCTGGGGTATAAGACTTGCGAACATAACAGCTAAAAATGAGGACAAACTCATCATAATGCTCCCCTATGACCGTCTCCACTGCCTCTGTACAAGCCATGGCTGCTTCTTTGCCCATGAGGGCCGTTACCGCCCCAAGCGCAAAACCTGCAGCTTTGGCAACGTCGGACAACAATGTTGGTCGTACCTGATGTTGTATCTGTAATTTGTCCATCACTTTTAGATGTAGTTTTTCTTGGTCCCACATTTCCTTCACCAAAATAAGTTGATTGAGTATCATTGAATTGCTGTTCAAGATGCTCACCTGAATCAAGGGCCCAACTTGTGGGTCGCGGCCAAGGACAGCGAGTTGTCCTCGGTAAATCCAATTTGCCGCAATTTCACCAGCCTGATCCACGCGCAGTGCGTTGTCCAGAATTTCCCGTTGCTGTGGAGAAATGTCCGGGGAGGTAGAAACCCCAGGTTCCTGGTTCTTGGACGGGTCCGTATAGAAATTGGATGGTCTGGATGTGATGGCTCTTGTCAAGGGCCGTAAAGCCTTCGCAGCCTGGAAACGGTACCCCGCCAACATTTGTAACTCCTGCAGGTCAATCACACAGCTGGTGGTGACCTTGATGTAGACTACGACGTGACCAGGGCAGCACTTTGTACTTTCCACGGCTAAAATAGCCAGAAAAGGAAATAATCGTATTTCTAGTTGATCTCAAGCAAACGCGTCTTCCAAGTTGACCATCGTTCACAAACATTGATATCCGCGCGATTAAGATGACCTCGAAGTACGTGTTTTGATGGAGACCATGCCTTAACATGCTGCACGACTTCATACAGGTTTACACCTTCGCAAGCTGTTGATATGTCTAAGGAGAAGGACTGGTCGATGAACCTTGGTATGTTCATCCATGACTCGTCATGGCACGCGCCAAATGTTTCACTATAGGAATGCTTGACTGGGATACCACCAGCATCGTATTCACCAAGCGCAGCCTGGTCGAGTTCCTCAAGTAAGTGGCCTTATAAACGTCTTCCCAGCACTTGCGAGGCTCATCATCCATCCAGATACACAGGGACTACCGTTGACCCTAGCTTTAGCAATATTCAGAAGCTACCTCGTGAATAATCGAAAACATCTCCCTCCATGAGATGTGCTAACTCGACCCACAGGATATGCTCAGTTTGGCAAGCTAACGACCACCGAAGAGCAGCCATCTGGTGATTCTGGCATTTGTGACCCGGTTATTGATCTTTGACAAAGTCGGAATAAACAGAGACAGTCGCTAGTCCCACGGTTTCCTCATCAGAAAGCAACAGGCTTTTTGCAGAAGAATTCACAGACGATGCATTATCGATTGCGCCGCCGCCGCCGCCAACCGTGACACAGGTGCAGTAACATTCAGATCCTTCATTTTCAAATTTTGACATAAAGAAAAGACCACTCAGCCGGCTCAACCTAGATCTCCGGGCAGCCCTGATGCTATGGGTGATTTCAAACCCACGAGGTAGTATGATCTCAACAGTCTTGTGATGTAAACTAATGCGATTGACTAGACGGGTAAGGACGCAGCCAGGCGGTCATGACTCTATTGGCAATTTGTTCGGTGACGAACCCCTGGCTCAATTTATTCCCACTCGCAAGTATGTAGCGTTTGCTTTGCTATCCCCTCTCCACTTATCCCGGCCACAGGGTGCGACAGCGCCCAGGAGGAGAAGACAATATCGAAGGGGTAAGCATGCGGCACAATTTAGTTCGACTTATGTATTGATCTCCTAGTAGCTTTTCTGAGGGTGTATTCTTTGTATGAAAATACTGAAGCAATGTCGAGGTTTAAATGGTATTAAAGATGTTTTTGTTGTCCAACAACCTGCTACTAGCATCAGTACCATATCGTTAGTTCTAGGCGCCTGGGATCAAAAGCAAAAAGCTTGATGGTAGCGGCGAGGTTCGAACTCGCGCGGACTTTCGCCCATTGGGATTCAGATCGGTTCTTAAATCCAACGCCTTAGACCAACTCGGCCACGCTACCAATCACCTGATTGCAATATTTAATATTGTTGATCAGCACCCTGACATGGTTACCGACCGATTACCGCTTTAATATTTTGGACGGCAATTCGATACTGCCACGAATCACGATCAGCCGCATCATGGGCTGTTCAAGTTTAAGTTATAAAGGCGACAGTGCCCTTCCTTCTCTTTAATTTCAACATTATAATGTCGTTTCCGAAGACCCAGAACGAATGGCGAATGGCCTTGGATTCACTTCCTCCTACCCCCGAGAAAATCCCTGCTTTCTTCTTTGGGCACGGGTCCCCGATGCTCATTGCCAGACAGGACTTGAACTCACCCATGCCAATCGCCATGGGCTCAGAGGGTGACCTCGCAAAGTTTTTGCGTGATTTCGGTCCAGCTTTGAGGGCCAAGTACAAGCCAAAGGGCATTGTTGTGTTCAGTGCTCACTGGGAAACGATAGGAGCACGTCACGGTAAGAATTTCGGGCTCCCCCGGGGAGCACTTAGCTGACGTCGTGTCTGGCAGTGACGGATTACGGAGATAAGAACCCCCTGCTCATGGACTACTTTGGGTTTGAACCCTACTTCTATCAACAAACATTCGAATCCAAAGGAGACCGCGCCTTGGCCGAGCGCCTTGTGCAGTTGTACAAAGAGGTATATCAAACAGAAAGTCATTCTCTCCATTCATACCTATTTTGGAATTGCTGTTAGGCAGGCCAAAAAGCCAAGCTCTCCGGCGTTCGTGAGAGCCGCGGGTGGGATGGCCGCACTTCTCCCCCTAGTCAAGGCCCAGGATTCGACCATGGTGTCTTTGTCCCTTTCAAGCTTATGTTTGGGGACAAGGTGGACGATGTGCCCATCGTTCAAGTATCCATCGAAAGGTCTGGTGATCCAGAACAGAACTGGGCAGTCGGAAAGGCAGTATCGAAACTCAGGTCCGTTTTTGGGCCCACTATTTACGTTCGCACATTTATAGAGCCGACATATCTGATGTCTCGTATTCATAGAGAAGAGGGGATTCTCATCCTAGCAGGCGGTCTGACCGTCCACAATCTTCGTGATCCAAGGCAATTCTCAGAGAAGGCAGCGTCACCCAACGTTAAGATGTTTGATCAGGCAATTACAGTGGCTGCATCTCAGTCCCAGGTTCATACTACACACTCATCCCTTTTCAAAATTGCTCATTTTTATCTTTGACAGCTTGACGAACGGAAGCAGTCGATGTTCAACCTCGTGAAGCACGATGGCTTCGCGCAGGCGCACCCCTCCGCTGAGCATTTTGTTCCGCTGTATGTTGCCGCGGGCGCAGGTGAGGAGGGGGGTGTTCAGGTTATCAGCGCCATTTACTCTGCTCCGACTATTGCATTCGGGATTTAATGGCATGCAGAAGAATGTACCTTGCACCAGAAGCTACGTTACATTGCGACCGAGATGACCATTAATATTCTCAACGGACGGAATGAATCACGACAAAAAGAAATCAAATACGAGCAACCGGAAGAAATCAAGCCCAGGGAGCAATATGACGCAAATGAAAGGTTAAAGTTCAGGTGAATACTTGATGCATCTTTTCAAGTACGTACGGCGATAACTTTGGATGAATCTTGTCTGTTAGCTTTGAGTCTCCTGTGATATCATGATGCGCTAACACATACTTGGTCTGTTGTTGGACTTTGCTTCTTTCGTAGTGGCAAGTCAAGTGCCCGCACGATGGGTTCCTTCAATGCAGGTGGTTGTTAAAATAAATGAGTCTGGCAGTGACTACTAGCTTCGGGTTTGAACCCTATTTTTATCAACAAATGGTCCAAAGGAGAACCCGGGATGGCCAGACGCATGGTCCAGGCTCAGGATTAGATCACGGCGTCTTCGTTCTTTACAGGCTTGTGCTTAAGGACAAGGTGGACGACGTGCACATCATCCAACTACCCATCGAAAGGTCTGATGAACCAGAACAGAACTGGGCAGGGTCGGAAAGGCAGTATAAAAACTCTGGTTCGTATCTGGGTCTAAACTTTACATTACTGTCTTTATATATGATATTTCTCATCCATAGAGAAGAGATCCGCATTTTAGCAGGCGGTCTGACCATCCACAATCTTCATTATCGAAATCATTGTGCAGAGAAGTTGGCGTCCCCCAACGTGAAGATGTTTGATCAGGCGATAACAGTAGCTACATACTAATCCCAGGTTTAACTCGCATGCTCGATTCGCTCACGATTCATTCTTGACAACTTAACAAATAGAAGCAGCCGCTGTTCGACCTCATGAAGCACGATGGCTTCGCGTTTGCAACATCCCACCACCGATCACTTTGTTCCGCTACATGTTGCGGCGGACGTTCAAAGTCTCAGCGCCACTTACGCTTCTCAAATGATTGCATTCGGTGTTTGATCCTATGCACTTGTCTTGTACTAGAAGCTAGATAACATTGCGAGCTGAACATCCTAATCCTATGGAATGAAATGATGGAAATAAGGTATCAAACACAACAACCCGAAAGCAAGATCCCGGGAATACCATTACGACAATGAAACGGAAGAAGAAAAGGATGCCTTTTCATCAAAGCCGATTATCTCCAGCAAACGACCATATTCTGACGTCGCCGTCATCGCTGCCAGAGATAATCTTGTCTTCACCAAGACCCAAGCATGTTACAGCACCACGATGTCCAACCAAAGTAGCTGTACACCGGCCTTCCTCGCGGTTCCACACCTGGAAGGGGATATTTAAGTTTGGAGGCAGATGATTACTCGAGAAGACGGACCTTGATAGTGCGGTCATGGCTGCCGCTAATTAACCGCAGCTTGTCACTCGCTACCGCCCAGACGCCTTCAATGTGGCCAAATAGAGTCTGCGTGGCTTTCGCCGTATCAATGTCCCAAACCTTGATAGTGTTATCAAGGCTTCCAGAAATGAGCACCGGCCTCTTAGCGCGCTTCCGACTACCACCTGCCAACACTTCCCTAGTGACACGATCAAGGCTCTGAATGTCCTCCATGCTCTCGTTATCAGCATCGTGCGTAATGACCGTGCAAACTTCAAAAGGGTTCGTTGTGTTCCCAACTTGGGTGACATGGGCCATGTTATTGTCCGCAATGCGCTGCTCTTGACGACTGACGCCCTCGTCACAGCGCTCATCCACCTCCAATAGTTTCAGACTCTGCACTTGTCCAACGTGCCCCATGAATTGGCGCACGCACGTCCGTCGGGCAAGGTCCCACAGGCGAATGGTCCCGTCATCTGAAGCCGAAAACAATAATGTGCCTTGGCATATCCTTGGCTCGCCACTCGACCCGTACGACATCTCAACATCTGCTGGTCCTTCAGATTCCCATAGCCGCACGGAATTGACCCAGTCACGGTGACCACGGAGCGTGAACGTTTCGCCCGTGCGGAAGTTCCATATCTTCACGGTGGTATCCACACTCCCGCTAGCAAGCACGTTGGAGTCGAAGTTGAGACAAACAACACCCTCTGTATGTCCCTCGAGCGTACGTATGCACTCCCCAGTTCTCCAGTTCCATACTCTAATGGTGCGGTCCATACTCCCTGTTATCAACTTCGCCTCATCGAACTGTAATGCCCGTACAGCACGCGTATGTCCACGGAGGCAGCGTACCTCGAGGCCGGTTTCAATGTTCCACACACGCACAGTGCGGTCGTACGAGCCTGTGATGAGGATAGGGAAGGAAGGATGCTGCAAGGTCTCGCTGAACTGGAGACACATGACACCGTCTGTGTGTCCATGTAGCGTCCGGACGGAACATCGCCCCCGGCGCCAATTACGCTCGACTGATAAGCGCTCTGAATATACATCCTTCCATGGCCGTGTGAACAGCAATGCGTCGGGTATATCGGGAACGATCAAGTCAGGGGCAGTATGAGGTTGGAATGAAGGAGGAGACGATGACGGAGAGGCAGAGTTTACGCGGACGGCACGCTTTCGCTCGAGAATAGGTAGCCCCCATCCGCACTTAAGGCATTTTTGGCCGATGTGCTGTTCACATATTCCGCGCCATAGGACGTCGTCATCGGCTAGGCTTTTCCACTGCTTGCTCACCTGAGCAGCGCGACAAAGAGAGGTAGCGTCAAGACACGCAAGGACTCTGAGTGATACCTCGCGGGGGAGGGCGGTGAATGGGTCGATGCGGATTAGCTGACCAAGCTGCTCCGTCAGCAATGAGAGCTGAGAAAAACAGCACATGGTGAGAATGCCTTGAAGAATCAGTTCCCTCCTGGGGTGCGATGACGAGGAGAAACCGGACCAAATGGCATTGACGGCTTCCCGTTCTTGTACGGGGAGAGCATCAAGAGCCTATAGAAATTAAATCAGCAGCTGAAGAGCTCATCGGCTGAAGGGATGCAATGTCAGACACACACCTGCTGAAGCTTTAAGTTGGTACCCTCATCCGCCATTCTCTGATGGCGGACACATAATTTTCTCTGAGTAGTTGGAGTGATGTGCATCTCAATGTCTGAGGTTGTTGAGGGCGGAGATGAGCCGGCAGAAGAAGATCCAAAATTTGAGAAAGGTGAGGGAGATCGATTATGGTCTAGATCAGGAGCCAAACCCGAAGCGAGGCGAGGAGCAGGCAGGGTATCGCATTCGTATGATCCAGTCGTGGGTGTGGGTGTCGCCATGGCTGGCGTCGGGGAGACAGAAAAAAGAGTTGAAGCCTTTCAAGAACCGAAAGGATTAAATAATAATCTCATATCAAGGGCTTGTGGTCGAATGAAGTCAGACTTGCATGTATGTTGCCCTATTCGCGAACATCTCACGCAACATCACGCAAGCCAAACGTCACGGGTCACAAACATAATATCCTATGTCACGCAATTTCAATGGCCAGCAAGCTTGGAGCAGCGACAAAACATCTGCTCAACGACAGGCATAATAGTAACATCATGTGTACAGTGGTACAGTGGTACTGAACGGACCGTGGAAAATCAATTCAACAAAAATATGACGTGAACACGATACAGAATCAATACAACACAGACAGGATACACGCACTCATCGATCGATATTATAGGATACGCAGAAATCAGATACCAGTCTCCTTCCTCTCAATCAATCAAGCGTGATCTTAAGTTGATCCAGAGGTATCGGTACAAAAGTATCCAAGTCGATCGACCGTGAGCGTAGCTCAGCCTCGCAGTGTGGTGGAACCAGGAGTCGGTTTAAGTCTGGTCGCACCGACAACTCTGTCATAAACTAATCAGCGACCGTTGACATTCCATACTTTGCTGTCAATTACCTTCCCGTGTGAAGTCGAATAGACGAGGGAATTCCTTCCCGTTCGGCATCCTTGCGCCCTCCACTCGTAGTTCGTCAAAGAATGGGTGCACCATGGCCTCTACCGCACTTAAACGTGCCCCAGGCGTATATTCGAGTAACTTGGCAACCAAATCAATCGCCTCAGGCGCAGTGCGTGGTCGAAATACCTGTCGTACGTAAGTACACGCGGTAACAACGCTACAAAACTGCGGTTATACCTTTGAGAATGGATGAGGCTTGATTTGAGGGAACTTGTGCTCCATATAATTTGGATTCATCGTCTTAATTTGTTCTCGCGATGGCGTCCCAAGAACCTTGATGATCTCCACCAACTGGTCGATACCACTCTCCCCAGGAAACAGAGGTTGGCCAAGCATCAACTCTGCCATCACGCAACCCGTCGACCATATGTCTAGAACAGAGTTACTCTCTCCCACACAGTACGGAATGAGATTGTTACCCACCGATGTTTGTAGTGTAGTTGGTAGCACCGAAAATAAGTTCTGGTGCTCTGTAGTACCTCGAGCAAATGTAACTAACATTTGGCTCTCCAGCAACGAGGATTTTTGCTGAGCCGAAATCGCACAAATTTAGAACTCCCGTGGCAGGGTTCAACAGGAGATTCTGAGGTTTAATATCGCGATGGCAGATGCCCACTGAGTGAATGTAGGCAAGTGACCGGAGAAGCTGATACATGTACAGCTTGATTTGAAGCATCGGCATAGGTTGCTTCAACTTTGTGTAATGACGGCTGGCGCGGTAAACGGTGTCTGGAACGTATTCAAGAACAAGATTGAGGTAAACTTCGTCCTTCTATGGGCAAAGCTGGAATCAGCACCAAGATGAGGACTGGACTAGATTTTGCAAACCTTTTCCCCATTGGAATAGAAGAAAGCCTTGAGGTCGACGACGTTTGGATGTGACACAAGTCTCATGATTTGTAGTTCACGATTCTATTTGCACGATGTCGATGATATCAGGCCAGCACGGACCATTTCATCAGCATCATCTCAAAAGCGGGCCACATCACGACACGCGCAGAAGCGCAGAGTGACAGACAAAAGGGATTACGTACCTTGAATCGCTTGTCCTGGAGGACTTTCTTGATGGCTATATCCTCTCCCTTTGACTCTCCGACGAGTTTTGCCTGGTATACGACACCAAAAGAGCCATTTCCAATGACTTTGCAATTTGTGTAGGCAATCTCCCTCTGTTCTGATGTTTTGCCGTCTGTTGCGACGACCTTGACTACCTTGTGGGGATCGTCGATGGCTATTTGAGGGGAAATGTGGTCAGATGAAGATGACATGGACATGATGGAGACAGAAGGAGGTAGGATATAAAGGCGGGAAATGACGGGGGAAGAATAACAATTAGAAAACACACATAGCGACCAAATTTGGATGTAGAAAAGTGTGGAGGTTGATTGGGAGAGCACGCACGAGATATCTTAACACCATTTATTGGAACGTTTGATGCCATCTGTGAAAAAGATATGCTCCTTGCAGAAAATCGCACGCGCTCTTGGAAATCGGAAGGAACAAGTGGCACGACTGGTAGCGAGCGCCTAATTGATGTTGGTGATGCGGCAAACTTGAAGCAATTAGAGCAAACTCGCAGTTAAAAAAACTGCAAAAGATGAAGGGGACTGAAAGTTAATGCTGGAAATGCAAACGAAGGCTTGTTGGGAGGTGAAAACGATATGGATGGGAAGAGAGAAGGTGAACGAGCAGGAGAAAGGGTGACTTGAGAGATCCTGTGACCCCAATCATCCTCGACGCCAATCATACGCAAACATCCACTTTGAAGTTTAACGTTGTCTATCAAAGCTCCAATGGCTCAAATTTTTAACTGCATTCAAGTTCAGCGGTCCACATGTCGAGACTTGATAGCCATCGTCAACAGGTCGTCAAATCCGTGTCGTACCCTCTGTACAACTCTACCATTGTCTCATGTTCATATCCCAGCCTGAGCTGTTACAACGGCTCTTAGCCTGGACCCTGCATAGAAAATTTCTCAGCCCAAATCTCAATCTTTGCGCTATTGAACTTCGGAAACAACTTTTGATGCCATCAATGCCTCCAGCGAAGCCCACAGATGATGATCTATGAAGTCCACAGCATGATGATATTGATGACACCCTTTTCAGCGTACCTCAACCTGAGATTTTCGTACCAACTTGCGTGTTTCTTCCTCCGTTATGTTTGGACTCTCACCTCCGAAGCATGTCTAATTAGGAAATTTAGGGCTCACAACAATGCTGTCCGTGCGTGATCGGTCTGTGCGTCGACTTGTGTCTCAGACCCCGTTATCGCAGCCGGCACATGACCGCGGACTGTATGTGGTCCCCCCCTCACGGGTTAGTCAAGCCAAGGCTTTGTTTCATGATAAGACTCCCTGTCACGTAAGATGGTCTGGAACTATAGTCTATTTCCTATCGATGAACCTGGATGTACGTAACTCATGGGTGCGTTTCAAGTTATTGGACAGGTAACTGCCTCTCAAATTGCTATTTGCCTGTCATAGCATTAATCGAGATATCATTTCAGTGGTTCAATAATGTTGTGGTTCCATGGCTTCGATTTTTCAGGGCTCCGTGTTCCTCGCATGACTCTTGGTTGACCAGCTTCAGGATCGTGTTGCACACAACCTATCTCAGTGGATGCTCAAGTAGTTCACATCGATCATACAGTGATTCCTTTGTGTTGCTCAAAGGTAATAGGTCTCGAATTCAGAAAATTAAATCCTTTATTCAAGGATGGAAGCTCAAAGGCTCCACTTTTGACGCAATTTGAGACGTGTAAGTCTGCCCACTTTTGTAATGAGTATCCTAATTCTACGCAGGTGAGTATTGCAAAAGAACGCGATTCACGTGTGACTTCCTCGATCTCTCATTAATCATGCGGACAGTGAACCTCCCTGGTTGGATGACGAACTCCAAGTCGAGTATGTCTCCGTGGTAGTTCTACGTTCTACGCTCAACGCTTGGCCGTGATGCCAAGTCAGGGTATGTTCCTCCGTGGCGAATTGACATTCACATTCATTGAACAACCCTGACACGCAGTCAACGCTACATGTGGCACTCAAGGATGCGTTTTTTCTCGGTCACTTTAACCTCCGAGGGGCGTCTAATCCCTATCGGGATGCTCGCGGCGCATTTGAACGTTGTAAGTACCCAACTAAATTTTGCTCTTGTTCCTATTACAGTGGAAGTCGTATCATCATAAACAAGAGGCATATGATCTACGCCTCGCATGAGGCTAGTCGCACCTCGCGATCGATTATCAGGACAATTTGTCCCTGCACAGTCAGTTATGAGAAAACATGTAAGTAGGCAGGTTGGACGGCTTATTTGAATAGCCGCAAACCAAATATGAATGCATACTCCCCGTGATGATACTCACCAACTTTTCATTGGACTTCCACACAGGTAGGGTGTGTGATCGAAGAAAGGATTAACAGTTGGTTGCTTTTGGGATACTGACGAGACCCAAACACATCTTCCGAGGTCCGTAAGTGACAAAGGACGGTCAATCTTTGACCCCATTCATTCAAGGCAAGCACAGCAGGGTTACACCCTTATGCGACCTTCTCCGTTAGTGTACAGCAAGGTGGGTTGAATGAATGAAACGCGGCATTTGTATTGATCAAGCGATCAAAAGATGACTGCGGGATCACGCGACCGAGGATGCCACCCCCTTCCAAACTTGACTGTCATATCAATCCAGATCTTGGTGAGCGTTATCTGCATGTACGTGCACTCCTCGTGCGTGGTTGCGGACGGCGTGAAACTCAGATCACGCGTCAATTGCGAGCGTCCATTGGCTTATTTAGGGCACGACGATCGCCGTGCCGAGATTAGCCTTGTCCGCTGCTCCAGTCGCACCATCTTCCGACCGACGTATTATGAATTGTGAGCCGTTGGACACGGGGATTTTACCTACGTGAAAAGTTGAGATATTCCACATCATGTGTGCTCAATCTTCTAGCTGGCAAGCAGACCCTCCACCGCGTTTTCAGGCCTGTAGGCGCCTTTCTGCCTTTAAAAACGCGAGAAATTGAAAACAGCGAACACTCATATCACCTCCATAGCCATGCAAGTCCCTGTAAGCTATTCCCGCGAGATCGCAGCGTCTTGAACTGACTGCCCACTTCAGGATATTCACGCGTCTCCTGATCAAGTTGAAGTGCAATACGCAACCCATGTCGCTCTAGATGATGCCGACGAACTTGTTTTTGAAAGGTTCGTCCTGAGTCGATGGTCGTCTGGGCAATCTCACGCCGTTCCTGGCAGATTCAACGAATCGTTCTGGCCCTTGGCTGGATACGAAGACCATCCGCGTGACGAATATACCGATCACGATCTCATGGGTCCCCCCACGACCAGCGACCCTCATCAGAACCCCGTGGGCCATGGGGAGCAGCATGGACCTTGCTCACCGTTGTCATTCGGCAGACAATGTTGCTTCCAGCACGAGCACGCCATTCCAGGTGGCCAATGTCCTGACTATGGGGTCTCATGCACCGCGAGCTTCGCAACAACCGACCAGCAAATGGACCAGCAGGCACCAGATGCGATGCTGGAGATCCCCTTCAATAATGCAGAAGGTATTCAACAGATGTATTGTCCACTTTCGCTGGCGAATGACGGGCAAGGTCAGGTGTTTTGATATCGAGCGGTGAATTGAATCTAATGACAGTTATTATGCAGATGTCATGACCGGCTGGGAAGATCACCTTGTCTCGAGTGCAGATGACCCCCACTATGCACCCATTGTCGGTGGTGATGCGAGGGACATAGGACCGGCGCCTCATCCCACACCATCCGGTGTCCTGAGTGTTGTTCGGTGCCAACACCATATACAAGGTCAACCCTGCGGGGTGTTGATCGAAGGCGAAATCTCCAGTATCTTGGAACATTTCGCCTGCATGCACGTTCGCCCTCGCATGTTTGCAAATGCAAAATCACAGCATCCGCCGGAGTTCTGGACTTGTCGCTGGGGCGGCGGGTGTGACAGTCGCATGCGCAAGGAGGGCATTAAGAGGCATGTTCTTGGCCACATCTTCCGGTGGAAATGTTTGACTTGCTCGTCGACCTACTCGCGAGATGATAGTGCGCGAAAACACGCTAAGGAGTGTGGAGATGGCAGGATCTCCATGCAGCCGCGGTCGGAGGTTCATCCACAACAGTTGTAGGAGGAGAGAAGAAGGGGGAGGGAAACCATAGCTCCCTCGGTGCACGATACTTACATGCTTACGAAGAGGGATTCTGGGAATTCTTCCAGTTGGCGATATATTTATAGCCGTTCGCGGATGCGGTTTGTACTTACAATACTCTGCGACTTCCGTTCAAGTTGTTCGCTTCCTAATTCAACTTTCCATACGTATCGAGTCCTTAGTACATCACAAGCCCACCGTAAATCCTTTTGCAGGCAGCTAGTCGCAGACTCTCAGTGGCATGCGACTGGGCAGCGAGGAGCAGTGATGATTGATTCCAGTCGGCTATCTGAGTATGGCATCTAAAGATTATGTCATAGGTGTCAATGATGATGTGATTGGAAGGATACGCACCCATAATCAGTCTAGCAATATCACGTATAGGGGACATCGATCGAGAGGTGAGTTATGTGCGTAGAGGAGAATACGAGTCGCCTGCAATTACGGATCAAACGCGCGATTGACATCCGCAGACCGTGTTCGTGCACGCAACCCGTGTCAAATCTCTGAGCCGATCGTACATAATGATTGCGGCCTTCCAACGGCCTTCTGGCAAAATGTCGTTGATCCGACCTTCTGATAGCCCAAAGCCATAAGTCGAAAAAGTTAGGATAAGCCGCCGAACGTACCCTAGATCTTAGCAACTGGCTGGACGTGGGATAGGAAGATAAACATACTTGGTTCTACTTCATGATGGTGAAACCTGCAACATTGCTCCCCCCGGATGAATCAAGGAAACCAACGGCAACGCAGCAAGCAACTCATGCATATGACTTAGATTACTTCGACCACGGTATGGCGTGTCACTTCAAAATATCACCAAACGTGTGGGAGGCGAGAAGTGGAAGCCTATTCTCCAAACTTGCGTTTGTTGCTTCTGCCGAAACCGTCATCACCACCACCGCCACCTCTTCCGAAGCCGCCTCTATCTCCGTCACTGCCACCTCTGCCTCGTCCTCTCCATTGACCTCTCCACCTTCCTCGAATCGTGCCCCTGGACATCCCTCTTCCTCTTCCTCTCCCACGCCCTCTTCCTCTCGTCATGTCACCCACCTCGATCACTCCTTCCAATACTACTTCCTCCTCCAACTCCATAGCCACACCAGAAAATCCTTCTTCGTTCAGATCAGCATGAATAGAGACACACATGAAGTCGTATGCGACGACAGCTTCACCACCTCCCCAAGCCTCGCTCGCTTGCCGTTCAATTTCAGCGATGACAGCAAAACGGGCGTCTTGCGAATTTTTGAGTTGTTTAGGGGCTGGAAATCTGCGACAAGTAAGGAAATGAGCAAGGCAGAAAGTGGGCATGAAGATGACGTATGGAAAAAAATGATGCAATAAGTACATAAACAAGTTAAATGGGATCAATCTCACAGCATGTGGTGTACTCACCGGCTACCAATATGATTCAACACGACTTTCTGAGCTCCAATTTGTTTCGCAAATGTGCCCGCCATTACCGGGGTGGAGTGACCCCTTGCCACGACCTTGCTATCCACTTCGTCTTTGGTCCGTCGTGCTGAAGGGTCAATCTGTCGAGAGATGTACGTATCTGTGGCTTCGTGAATGAGGAGTGACACGGGCATAGTTGTCGATGGCTGTATAAGCGGAATAATCGGTGATGCATCGTATGTATCACCCAAAATGACAAGTTTGCGATGCGGGGGGTTGGGCTCATGGAAGACATAACCTATGCAAGGGTCTGTGCGGGTTCATTCAACACTAACGTATAAGAATGTTTAAAGGCGATTTCTCACCCCGATGTAGTATTGGTCCTGCATCAACTATAACCTCACCCCAGTAACCTGTGCCACTTGTGACACCTTTCCAGAAGCCATCGCTATCACAAAGGAAATTTTGACCAGGGCACTCGCTCGGATGAAGCACGGCAGGATCACATGAAGTGGGCGTGTCGGAGGGTGTCAACAGTTCGTGGACTACGTAGCGCTCGCCTGTGTGTGTGAGGGTCATAGCGAAAATTGAGCGAACAAATGTACGAAGGCCAGCGGGACCGTAAAGCTCGATATGGGGCTTTTCAGGTGTTAGCCATGGATATAATACAGAGCTTAATTACACACGGGACCATCTGAGGGCGGGAGGTCGCCAGAGGGAGCTATCAGTGGCGGGTGGAGGACATGTCTAAGGAAAGTGATTATTCCCATTACATGGTCGGCTAGAAATACACCAAGGTAAAGATAAAGATTCCGCAAATCCAATGAGACAAACCATGCATATGGGTGACAAATAGCTTGGTCACTTTGAACGCTTTAAGGACTGGGTCTCCCTGGCCGCGATGTTGCATCTGAAATTGCCGCACTGTCCCTTCTGCACAGTCGACCACTTATGATGGCTAGTTAATTAATTAATTGCAGAAGAAATAAAGCGCACTCCATAGCGAGCCGTCGCCGATGACGTCTGCGACTAAGTATTAACGGTCTCTGTAAGATGATCTACATGAAATGGCAGAAAGTGCAATGGCATACCAAGACTTGAACAGTTGCGAGAAATTGAAGGGCCACCACCGCTGGAGGTGCCCAGGAAAGATATATTCATGTTTCGTGCCATGACGGTTGAACGTTGAGAGCAAGATCTGCACCCCTACAATTACATTCACGTAAAAGGCAAGTGAAGTTGAACAAAAGCTGTGGCTGACGCTCGTTTGCAATCGAACCGTTCAGTGCAGCTACAACGCTTGCAAAGCTATTGCGCTCATTTACTATCATTTTGTCACTCGCTGTCGTTCATTCAAGCCACTGTCATTATGTTCATGGACCCTTCTTCTCGTGTGCCCCACGTCTTCGTAATCCCCCCCGAAGAAGAGCACTCCCAAAATCCTCCTTGGTGCTGTTTCGATGCAGACCTGCCTCCAGAAAATAGCACATCTATCGAGGTCACCTCTGCTAACCAACCTGACATCTTATTCGATGTACCCTTCTTGCTGCACCAGCCAGAACCAGCTCCCTCCTTTCCCCATGAGCAGCCTGGTGCAAGCTCGGTGATTATCCCACAGTCCAGGAGTTCTACATCTAGCTCTACGAGCGAGAAGCGTCAGCGCCCGCAGCATATCACTATCTCTGCCATGCGCAATAATGACCACGTCCGCGCTGTCCAGCATGATGTGCGAGATGACTCAGACGTGATTGAGGTCGTCAAGGTCAGGCGTTCAAAGGACTACAAATACAATCACGCAGATCACGTCCCAGAGCCACAGTTAAAGCGTTCAAAGACTTTTCGCGCTCGTGCATCCCGCGCTTTCCAATCCATAAAGAATGTCTCTCTCCCCCGTAGCAAGCAAACGAACACCAAACCACATGTCAAGGATCTTTGGACATCCACTGAGAGCATGCCAGGCATATTCAGAGGTGTTTTGCATTCCAAAGAGGATGTGCCACCAACGCCTAGTCGCAAGCTGTCGACTCTTTTCCAGAAACAGCTGTCCTCCTACTCATCGGAGGGTATCCTCCCAAGTTCGACAACTACGTCATTGCCTTATCTCAAGGGCTCTGATACCACTCCCTCCATCGCTGAAATTCGGCCTTCATATGAGTTCATTGAGCGCCCCCTCACTCCTTGTGCACCCACGTACGACCATAGTCTTCGTCGTCCAGTTTCTTCAGCCGACTTTCAACGCGCTTCCTCACCCGAGTCCAAGTTCAGCAAGGATCTGAAGCGACCTATCTCATCTCAGGATCTTCAGCGTCCAGAGAAAGACTTACGTCCTGTGTCTTCAGATGATTTCCAGCAAGATGAGCGCCCGGGGTCGCCCAACCCCTCCACCCGAAGATCGCGCAAACGTTTTTCCGTTAATGAGCTGCACCGCCTTTTCTCCTTCTCTCCAGAACCTCCCTCTTCTTCCACATTCCCTTCCACAACCACGTCCGCCTCGATCTCGAGTACACACTCTTACTCCGATGTACCATACGCTGCGGTGCATTTTGTTGATGATGATTACGGAAGGGAGGTCGAGGGCAAGTACGGTCGCAATCTCGACCTACTTGATGGTGATGACGGCGAGCTGCCCCCACCATCGCAGCCAAGTGATATCAGTTTCGAGTTGCGTCTCGACAGCTTGCACTTTGAGTCACTTTCGTTCGATCCCGAGGACTTTGACGTGAGCATGAACTTGGGAACCACAGGACTAGGTATCTCACGGCGGTGATCTCCGCTTTTTCATATGCTGTGAGTATGGCGATTGTCGAGGTTTTTTCTGCGGAATACATATTAGTAGGCTGGGCCTCGTGAGTTTCATTGTCTATTTCATCATGATATTTATCAGTGCTTCATTTCATGACCTGTACGATACCGATCCAGTCATCTACAAAAGAACCAACTCTCTATACCGACCTCGAACATTCTAGTATATTGCACGCTTCTTGGGCTCGCACTTGATGTCTTCAAACTGTTCTTACATTATTACTCGTCTATAGGTTGACTGGCTATACCAAGTTAGTGCTATTCATAGCATGTGACCGTGACGTGATAGCGTGACAATAATAGAATTACACGACACCGTCCGACCGAGAGAATTTGTTCGCAAAGGACTTGTCCGGCTTCCACCACATCAATGCTCCAGCTTCAGAGAGCAACGCAAAAAGTATAAAACTTTGTCTTCTAACTCTTTGCATCACTGACTGCTATTGTAGAACGTTGCACGGAAGTTGCATAAAGCGACTCTCCCGCTCGGCGCGTGGAACTCTCACCGGGGCCTTGCTACGCCCTCAGGTCCATATGACGCCGTCGTCATTGGTGGAGGTAAGTTGCAGCAATTGAAAATTAATTGAAACTGATGAGTATCAAATTCACAGGTCCTGGTGGATATGTTGCTGCAATCAAGGCTGCTCAACTCGGATTGAAGGTATTGTTCGGAACACGGAACACGGATAAGCACTGACGACTACCCAGACTGCATGTATAGAGAAGCGTGGTAGCCTTGGAGGAACCTGTCTCAACGTTGGTTGCATACCTTCAAAAGCCATGCTGAACAACTCCCATATCTACCATCAAACGCAACATGACCTCCAAAAGCGTGGTATTGATGGTGCGCACAGTTTTGTGCACACGTTCTTGACTCATTTGACGGTGAAATAAGTTACTGGTGTTTCCCTCAACCTACCCCAGATGCTGCAGGCCAAGGAGCAATCCGTCGTCGGCCTTACCAAGGGTATTGAGATGCTCTTCAAGCAAAATAAAGTCGACTACATTAAGGGCAGTGCATCATTTGTATCTGCGACGCGTATCGCGGTCCAGCTCAATGATGGTGGGTCGACCGAGGTGGAGGCGAAGAACGTAATCATTGCCACTGGCTCTGAGGTTGCACCCTTCCCAGGCGGTGCTATTGAGATTGACGAGAAGCAAATCGTCAGCTCGACTGGTGCTCTTGAATTGCAGAAGGTACCTAAGAAGATGGTCGTCATCGGTGGTGGTATTATTGGCCTTGAGATGGGCAGCGTATGGAGTCGCTTGGGCGCAGAGGTGACAGTCGTCGAGTTCTTGGGCGCAATTGGAGGTGCCGGTATTGATGAGGAGGTTGCGTGAGTTTACGTCAAATTAGAATGTGACTCTCAAGCTAACGCTCCTCAAAGCAAACAATTCCAGAAAATTCTCACCAAGCAGGGTATCAAGTTCAAACTCAACACTAAAGTCCTTTCTGCGGACAAGCAAGGTGGGGATGTCATCATTCAAACTGAGTCTGCGAAGGGCGACAAGCAGGAGACGGTGGGTGACGATTCGTGGGCTAGTCTATTTGTTACTAAACGGTTTTCTACAGCTCGAAGCAGATGTCGTCCTTGTTGCTGTTGGCCGTCGTCCGTACACCGAGGGTCTCAACCTTGAGGCTATCGGTGTCGAGAAAGACAGCAAGGGCCGCATTGTCATCGACGACCAGTTCAACACATCGGTGAAGAACATCAAGTGCATTGGTGACGTGACTTTTGGACCTATGCTTGCTCACAAGGCTGAGGAGGAAGGTGAGCATTATCAGGGTTGTCTCATGGTTTAAAACTGACGATAAGGAAGGCATTGCTGCTGTTGAGTATATCAATGCAGGGCACGGTCACGTCAACTACAACGGCATCCCTTCTGTTGTCTACACTCACCCTGAGGTATCATGGGTAGGAAAGACTGAACAGGAACTCAAAGCCGCTGGTGTGAAATACAATGTCGGCAAATTCCCCTTCGCTGCGAACTCACGTGCCAAGACCAATCTCGACAGCGAGGGCTTCGTGAAGTTCCTTAGTGAGAAAGAGACGGATCGTATTCTAGGTGTCCACATCATCGGTAAGCCTAGTGGATGGGGGTTGTGACACTGTGCTGATCACAATGATGGTTTCTTAGGCCCTAATGCTGGCGAGATGATCTCAGAAGCTGTTCTGGCTATGGAATACGGTGCAAGCTCCGAGGATATTGCACGGACAACACACGCTCACGTACGCACTTCCCCTTTTAAATTCTGTGACATACTAATCTTCATCCTCCGACAGCCCACCCTAAGCGAGGCATTCAAGGAAGCGGCAATGGCTGCCTACGGGAAAGCCATTCACTTCTAGATTATGATATCTTTACCCTTGTCGACGTCGTGGTCTGATGATATATGTGAAGCACGCTACCTACTAATGGCATTTGATCATAGAACGAGGGGGATTCGTATTTCATTAAGTAAATGAGTGATCTGGGATACAATTAAATTATGAAATTACAAGCTGTCATCTGTGGGTGCCCGACAGGCAGGAGTCGTTCTCCCGCTGCCAGTGGTTATTGGCTACTAAACGAACCTCAACGAATGATTATACGCCAGCACCCACGTGCTACGGCTGCGTGACCTGCCCATTTCTGATGACATGCAATTCATATTTCGGTGTTGCGATTTGTCTTGGGGTTGGCGGGGTATCATAATATTACAATAATTTTGAAGTCATGAAATGCTAGTATGCGTGACCGTGGCGGTGGACAAAACGCTCCAAAACGTTGTAGGGAACTGGAAGGCCAATTAGGGTATCGTCAAGACTCAAGACTCAAGACTCAAGCTTCAATATTAGTGGGTGGAGACCTCGACATGATGTGTCCGTAGCATTAGCAGTGGCCTTCGACTTTTTGGGTGGTAAAGCTCCGGGTCGTAGGGGACAGAAATAGGCCATCGTGGTGGTAGATATGTCGTCGGGAGTTGGTCGTAGGGGACTTGACGTTGGAGGCATGCAACAATGCGTAGATGTGAGTATGGTTGCAGAGGCTTTGAACAGTTGGGCTGTGGGCTCCAGGTCATAGGGGACAGGGAAGAAGGCGCGTCGCGTTATCGATTGATCGTAGCCTGTCGAAGTAGAGTAGTAGGAGGATGGAGAAGATTGGGTTGACCAGTGGCGCGATTCATAAACAGAAGTTGGAGAGAGAGAGCGCCTGCATAATCCGGTCAATGCGTCCATATGGATACTTATACTACTCCAACAATCTCGCACCAATGTGATTGTGCTCGGCACTCACAGTCCTGCGTCGAGACGACGTACACCGTTTAAGTTGGATCCGAACATAGTGCACCATGGCTGTAACTTAGACTCCTTACATTTGTAGTGTTGTGGAAGGTGGAACATGATATATGACTGGTGTGTCGTCTAGCGAGTCTGTAGTGAAGAATTCCCGCAAGCGCAGAGATATCCATCACACCGTATAATTTTTTACGGTCCAGCTGATTCTGCCGATGGTATATACAAGCTACATACCTACATGTAGCGAAATTTTTGTCCCGGCTAACGTCAGGTAGGGTTGATTCAGTATTTCTCTGCGAGGACTGTTACATAAGAGATAGAAGTCAGATATTTTTTGGGCCAAGGTAGAGAGAAAATGCTTACTGAGCGTGACGAGCGATGTCCAACCAGTGAAAGGGTGGCTGCCATATGATCGATCAGCGCTGACAACAAGTATTTACAGATAGAGCACAAACCTCCTCCGTCCCTCTCCGGTAAGGGGGTCATACTGTTCCCATACATATCCTGTTCTTTGATATTCCTAGGCCAAGATGAGCATCACAGAACAATGGCCGAGACCACTTTCAAAGGGAACCTACCTTGAACACATTATTCACCACATTCCTCCTCAGTTCTTCATAGATCTCCCTGGCCCTCTCCTGGAATGGTCCCTCCTCACGTGCATACGTGTCATGCAACGCTCCAAGCACCATATAATTTATCTGCACCCATATTGGACCTTTCCAGTAGTTCTCCCCCTGCCCAAAGTCGGGATGGCTCTTACTCAGACTGCGGACACCATACTCCGACCAGAGTTGTTCGGGGTCACGCAGCATGTCAAGGATGGACCCAAGGTGTGGGGAGTCTGGTGGGAGCAGCGAGAGCATGAAGGGAAAGAGAGAAACGTAACCCGCATGGCAGATATGGGTCGATTCATCTAGTAAAAAGCCTGATATGTATTAAAACGGCACACAGAAGGGGAAGAGCTCACCGTCCGAGTCGATCCCAACGTCACAGTACATTTCACTTTCCTCGTTCCAATGCAGATCTGTCCCAGTTACAAACAAATCAGCGCCTCTTACAAGAAGAATCGAAAATTTGTCACCATCGATATTGTTTATTATAGCCAACTCAATTTCAGCAAAACTCGCGGCGTCCTCTTCTTCGTCGATGAACTGTGCAAAGTCCTTCATGGTTCGGCTGAAGAAGCCCATCCAGCTGATTAAATCTAAATGAAGCTCCCCTGCATGTGGCGGACCTCTTGGATAATCATCCATTCCGCTCGTCAAGACATGTGCCTCGGAGCGCCCTCGCCAGCGGTATCCTTCCGAGCGTGATCGCGCCCGACGGCCATACTGCTTAATCTGCCCACGCTGCGTCCGGCGGAACCAATCATAGTGCCGCTTCAAGGGCTTGTACATGTCGCGCAGGATGGACTGCACAGCTGCGCGGTCAATGGCCGCGTCGGACTTGGGAATGTCAGCAAGGGGCATTTGTCCACCCATGCCATAGTCCATCCCAAGATCTGCAGCGGAAGGTCCATCATGCGCAGCGTTAAATTGCTTGATAATGGCTGTGATTGCCATTGTCAGAGTTGGTGGGTTTGCGAAAGTAGGCACTTGGGTCTGGAATTGAGCAGGGACTCGGCTGCGCGCCTCCTCGCCGAGGATCTGTTCACGTGCGACCCAGCCATTGTCATCGATGAGCTTAATCCAGTCTTTGAGGATTTCGAGACTACAAGTCGTCAGATAACTAGATATGCAACAATGAGCTGATTTCAAATACCTAAGCTCTGTGTCCCATGCACCTATATGTAGAAGGTGGAATCCCTCATCCCTGTAAAATTTAATCAGTCAACTTGACTTAAACAACTGTTTATTCACCAGTAGAACCCTCTCGGGAAGAAGCTGCGGCTAGGCGTAGCGGTTAACAAAGCACGAGGTTCAGTCAACCGAGCGCCATTCTGTCCATCATCTTCGTTATCGATCTCATCATCTTGGTCCCATTCATATGCGAATCCTTTGTCAACGATGGACGTGCCGTAGAAGTAGCCGATACCACCGAAGAGGTTGGAGGTGATCGCCTTGCTAAAAGACTCCAAACGTGTGACATCATTGGCTGCGTATGATGATGGAATCGGGAAGATCTCCTGAAAGTGATTATCGAAGGACGCTACGATAGCCGCAATGCCCTTATCAATGGTGCTCGCTGTGATATGAATTTAGTTTCAATTGGAACACAAAGTGCTTTGGACCAGACCATCAAACGTCTGGTTCGCACTGGCACTCTCGAAGAAGACATCAAACTGAAACTCTCCCTCGAACGATTTCTGAACAGCAAAAAGATTACTTGCGGTGAGAATATCGTCGGAAAGCTGCAGGATAAATGAAGGATCAGGCGCCTGTTCGACAGCGCGGTATTTCTCAGCAATCGGGCTTGCACGGGTAATGATGTTCTGTATAATGTGATCTAATGTCCTGTACTATCAACGGGATGACACAATCTCCGAGAGAGAAAACACGTGCCTTTCGCGGTCCAAAGTTGCCCCGGTGGCAGGCGCAAGCCCGCAAGGTGAGTTTTCCCTAAACGTTCCTCAAAAGCCTCAGAGTGCGGGCCAGTAGTCACAGCCTCGTTGTCAGGCGCTGCATAGGATGAGGCAACACTCCATATCAAGTAGTAACCAAGCAAACACACCGTCGACCACACGGATAGTGAAATCACCGAGGTCAGGCGTAGTGCCGGAGAATTCCACTGGTCCGACGATTCCCTTGAGATTCTATTAACTCGATTGGCCATGCATGTACTTCGTTAGGACTCACATTCTCGCTCTCATCGGTGACCATATCCATCCCACCTAGTCCTTCCAGGCCGAGATAAAATATAGTGGAAATTCTAGACGGATGCACTGTTTGGGATCATTAGGCTGTGCCTCGATCATGGAACGTCATGATAGAAAGCGCACTGGGGTCAATAGGTGCTCCTTTGATACGTGCAGCCCAACTACCACCATGGGAGCCACCAGGCACCTTCAAAAGCTCCGTGGTAATTTTAACATTGTTCTGGCTGTCCTGTAGTATCTGTACACCACCCTGCCGTGGGTCGAAGTGCGTCCAGGTATAGCTGTCGAGGCCATCACCCTGGTCACATGCGTGGCGGGCCTCTAATGGAGTGTTTAGTTTATTTGCTGCAGTTGCATGCATGTGTAGGTCACATACTGGATATAGACTGATAGTTCTGAGTGCCGAACCACACCAGACCCGTCATAAGGGATTGGGGTAATCTTGGCCGAAGACCGAAGTATAAGTTGGGTCTGTAAGCTCCCCATAGTAGGTTTTCTGTGTTGTTAACAGAATTTGAATGCACCAATGGCAGCAGCGTCAAGAGCAGCCATAAAACCCGCATTGCGACGAAACTGTCACTGAGCAACTTGAACTACTTACAGTACATAACTTGTCATTAAACGTGGACGTCACGTGCTAAGAAATTACGTGAGCACCCCCGGGGGCGTGCCGATTCCCGAACTAACCCGAATGGGTAAGCATGTTTACCTTCAAGTTGCAGAGCCAGTTATTCCGACGGTACTTCCTGCACTGTCTGAGTTGCGTTGCCATCGGCAGCGCCGCCGCAGCAGCACTCACTAGTTGTATCCTGTATTGTGCTCCATTCGATTGTCAGCTGCCTGCGGTTGTAACTGGATTTCACGCTGTGACCTACATTGTTCATTAAAGGTGAATCCTTCCTTTCATTTCTCATACAAGTCTACTTACCCGCTTGAATGATCATCCATTTAGGCTGCTGCGCTTGAGCCAAATATTACTAGCTAGCATACTAGGGACCTGAATGCGACGTGATACTGCTGTCTGATTTGAGACAATAAGGCTCCAATTTCATTCGTCCTTTGCCACTGCCACCAGGGCACATGCTTGCGCGTGTGTACAGTACACACGATCAAACAAGGTTACAGGTTTCCCCTATATATATACTATCTGACCTGGTCAAAAGACCTTAATTATATCCTAACAACCTCAGACAACACACGCAGATGAACGGCAGAACCGAAGATGACGAAACCGTCGTTGGCGGCCCTTCCTCCGCTGTTGACCGCAAGGGCCTCAAGAAAGACCACATCGACAATGATAGTTCTTACACCAATGCCAAAAAAGGGGTGTCTTTGCACGATTTCTCCAAAACCGCGGACTATGCGCTGGAAGAACGTCCGTTCTTCGTACCCATTGGTAAGGATGGCGTAATCATTGCACTGGACAAAATCGACAGGCAACTTCGGAACGTGAGTACCGCAATTTGCACATCATTCTACATAGTATTCACCACGTCAACATTCAGTCTGGGCGGACGGGTCTCTTGTCAAACAAGGTGAACTTGAACCTCTCAGCGTAATGTCCTCTTGAAAAGGCGGCTTACATCATAATGCTAGAACCCTGTGTCGTGGATCGGTAAAGAAGTTGCTCCAGGTTTCCTTGGTTTGATCAAACACGGTGGTCTCCCCAAGATATTGACAAAGCCTGGTCGATACCCTGGATTCCCCCTCCGTAATTGGTGGGCACGCAAATGGTGTGGTACTCAAGGACGTGCGTGCGCCGATATTCTACAGGATATCATACTGAAAGACGACATTAGTTTCGGACACCGCGATTCAGTTTCAGGGTTTAACAGTCGTTCAGGTGTCCCAGAACCAAGCAGCCGTCGTCTCCGATCCTCAAAATCGCATCTTCGTGGTTAAAAACTCAGGATTCGTTGCGTATGCCATTAATGGAACATATGATGTTCTGGCTATCGTCGACCAGACACATTTGTCTACTACGATCAAGGACCCAGTAACAGGCGCTACTCTCGGCTCGTACGTATCTCTTTATTCCATCTTGTTCATGATGCTCATATAAATTTTGATCAGGATGGCCGAGATTAAGATGCGAAGTCGCGTCGATTCAGGCAAATCACAGGAATACGTTGTCGCATTATTGTTCGTTTACTTCCTATTCCAATTTTCTTGTTCCGATCGTTTATGGTGCACAGCTTGAACATCCCGGCAAGTAACTGTGCCATTCTCCAGCGTGGAGACGATTTGGAGTTACTCCCTGCTGGACAACACTATATAACGAATCCCAACGTCACACTGCGTGGTTTGTTTACGCTCGGCGAGAATCAGCTCGAAATGCCTACAAAGGATATGTCAGTTGTTCGCTCACTCACTGATATCTTGTCTCACATTGTTGGCTTCCAGTTTCACCAGAGACCAAGTGCCTGTCGGCTTAAGGATCTATTTGAAATGGTGAGCAGCGAGAATGAGGCATCTGATGTTTAGTTATTCATATAATTGCCAGGCAGTTGATGGAACCCTTGAAGGTCTACCTTTCGATAAATTGGATTTCTTTAGTGATTGCTCATTTTGTCGGCAGCTCACCACCCATGGCTATAATACACCTTATGATGCGCTCCGTGACAAAACCCAGTCTATTCTCACACAGATTGTCGCTCATCGTATGTCCATCAATAATTTTTGTGTGACGAGTTGACTCAACCACTGCAGTTGACTACAGCTCCATGGTAAAGCAGCGCTCTCTTGGACCTGATAATCTTGATGATGGTTCGGACCCTTCATCTGCGTTCCTTGACGCTCTTCGTACGCGGGCCATGGATGAGATGCATGAGGCCGCACTCGAGTATGGTATCATTTTGAAGGATCTTGGTAAGCGTGGGGCGTTTTGATACAAGTGGCATCTGAAGCAGACCATACTCTATAGCCGTGATTGACCGACAATTCAAGGGAGAAATTGCGTCAACTATGGACAAGCTTACAACAAGGGCGTTACAGGCGCAGGTCGAGGCTGCGGTAAGTTTCATCCTCTATAATATCATTCCCTTCATTTACATGCTGCAGAATGTCGACCGAGAAAACTCGAATAAAGTTAAACAGGAGGAAGGAGCTCTGGCTGTTGCTCGCATCAAAGCACAAACTCGTAATGTCAGTACCGACCTAACCTTCAAGCTGTTCATCACAAACATATTTTCAATAGACCCAAGCCGATTCCGAGGCATATAGTGTGATTGCCGCTGCCAAAGCCCAGGCTGAGCGCACAAAGATTGAGGCTCTTGCAGAAGCAGAAGCTACCCGCCTCACCGCTGAGGCTGACGCAAAAGCGATCCGTATCAAGGCGGATGCTGATGCCCAGGTCACGGACCAATTCGCACGCGATATGGAGATACGTAGAGTGGAAGTCACGCGTGTTCAAGCATTTGGTGACAAGACTGTCTTCGTGCCCATGGACGGGACTGGGGTGCAGATGGGCAATGCAATGGCAGTGGGTATGGCTGCCGGAATGGGCAGTGGCATTGGGCCTTAATTGTGACATTGCTTCGAGGGTTTTTTTTTGGTCTCAAGGACTCTGTTGGCTATTTTCAATGCTACTATGCTTTAGCTCCGTATTTCTGAGGTTCACTGCTGTGTTCTTATGCAATGTGTTTGTCAGCTGTTTGCCCGAGTCACCACAGGTCCACAGCTGAGTCACAGGACTGTCACGCGTCACATCCGCGAGGAGGCTTTGAATGTGGCACAGCGAGCTGTCCTCATTTCATCCTGAACGCTGACCACCACCCACGACAAACTCCTGCTTTTATTCCAGAAGTTAGCCCTTGCCCCTTACTGAACTTGATCGTCGCTTGTAACGTTCGTCATGAGGTCCAAATTCAAGGACGAGCACCCGTTTGGTTCGTATTATCATTGCCGCGCAGTCGTCATATAGTCATTAGTTACTAACACGTTTTCAGAGAAGCGCAAGCAAGAGGCTGAACGCATCAGGCAGAAGTATCCTGACCGTATTCCTGTTCGTTTCTCCCTCTTATGTGCCACGTTTCTTGTCCCTGACGGGAGTGGCATCGACTCTAGGTAATTTGCGAGAAGGCCGACCGGACAGATATTCCTACCATCGACAAGAAGAAGTATCTGGTACCTTCAGTGCGCATCACACTGCTTATTACAGGTGGCGATGGATAGCTGATCGGTGATGTTATACCTTCGCTCGTCACACAGGATCTGACAGTTGGGCAATTCGTCTACGTCATCCGGAAGCGTATCAAGCTTGCACCAGAGAAGGCCATCTTCATCTTCGTAGACGAGGTTCTTCCACCGACGGCAGCTCTTATGAGCGCTATTTACGAGGAGCATAAGTGAGCGCATCCCAGATTGCTATCAAGTCGGATCTCACCATTTTCTAGGGATGAGGATAATTTCCTTTATGTCAGTTATTCGGGTGAGAACACGTTTGGGCAGGAGGGTTGGATTGAACTATAAGCGCGCTGTCGACGGTACATGTTCACTCGCGGTTGGTATTCCTGGAAAGCCTTAGATCATCTTGGGCAGCAAGCGTCTGATCTCGTCTTCAAACCTTCATCATTGTCTCCATCTCCATACCCTTTTCCTACATCCGCTTTGCTCGCCGTCTGTACTCTAGTTATTACTTCTGGCTCGGTTGCCTTCGGTGTCTCAAATCGAATTGATTGCACTTGTATATGGATAATTATCTTTCATTCTAGCATATCACATAAGCTGTTGAAGGTGCTCTTCAGGAAAGCTTCAGCATGATTAGGTTGGCCTTAGTGAGATCATTAGTTGTAAGTAGGTTGTCTCCCTTTGAAGCCGGCGAACATGAGGTCAATTATTGTTTACTATTCCCGAACCCTGAGTGCAAGTCCTATTTTTGTACAGTGACCTTCTAGACGTCGGAGCACTGCACAGGTCAGTGCTAACTTGAACCGTCACTGATAGACCGCGGACAACCAGAAATTTACTGGTGGTCGTACATTCAAAATACGCATAGCTGTGCATTCAATGCTGCCACGCGCAAAATGCATTTCGCTTACGACCCGAAAACCCTGCAGGAGTTAGGCATGCATGGGTGACTCTGAATCAAGCCTGGCTATTGGAGAGCCTTCAAACTTATCGCAGATTTGGGTTCGGAATCAACCCTCGTACACACGGTGACCCATAACCTATTCAAGTGCTAGTGCTTGGGTGCAGCACAACAAAACGTACATTCAGGTATTGAATTCAACAGCTTCGTCAGACACCTCCACGCTCGGCGAATAGTGAATATTGAAGCTATTCGGCGTCACACGTTTAATGGTCAGTAGTAATACAGGAATGGTCGATCATGGTATATCATAGCTAACCATCTGGGCAAATGGCAGCACAAGTGCGACCGGCTGTTGTTGACTTGAACTGGACTCTTGAGTTCCTTCCCATGTGTGCGAGGAGTGTCGGATTGGGCGCATTTGATATGTCGATATCCAAGATGCATCGGCCTCTTCATGACGTTTCTGTGTGGTCTAACAAAGCACTCTTTAGAGCTTTGACACGGGTATGTGTTTCACTGTATGTAATCAAACTCATGTGGTCTTCTCCAAGCGTTATCAACCAGGCCTGTAAGGTGGTCCACGCACCACAGGCCGCTTTGTTCGTGGCCCACAGATCTGAAGCAACTTTTATGTTCAATTGGCCACACCTCTGAGAACAATGGTGATATGATATTATCATTGGTTTTGGCCTCTTTTATCCACAAGTCGCTAATCATATCTTGCCACACAACTTAAGGGTCACAGTCGACTGGTGGCGGACTGCACCCAATATAAAACCTCAGCACATGGCTGAGATGCACCATCACACAACGTTTCCCGCAAGCTCGATCTGCTCATTCATCATCACTTTCATTGCATCGCCCCATCTACACCGGTTGTCTGTGACACCATGCCCTCCCCACTCGTTCTTTCCCGTTATCTGTTACTCTGTACGCTCATCATACTCTGTTCTTCTTATACGAGACTTTTGCTGATCTGTTCCATTCAAGTCGCTATCGGTATCTGCAACATCGCATTAATCATTATTCTAGCGCATGGATTTGCTGCCCACACCGCAGGACGTAAGTGCTGTCAACCTAGCTTTAGCCTTCATGCACACCAGTTTGCTTCAGCTTTCGAGGTCCTCGCCACTACGGCAATCAGTATTGCTGTGTTGATCCCCTTCATTGTGTGAGTTCATCATCATGGCCCGCTGTAGATGCGAATAGTTGACGGTTCGATCAGTTTTTTATACAGGACGAAATGCAGGAGGACAGCAGAGTCTAGTAGCTACACTAGCAATCTCGTTACATTTGGCGCTTTGTGGCTTTCAGAATCCAGTGCGTGACCTGAGGGTGCTGCTCGTACCTGCCATTCTGACATATCATCAGCATCTTGCATCGTCCTGACATTCCGTGCACGTCAGAATTACGCGACAGCCCTTTGCTACGACTTCTATAAATCTGGTGGCTGTATAATGGCGAATGCCCTCCTCGCTGTTTCCTATATGTCCGTCATCTTTGGTATGTTCGCCGAATCATGTTATTCCATGCCAGACGCTCACTTTGACCTAGCTATCGTTGGTTTCGTAATCGCATACATCGATATACACCCCGGCGCTGCTAGGGTCTCGCCTCGGTATCCGATTACCAAAGCGCCAAGTTCACATTTTGCTGCCTTGCAACACCCGCTAGACCCAGAGACGGGGTGGACCGACATCCCTCTCAAGTAGGCGGGCATGCGTTGGTTTTGTAGTTGTACTCCCACTAATGGGGACAGCTAAATTTGTTCGATTATGGTGGAATATTATAAATTGCATATACATATGGTACAATGTCGCATTGGTTAATGAAGATACAGCATATGGATAGACGGTCTGTTGTCCAAGCGACATTAGGTACCGCCAGGGCTCAGTTTGGGCTCAGTCAAAATTGTTTCTTCAAATGCACACTCCGGTAACGCGTTCCGCTCCCAGAAAGCGTCCCATTCGTCATCCCCTGGCTCATTGTCTGGAGTAGAAGATCTACTGTCAACAGCCGTGCTATCCACAACATGACCGATGTCCAGTGGCGCTACTTGAGCGTTTTGCATTTGAGTGAGGTCACCATGAAGTAACATCGAAACATGAGCGCTCCCTACAGGCGCAGCTGTGCTCACCGCTGGTCCAACAGCAAGCAAAACAGCAGAGCCAGGGATAACTGAAATGCCTTCCGCAGTAACAATGTAGTCACAAGAGGCAGGATCGCACACCGAGCTGAACACCACGGTTAGCCGCCTAATGAGTAGGGGTTGTTCATCGCCAACTGAATTGTTCGACGATGTCGCTGAGATTGACTTCTGGATTTTCCTCGGGCGCTCGCTCTCTTCAAGATACCGTCGGCGACCTGTTCGCGAGAGAAATATTCTGGCATTAAGCTGATTCGACCAAACTAAACCGAGCGTTGCTTCTTTCTTGCCCTCCCCTAGGACACTGTCTGTCCGACCAAACCACCGGAACTGATCCTTGTAGCCGACCTGTCCACTGTTCAAAGGAGCAATGTCCCTGTCGATGGTATCGCTGACCTCATTCAGGACCAGGATCGCTATTTGGTGCTTGCTGGCGAGTGAATGCAAGAGCGTCCCTATTTCAGACAGTCTGCGGGACCGTTCAACTAGGAACTGTGTGGTTGTTCTCTTGGAAGTATGGAAGAGTTCCGCGATAGCGTCGATGACAATCAGTTTGAGAGGTTTTGATGATGAGTTTTGGTCATTTGCGAATATATATTGCGGTAAAGATTTAGATAGGACAAAAATGAGTTTGTCGATGGTGGGAACGGATGCGTGTTGTATATTTGCGAAAGAACACAGTGAAGGCGACAAGAGCGGATGGGTATTGAGTATTTGTTCCATTCGCGTGGTTTGCAGTTGCGATGCGACCGTCAGATAAAAAGCAGAACCTAGAACACCTCCTAACCTAGAAGGGAGCTGAACAAGCAGCGAGAGTTGAAGGGCGAACTGTGTCTTGCCCGCAGCACTGAAAGCATCTCAGCGACATGTGCTAATAGGCGTTCCAATGTATTCACCTTTCACCCACAATTTCCCAAAGCATTCCCGTTCTGATTCCACCACCCAGCATACTATCTAAATCAGCATCCCCAGTTGTGAACTTCTCTTCGCCTTCTAGCGGCCAGTCTTTGATTTTATTGATGGGGGATACACATTCTCGACATGCAGCCTGAAGAATTCTGGTGACCTCAAGTGGGGGGATGCGCGCGGTGCGCGAGATGTCACTCGGCGTACTGAGTAAGAGGTCTGATAAAAAATTGTACCCTCCTACCAGGTTTGAATTTATTATGTGTAGCCAACGTATGTGTAATGATAATTGAAGACGCACCCTTTTCAAGATAAGACTTCTGGTGAGAGGTCAGGCTGGATAACGAGGATAATGAGACGGGGGTCCATGGTTCGGTGCACAGATCATATCATTGTCAACATATGAGTGACGTCTTTTTGAGGTCGCAAGCAGTAGTACTATCAGTTATGGATGGTTTCAAACTCAGATCAGCTGCTATTCTTGCTTGCCGCGACACGTCCACATTGTCTAACATCATCTGCATACCACGCAACCATGCCGTCTGCGACCACGACTGAAGCGGTTCCGATTGAGACCGCTCATGAAGACATGATTGTATGTAACAACATTAATATTGCCACCTTGAATGCGTCCTCAAAATTCAACCCTAGCATGACGCGCAGCTCGATTACTACGGCAAGCGTTTAGCGACATGTTCTTCAGATAGAACCGTAAAGGTCTTTGACGTTATTGGCGGGGAACCGTTGAAATCCGCTGGGCATACTCTGAAGGGGTTTGTGTTTTGATATACGTGTTGAACAAAGTTTCATAATTCTCCATCCTTTCTGACAGGCACACGGGTCCAGTGTGGCAGGTTGCCTGGGCACATCCGAAATTTGGACATATACTTGCTTCTTGCTCATACGATGGCAAGGTATTGATATGGGGAGAACGGTCTCAAGGCACGGCCGACGGCGGGTGGACAAGGGTGAAGGAGCACACGTTACACACTGCTTCAGTAAACTCCGTATCGTGGGCTCCTCATGAGCTTGGCGCAATTTTGGCTTGCGCGTCGTCAGATGGAAAGCTTTCTGTACTCACCTTCAAAGGCATGCACTCTTTTGTTCACATTCAACATCTCTGACAAACATCCGCGTAACAGATGACGGTCAGTGGGGTGCTGACATCTTCAACGGCCATGCCATCGGCTGCAACTCTGTTTCTTGGGCGCCCGCAACACAGCCTGGATCGCTCATTCACCCGCAACAACCTGGTATACAGCCTTCCGCGCCCTTCAAACGTTTTGCCAGTGCGGGTTGTGACAATCTCGTCAAGATCTGGGGCTACCGTGAAGACACCCAGTCGTGGGTGGAGGAAGAGACACTTGACGGACACACAGACTGGGTGCGTGATGTTGCGTGGGCGCCCAACATCGGTCTGCCAAGGAGTTATATTGCAACAGCATCCCAGGTTCGTGTACAAATGGACTTGTCCTGAATGTTGTCTGAAAATACTTTTGTTTCAAGGATAAGACTGTATTGATCTGGACAAAAGACTCGGTAGCTTCTCCATGGGTGAAGACTGCCCTTGACCCATCGACTGCCTCTGGAGCACCTAGTGCAGCAGCTGCAGGCAAGTTTCCTGATGTTGTATGGCGCGTATCATGGAGTCTCGCTGGAAACATTCTCGCTGTTAGCTGTGGCGACGGGAAAGTCACATTGTGGAAGGAGAATCTGCGAGGCGTATGGGAGTGTGTTAGTGACATGTCGTCCTAGGGATGTGTGGTTGGATCAGATGCTACTTAGAAATGCACAGGTTGGCTCGCTCATCTGATGGTGCATAAATCATACACCACGCATTGATTCTCATTACTCATCAAGCAGTTCAATGTTGCACGTGTCGCCGACACGCGGTGCCGTTGGTGTCCGCATCCCAAGCACAGTGAGCAAGTGCCATTTATTCTTCTCTCTTCTGATGTACCTTCGATTCCGGACGAGACTCTCATAAGGCCTAAGACGCTATGACTTCTGCCTCGATGCAGAGATCACAGGGAATCGCACACAATTACATTCCAGGTCTTCCAAGCACCACACCTGATCAAGAGTTTGAATATTATGAGATCGACGCAACCGTAGTCGCATGTTTTCTGGACGGACGGATAATCTCAGAGTCGAAAGACCAGATATCTCGTCTGTGGGACTTGAAGTTGTAGATCGACGAACAGTTGCAATCTTCCAGCACTCGATGCACTACATCACTTTCTCTATGGACAACACGCACATCTAAGATGGAAATGACGATATGATCTCGAAGTGGGCAGTACCCAAAGACATTAATTCAAAGGCAGGTTTCCATCCTTGACTTGTATAATCCCATTCGAGCAGGATTCATGCAGATCCCGGCCATCACAGCAGCCCGTAATGCATGCATAATTGGTGACTTGAGGATGTACTCACGTAAGAGACCCACACCGACGCCAACAACTATAATTCCTACTTATGTCAATCACTCATTTTTCATGGCGCGAAAATATGATTGGCACCACGCGCTTGATGATGCAATCAAGGTAAGACATGATTGACCGATCGGGGCCCCCTTATGAAAGGCTTTCTTGATGGTAAGATAGTCCATCAGCATTCAACCCTCCTTGACAGGCTATATCTCCAAGGGCATTGCCTTGGATGGAGCGCGTCACGACGAAGCTCCACTAGTCATTTCACTGCCACTGTCAACTCTCGCGCTTTCTCGCCTCGATTCAAGTTATTCATATAATATTGTGGTGGTACGTTCACATAACACATATCTAAAAATGTGTTTCATAACTGAGTGATGACTAGCTCTTCATGTGGGACTGCACCCCGGAAACGGTGTCAGGCTTTCTTTTCGGCAGGTAAACTCGAAGAAGCCCTTGGATTGGACAAATACATGATGGACATACCGATAAAACTGCGAAGGCCAGCTGCCTTGATTGGTCCACTGGCAAGTTTTTAGTGATGTCACCCCAAGCTATAATACTCACCCATTTCACTGAGCACTCAGCGTTCGTTCGAGCAAGAATCCAACGAACTCGCTATGAACGATGACCATGCTCTTGGCGCATGTACTCCCTTCATAGTCCCTTTCGCTACTTACCATTACGCATGGCTATGATATGCAGCTCCTCCACCGGCACTACCCACCATCCCATCCTCTGCCACCATTCCTGAACCACCTTGAAAACCCGCCTACGATATTGCCAGAGTCGGTGTAAGGAGGATCGGATGACCTTGTTCTGATTCCATTGATCGCCCTTGCGTCGCATGTTCAGTACATTTGCATTGAACGTTTGATATGCTCTCAATGCGAGCTCGAGTGCGCACTGCGCAGATAAGTGCTGCGCTGTCGGACGGCAACAGCGATAGAATACCCTTCAAGTTGGAGAGACTGCCACTTTTACTACCGCTGTACCTCTGCAGCAACCATGATGATGATGACCATATCTGCGTTGTTATATATGGATAAAATTTCTGGTTTGCTCAGCAGGGAGCAGGAAGGTTGCGTGATCTGTAGCTACAATTAGTCGGCATGCCAATTTGAAGAAAACTTGCAAGCAAGAAGAAGGAACGAATATATGGTCTGCCTGGGACTCCGGGAGGTCTGAAATTCTGAACGAACTCACATGAGCTATTCTGAGCCTAAGTATCTGAAACTGCGGAAGTTCGGAAGTATCCGACGTCAAGATCCCCTGCAGCTGAAAGTGATCCTGGCACACTCAAGCTTCAAGGACCAAGGCGGTCCTGGGCTTTCTCAATCTTTAACTTTGCATCTTGTGTATAACGTGCCAACGGTTTCTGTACCGCAATGTTCGCCAAACTTCCACAGACGTTAACGGCACCTTTTGGGTTATTAACTGACGAGGCGAAGCTGGCGTTTCGCAGTCGCCCCCAGGGAATATCTAAGCTGTATACAACGAGGGTGAGTTTGTGATACCCGCTTCCATCTATACATTGACTACATTGACACATTGACAATTGCAGCACATAACCGAAACTGACAGCTATTGGGACCAGGTACGTGATACCTAGTCTGTTGTCCAATTGTTCAATTGAATGATATATCGTAGTACTTCACCCTCTTTGACACGCCATCTGATGTCTCCTCCCTCATATCAACTCACGACAGTACGTCCCAACATTTTGCTGCTAGTGCGGGCAGCTAATGAGACCCCCTAGTTCGTAGAGCACTCCTAGACTCGCCTGAAAATGTAGCGACCCTCATCAGAGTTGTGACCTCTCGTCTATTCAACCTTGTATCCGATCACACATTCCCATCCGCACCACCAGCATCTGTGGCATCGTATGCCACTTCCTTCATCAAGACCTCGAACACAGAGCGCAACGCAACCAAGGAGGTCCTTAATAGTCTGCGAGTCCTGCAAAGGGTGCTGCCTGTTATGTTTGAGGTGGAGGGAGAGTCCAACACATTCGAGCTCGAGGTACTATGGAAGAAGCTTGAAGTTGACGACGAAAATGTGCCCACAGCTACAGAGCAGACACCACAGTTCGTCATCGAAGATGACGAGGACGGGAGTGAGAGTGGTCATGGCTCTAACACCCCATCGCAGACTGCACAACCGAAACGGACGAAAACTCTACCTTCGCTAGGAGAAAAGTTGTTTACTTGCGTCAATGATCTTCTATTTTGTTGCGGTTTTAGTCTCCCGACGAAGATACAAGTGAATCATTACAAGATCAATTATGTTATATGGTATGTATCGTTAGTCAAAATCATTGCCCGACTTACACAATTATCCCAGGGAGAAGGGTGTGGGGTCGACGACTGACTCTGGACCAAATCATGCATACGACTCCAATAAAACTGAGGTTTTACGGCTTCTCCTTGTCCTTTTATCACGTCAGATATACATCCCGCCTGCCGCTCTCTTCACACACCCGTCATTTTACACTCTGCATGTAGTTCGAAAAACGCCACGACGCGACGTCTTGACATTACTTTGCTCCTTGCTAAACACCGTGATAAACTCTGCCACGACCAACAACGTGACTATTGCCAGTGTAGCCGGCAAGGTCCCTTACAATCACCTAGTTTTCAAGGGCGAGGATTCCAGGACGGCACTTGTGGGCATGTGCCTGCAAGTTTTGTGCGTTTTGTTGGATTTCCAGAGTGGCCCGGCCAGAGACATCATTTCAGAGTCCGGAGACGCCACCTCATCATCCCCGACGGCACAAACAAATGCCTTCCGCTATTTTTTGGCGAAATTGGTAGGTTTGTCTTCTTCATTGGAGAATACTATTGCTTATAGTGTACAGCATCGCACGCAGGATTTTGCTTTTATCTTGAACGGCATCATTGGCATACTAGAACATCAGCTAGCTATATCGAACAATCTACTCCCTGGATCCAGGAAGTCGGTTCCTTATGTGCCTGAGACTAGTACGCATGTCTTTTATTTTCGCCTCACTCTTCTGATCTCGTGCAGTCATTTTGTTCTGGAAGATCATTGAGCTCAACAAGGTAAGTAGATCGTCTATCCAGCAGTGCCGATCAGACGTCTGATTCTTTTTCCAAGAAATTCCGCGCTTACCTGCTAGACTCCGATAAAGCAGTTGATGTCCTTGCGTATCTTCTATGCTATTCACTCGAGATCAAAGACAAGCCGCGTACGTCTACTCTAGTCATCTCTTGAGCGGGTATATGTATATGTTTAAATGGATTTCTAGAGCAACATGGCCTTTGCAGAGCGCTCTCATACATCATTCAGACGCTATCGGCTGAGTCCGCATTCGGCAACAAACTCTCGTCACCAATAAATATCCAGATACCGACAAAATGGGTGCCTCATGGGACATCTCATGGGACCGCTGCGGATTTCATGATCACTGTGAGCGAACAATTCACATTCACATATTTGGAAATTAACCCTTGGTAGTCAATATACTCAATCGTTGCAACTACTTCAGGCTCCCTCAATTCCATATACCCGGCACTTATCATCGCGCTCGCGAATGCGGCTCCATTTTTCAAAAACCTGTCTGTTGTTGCATCTAATCGCTTGCTTCAGCTCTTCACTTCGTTTTCGAACCCTTTATTCCTCTTATCCGATGAGAGCCACCCAAGACTTCTATTTCTTATGTGAGTAATTATCATAGTCCAAGGGTAGCCTGTTAACATTTAGAAATCACTCGAACGCCAGCAAGCAAGCACTTACCCTTGCTGCCAAGATGTAACCTAGTTTCATGGAAGTTAGCGACAGACAACATTACATTAGTTTGAACTGAGGCTCACCCATTCTTGCGTGGGTAAAAAACCATTCCTGCCAACGCCAGCCGCAGCCATGCGATCGCCATTAATTGTGTCCGACGATAGCGACCGCCGAGCCTTCATCTTGCCTCTCGCCTTTTCTGAGACCGATGTTATGGTTCTGGTACTTGTTGTTGGGTTATTCTCCAAAGGTGGAGACGTGAGTGGGTGGTTCGTAATGTTGTCTGTCGCTAACTTCCATGAAACTAGGTTACATCTTGGCAGCAAGGGTAAGTGCTTGCTTGCTGGCGTTCGAGTGATTTCTAAATGTTAACAGGCTACCCTTGGACACCGTGATGCTGGTTATATCGGAGCTCTTGCCAAAGATCCAGAATCTGCAGGCTGGCAGGCAGAAGGCCAACTCAGCGGGCGCTATCACTGAATTCTTGCAAAGCGTATCCTTGACTAATGTCCTGCCTCCTGCACCAGCGTTATATTCAAGACGATTTGTGGTATGCTCTCCTCCGCATGAGCTGCGGAAGATACTGACCCAGCAAATAGTGGTCGGATGCATCAATTGTCTGGTTGACGTCGCTCATCTGGGGAGGTGTTTATGTGCACGGAATGTCGCCTCTCGGGATATGGAACTCCACCAATGTGCGACTCTTTTTTGTCAAGCACACGCAACCTCAACAACGGCAAATCACGGACACGATGTCAAGTGTCGTTGGAGGTCTGTTCTCGTCCACCAGACAAAGACCCGAGCGTTCGTCCAATCAGTGATGTTCCATGGTGTCGTGTGCTGTTTTGGGATACTGTTACGACGCCGTGGAAGGTTTTATTTTAAGGACATGATATCAGACGTGTGTTTTCCCGCAGTGTAGATACGAAATTCAAATCATTTTCGCATATGTAGTTTGTGTTGTATGATTTGAAATTCTTTCACCGACTCGGCTTGACCTTGTGGCCTGTTTTCACTGACGAATTTGTGACAGCCATCAAGTGGAAAAAACCAGTGATGCGTTGCTCAGAGCTAGTCCTTTCACTCATTGTCATCACTTAGATTCACGCAAGAATTATGCCAGAAAGACGATAGTATTTTTTCCCGAGTTAATACAAAGAGTGCGTCATCGAAACGGGTGCATTAAAAACCCCAGTGGGGAAAAGCTACCGCCCTCAGCAGTCTTGTGTATGGAAATTACATGGTAAAGAACTATAGGCGTAAGATGAAGACGAAGAAGGACATGAAGGAAGACAATGCCGAAGTTACAGGTATATCAGCATGAACAAGTACCTGAGGGGGACAAGATCCTGAATTGTGGCGCCAGAGACCATTGTGAAAATTGCTGGCTGCATGGCGCGGAGGGTAAGTCCAATCAAGCGGGGTCCAGTCCAGGGAGTCCGGCGCGATCCAGAGGGTGTAGGGGGAAGTGGCGCTTTTCTTTTTTTTTAACCGGGCTCCTCGAACCTCCACCGTATTGCAGCGATGCACGGCTTTGGCACCCAGTGCGCACAGCAGCGCCAAGATTGCTGCTCTTGGAACGCCACTGGGCTCATGCGCGCTCGACGTTCACGAGGGAACCTCGGTGTCGGCGCGCATGAACGTTACGAGGATGGGCATATCGGCCCAGAGCCTCGACGAGTATCTTGACGGACGTTCATAGTATAACGCACAGATATAAGCAAGTAAGAGGAATGCTAAGGCGGATGAGAAGGGTAAATTGGAGGAATGAGGGAGATTTGAACTGGGGCAACGGACTTTATGTACGTTTGTTGGTGGATCAAAGCAAGGTCGGAGGCTGTGGCATGGACGCCACCCTAATAGGTTCAAGCGGACATGCCACAACACGCCCACAGTCCGGAAAAGAAGACTTTTGTTGAGGGCTGGAGTTACATTCTTGACACCGGAAATCAACAGATCAATTTGAAGAAGAGATAACATCTGGTATGCCCGATTATGTCGAGCAAATGGCCTTCACTCCTTGGCAACGCTGTTGCACCCCACTACAACAAACAAACGTCCAGCATGTGTCCATAAACATTAAAAAGGGAAGTACGCCATCCGATAAGGTGTTCCTCCGAGGCTGTTGGATAAATGATCATAGATCTCCTCGACGCGCTTTGAGAAGGAAACAGTAAGCGAAGCCAAAAAGAGCTGAAGTGGGCCCCGGAACAAAGCCATTTGAGTTTTTTTCTGTTCTGTAATACTTGACGACGGCTATCAGCAACAAATGGGGATGAAGAAATGGACGACCTTTGACAGCCTTTCACAATCACAGCTGATGATGGGTTATTACCCACGTGACCCTGAATACTACACCTGCCAAATCAATCCAGATTCCAGAATCAGAAGCAAATCAGATGATGGCTTCAACCAGATGTGGCGCAGAATTAAATCGACAACTCGTCGTGCAGATTTCAGGGGAGAGCCATGCAATCCTCAGGCTAAATCGCGATTTCTTGTTGACTGGACAAAACCAATAAAAATTTGTCAGCCTTCTGCCATGGCATCTCCATCCGCTCCTGAAGGCTGCTGCTCTCCGCCACCCGCACTCAATCCCTCGACCCCAAAATCCACGCGCCGCACTTCCAAAGTCCGCAGATTGACAAGCGCTAGAACGCCCGTCTGGGAGAAACTAGGCACTAGAACAATTCTGCAACACCTTCCTTCCCTGCCCGATCCATCTTCTGAACCCACCAGCTCTGTGCCGAATTGGGGCATCCCGCCAACAAGGTAAATATCCGGAGTTTCCCGCAAAACAAAAGGGTCTCGGTCTCGATAAGGGTGACACCACAGTGTATCTGGAGCGGTTGGGGCAACGTGGCGCCATTTTAGGGTTGAGGCAGCGATTGACACGAGGCTCGAGGGTGGGGTTGGAAGGTATTTGTACATGTCAAGAACAGGCTGTCCAGAGGTCACCAATAGGCTGCGAGTGACAGGCAAATGATTTGATTGAGAAGATGAAGTTCGCCCTTCGTTCGGTATCAATGACTCGGTTTCATCACATCTTACACGAAGCCAGGCCGGATTTGATTCGCAGTGGAATGACTCGAATGATGCGGCCTTTCCGAACATCGCACGGGGAAAAGGCTGCTGTGGAAGAATGATTCCAGAAGGATCATCCCCTCCGGGCAATATATGAACGGGAAGTGCGGAAGTTAAATCATGAAGATGAGCGGAAAGCGCAAGGTTCGGGTGAGGAGAAAAATTTGCCTGCGCTGATGCGCCGAACTTTCTCTGGTATACACTTGGTCATGGGCAATCACAAAGAGAAAATCATGGCTTACTGGTCTCTTCTCGTCTTCGCCCTCCTCACTGTATTCTGCAAGCGATAGTGAATTTCCGGCGATAATAAGTCGCGTTATTTGTGATGCTAATTGTTGGTCCTCAGGGCCACCTGCTTCTCCTGTGAGGTACTCCACGAGCATTTGGATTTGGGCATCTGCAGACGAGGGTGACCCAATGGAAAGCCCCGAAATGACGGCCACATATTCATCTTGTGTGGATGAAGAACTAGGTCATAAAGCGTATTGGGCTCAGCTGTATATGTAAAGGCAACAAACTTACTTCACATCCACATCCATGGCGTCTGATTCAAGTATTTGCTCCTCTGCAAATGATGCAAGTCCCGCAGTGCACATATCTACAACTTCGAAATCTCCAGTGGGGGTTTCCATGCCCAGAGCGGCGATGATGACGCCTGTGACTAGGCGTTCCTCGCTGACACGGTCGCCGACCAATCTAATACGACCTGACTCATCTTCCAACATAACGCTGTCTTCATCGCAGTAGTATTTTTCACGCGGAGGTGGAGGCGGGATAGAATGCTTGACAGAGAACAATTCTGTAAATGACCGGTAGCGTCTACAAGTTACTCACATCTCGACCGATGTCTTCCAGAACATTGGGTTTGAGTGGCATGTCCATGTAGACCGTGCCTATTACCCAGCATAGTTGAGACTTAACAACATCAAGGACACGCGCTACATAGAGCGGTTCATCTAATTATACACGCTGTGAGTGCTCAAAAAAGGGGAAAGGCAGTTGTCACGTACTTGGTAGCCCATCCCACCTAGCTCTTGCCCGCTTCTCCACTGCACTTTTTAGCATTATGAGACGTGTGAAGTATATGTTTGCATATTGGTGCTTGTAAGACTTGTTCTTTGAGTCGATCAAGAAAGACGGTGTCAACTCAGTTGGAGGAACAACGGTGCTTGTCGGTCGAACAAGTGGACATGATGGAGTTGGTCTGTGCAGATAAATGAGAGCTCTAATGACGGTCCATGTCCGAATGTTACCCACATTGAATCAAGGGTTGGCATCTTGACTTTGGCGGGGTCAGACTGTACTTAGGTCGCGGTCCGACGCGTCTATTGAATTTGGTCGTGTTTGCAGTGAGTCTGGACTCTGACCGTCAGTGGTGTCTTGGAGACGATGGTCATGACGTAAATCTATTCCAGTCTCTTGAACTTTGTTCGGCGTCATATGTTCTTCCTATATAACATGGGGGAGTCGCAGATACCAACCATCTCTCTCTTTATCCCTCCAAATGTCTCTCTCAAAGGTCAGTCTTCATTAATGTCCAATTTCCTGGAACACCGTGACTTCCCTTGAACCCCACATAGCACATCAACCCGGATAGACTCATTCGCGAGTCCAAGGTTAGGAGTTCACAATCATACTCTTATCATATTCGGACTGATTGACATAATCGCAGGATAAGACGTCCCACCACCACCATGTGACTGGTACGGATTCTAGTTCCACTTCTCACCCATACGGTGCGCGATACGGAACAACATCTATACCCAAGTACCATCTCCCTACCAAGGGAGCCAGCGCGCAGACCACTTACCAGCTGATCCATGATGAACTGTCTCTTGATGGATCTCCCTGTCTCAAGTCAGTCTCGTGAAGCTTGTATCCAACCTTGTCTTCTTACATTTCTCAAAGCCTTGCGTCCTTTGTACACACCTGGATGCCAGATCCCGCGAACAAGCTAATGATGGAAAACATGTCCAAGAACTTGATAGACCAGGATGAATACCCTATGACGCGTATGTTACAAACAGTGACACAATCTAGTGATTACCACTCATGAAGATCTGCAGAACAAATTCACGGCCGCTGTGTTTCTATTCTTGCAGATCTTTGGCATGCGCCTTCGACACATCAGGCAATTGGGACTGCCACCACTGGCTCATCTGAAGCCATACAGCTGGGTGGTCTTGCCATGAAGCGACGCTGGCAAGAGCGTCGCAAGGCTGAGGGCAAGTCTATCCACGAGCCCGGCCCCAACATCATCATGGGTGCGAATGCGCAGGTCGCTCTCGAAAAGTTCGCACGTTACTTCGAGGTTGAATGCCGCCTCGTACCAATCAGTGTTGAGAGCAAGTATAGGCTCGACCCCAAGAAAGCCATGGAGCTCATCGACGAAAATACTATCGGCGTTTATGTCATCCTCGGCAGTACTTACACTGGTCACTACGAGCCCGTAAAGGAGATGTCTGACCTTCTCGACGAGTACGAACAGAGGACGGGAATCAGCGTTCCCATCCACGGTGAGGTATCTACATGTTCTGTTCCCTTCGTATCCACTGACTCCCTGTTCAGTCGACGGAGCTTCGGGGGCCTTCATCGCACCCTTTGCGCATCCAAAGTTGCTTTGGGACTTCAAGCTTCCGCGGGTTGTCTCTATCAATACATCAGGTCACAAGTTTGGTCTGGCTTACGTAGGTGTCGGTTGGGTTGTATGGCGCTCCAAGGAGTACCTCCCGAAGGACCTCATATTTGAGCTGCATTACCTCGGATCAGTCGAATACTCATTCTCGCTCAACTTCTCCCGTCCTGCCGCACCCATCATTGCTCAATACTTCAACTTTATCCACCTCGGATTTGAGGGGTATCGCGCGGTAGCCAAGGATGACCTCAAGAATGCAAGGCTTTTGAGTCGCGCTCTCGAGAAATCTGGCTGGTATACGGTTCTTAGCGACATACACCGACCTAAAGCCGAGGATATCACTCAGAAGAGCGCCCAGGTGGCTGCTGACTTTGATGAAGAAAACGCGGAGGTTAGCATTCTACCTACCGTTGGGTAGCAGCACTTTCTGACGTTCCGCAGAACTATGAGGATGGTCTTCCAGTTGTGTCATTCCGGTTCTCCGACAGCTTCCAGGAGTCATACCCTGAAATCCAACAGAAGTGGATTCAGACTCTTCTGCGAACCAAAGGGTGGATTGTCCCGAACTACGAACTTGCGCCCGACTTGGAAAAGGTTCAAATTCTTCGGGTCGTTATCAGGGAGAATGTCACTGAAGCGGTCAGCATTCTTGTCCCAAATTTCTAGCTGAACTTTATTGAAGCTTTCATTCTAGCTGGTGGATCGCCTGCTGGAGGACATCGTAAGCAACATTCAAGATTCTAACTAGTTCAAGAGCTAAGATGAATAATTATTATTCAGATCGAGATTACTCAGGACCTCATCAAGCACGACTCCCCGTCAAATGCCCTCAATATGCTTGGAAACCACATCCATAAGCACAGTCCTAGTAAGATGGACGAAAGCTCCGCGTTGAAGTACTCTGGTACGTACTCGAAGCAGTGTTAAGAGCCGGCTGAGGTGAAAGAACGGTGAATACATTCATTATGGCGAGAATTGTACAATAGCTTTTGGCGGAGGTTTGGATGTACGATTGTAGGAATAAGGACATGATTTGGACGTCGTATACGGCTCTGACCGCTTAAGCTTGTGTCTGACAAAAGAACAGTCGAGGCACTTCCAGGAAGTCAGCTCGACGAGAGCCTGTTGGTCTACGAGTTGGACGGTACCCATTGATTGGCTCGATGTTCTACTTGGCCTAAGTAGTTGAGTCGACAGGGCCAATATGAAGTTCAGGCGAACAATTTGGGATCCTCGATCGAAGCCCCTTGTTACTTTCGCAACAGAAAAAACTCATACCTCTGTGCACGTAGTCATCATTCTCAAGAGACCGGCTGCCGCACTGCGCATCATGTGTAGAGATTGCGATAAGATGGCACGCGGAAGGTGCCAGTGCCTGAAGAACGCATGGCCCAAATCGTGAGACGAACCCGTTATCAAAGGTATGATATCGATGAGAGATGACTAGAGGACAGCAAGAAAGCTTTTCCCACGATCAATTACGGTATGCCCGACTACCAAGTACTGTTAGACAGTGTTAGTGACCTATAACGGCGTCGGGGACTCGACTGCTAGGATTGTTTGAACACCCCCCAATACCACCATGCCACCACTTCAAGAGCCATATACATATAGAAGGAAGATTGTTGTTGATTCCACTTCGTGGGAGTCAGGCTCAACTTTTAAAGGTCTTTCAAATACGGCCCTTTCAAGCTTTTGCAATCTAAAATTACCACTGCCAGGTCATAAGATTCACGAGCTGTGCTTCACTTGCATCTGCCCAATGTTTAAGCTCCAAGTGTTAGCATCCGTCACTTGATATTAAGCCAACTCTGCTTATCAGTATAAGTCTGGGCCTCTCATGCATGCAAGGTCACACCGTCTTAGTACATAGCCGCACCTTCTCGTTTCGTCCGTGAGGCACCGTATTTAAGGGATCGATATTAGAGGTTGAATTTCGAATACATCCTCTGCGGGAGTTATGGCAGACTCTCCGAGTCATCCTACGGAGCCATCGAAGGTGCTTGAGCACCACGATGTTCACCAGGAGAAAGACCTGAAGGGCTTCGATGTCTACAGCACAGAGAGTATGGAAGAGGCTCCCTCTCAAGAGTCTGAGCGGGTCATCCGTGGCGCAGAAGACATTACCAACTTGGTAGGTCTAACAACAGGAGTGTGTGCTGTCCGCTTAATGTTGTCTTTGCCATAGATCATATCAGATGAGGATAATCCTGAGCTCCCCGCATTGACCTTCCGTTTCTGGGTCCTCGGTATTGGACTAGCGACTTTTGGTGCGTTGCAACGAAACCTACTCTCGACGCAAATTGACGTTCAATCCGTCGCAGGATCCGTCCTCTCCGAAATTTATTTTTGGAAGCCCCAGAATGCAATGGTTTCGGCGCTATTTCAATTGATCATATCTTACGTCCTAGGCAATGCAGTGAGCTTATCTGCAGTTTGCTTCACTGTGTACGATTTGATGGAGATCGCACGAAGATGCATTATACTATGCCTCATACAGGGATTTGGCGCCATCTCAATCCTGGACCGTTCAACATCAAGGAGCATACGTGCATCACCATTATGGCGTCTACTGCGTCAACGACAGCCAATGCTATTGGTATAATAGCAACACTTGATTTATTTTACGGTGTGACTTTGAATCCTGGAGCGGCAATCTTCCAAACGTTCGCGTCGCAGGTGCTACTAACCACTTGTTCCATCTGACATTGAAATTGACCCATGGTTCAGTTGATCGGATATGGTTTTGCTGGGCTTCTAAGAACCCTCCTCGTATGGCCTACTTACGCACTGTTTCCGAATCAGCTCCCGTCAATTTCTCTTCTGCAATCAATGCATTTTGGCGGTTTACTCAACCGCAAAAAGATGAGGTACTTTTGGATTGGTACTAATTCTTTTCAACTTGAACTTCATGAACACTGAAGAACTCCTCAGTCTTTTGGGCCATCTTTTGTTGGGTCAGTGAAGCAGCATAGCACGATCTCACCCTTACAATTCAATTTACCATCCACAGGAAATCATCCCGACGTGGATTTTCCCCCTTCTAACAGCGTTCTCTGTTATCTGTCTGGCTGATAACGGTCGCTCGGCTCTTGTTCGCAATCTCTTTGGAGCGGGGTCGTCCAACGAAGGTCTAGGTCTGCTGTCATTCAGCTTCGATTGGACCTTGATCACACAAGCGTATCCTTTATATTGGCCTCTGCAGACTCAAGTCTCTTCCTGGATTGGGTTGGGATTTGGTTATGCCCTCATGAGTGCGTCACGTCGCAGCATTACCTTATTAACAGCATTCATCGATTCACTATCAGTTGGATGTTATTATGGAGACGTGTTCCAGGGGTATTCAAGAGGGTTGCCGTTCATGTCAACTGCACTATTCAGCGGTAATGGCTCATCATACGACCAATCCGCGATTCTTGGCCCCAACAATCAACTCGACCCGGCAAAGTATGCTGAAGTTGGACCCCCGTGCGTAATAGACACATCTAATCCTTTTGCACTCAACATACGTTTCAGATTCATGACAACAACCTATGCAGTTTCATTGCTGATGACTTATGCTTCCATGGGATCAGCATTTTCCCACATATTCTTGTGGCACTGGAAACAGCTATGGGAAGCTTTCAAAGGCTTCAACTTCTTAAAGTCAGGACAGGATTTTGACGAGTGAGTTATGCCTTTCCCCTCATTTTTGTATTTTCTTTAACGTCGCAAACAAGTGTTCACTTTCAGCGGATGAAAGTGTACAAAGAGGTTCCACAATGGTGGTACGGTTCTATCTTCATCGTGTCATTGGGCCTAGCGATTGGTATGGCGTATGTTGGCGTCAACACCCTGCCATGGTGGTCTATCTTCGTTTTTACCGTCATCGGTGAGTTACCGACTTCGAGGGGATCGATTTAACCTCATGTTCTCTTGCATAGCATTCGTTGTTGCCGTCATCCTTGGTTTTATATATGCTGTGACAGGGTTCCAGATCCCTACTGGAGGTTTTGTGCAAGTCATTGCTGTCAGTGGCTTTTTTGCGTTGATGGTAGCGATTAACATTGACAGGTCATGTTTAGGCATACGTCCATCCTCATCAACCGGTTCAGAACATGTATGCAAAGTTGTACGGTTACAACACTGGTTATCAGACATTATACATGCTCTCCGATTTGAAACTAGGTGCTATCCTTCATTATGATGATTTGACTCAAGAGTTAATGTTTGCCTTCGAAGGACAATATGCGAAAGTACCACCCAGAGCTACATTCACTGCGCAAGTCAGCGGCACGATTCTTGGTGCCAGTAAGTTTCCCGTGTTGCAGGAGGCTTATCCCGCTGAACGTTTTGGTTGAGTTTTCAACTATGTCCTCTACAAGTCTATCGTAGACGCGCACAGAGTCGATTTAATAAACCGTGCGTCATGTTATACATATACAATCTCTATTCGAACTCAAGCTAGATTGATTATAGCGATCGGAACGCGTATATGGTCTGGGTGGAACTCACAAGAGATCAACTCAGCAGCGATTACATGGGGCGCTCTGAGTGCGGAGCTATACGGCCCAGGTAAAACATACTTTCAGGTGAGTTCCCGACTAAGATGGTAGCAAACGTAGATTCACAACCCCTTTTCAGATTCCTCTAGGACTTCTTTACGGGTTCCTCGCTCCTTTCCTGCTCTACACCATGCATTGCCTATTCCCGAAGTAATCTCCTCTGCAGTGTTGCTTCTAGAACAATCTGATAGGACGAAACAGACAACGGATATGGTCTTACCTCAACATGCCGATTATCTTCACTTATCTTAGTTGGCTGCCGTACTCAGTCAATGGTGTGTTGGCAAATCGTACGATGTTAGCTTTTACTGACAATTACCACAGGGATGTGGTGGCCGGGGCTCTTCATCGGGTTGTATACGCAATGGTGGGTCAGGACCAGGAAGCCAAGATGGTACAATAAATACAATTGTGCGTGATCTGGTCCGAGAAATCATAACGGACCAACTAGGGATAACTAGATCTGACCTCTGCCGCCTTGGACGGAGGTTCGTCCATCATTTACTTCATCCTTAATTTTGCGGTGTTTGGTGAGTTCTCGGTTCGCAAGTTGGCTCAATTGTACTTATGTCATTCAAGGGGCAAGCGGGAATGCCATCAGCTTCCCTACGTGGTGGGGAAATCCGGATCCTAATGTTATGAGTGTCGGTGAGTTCATCATGACTTTTTTGAAACTACGATGGTCATCATGCCAAAATCAGACCACTGCATGGCCAGCAATTTTTCATGACATAGTCACAAGTGATTGATCTCTCTTGTCCTGATGAAGCATGCTCGGTAGAGCTTCCTTGTATGAGGATATTCTACATAGTTAAGAGGTCTTATGCTTGAAATTTCAGTGACAATGCGAGGGAAGAGATATTTCCCGGTCTTTACCAGACGTCAATTCATGATGACATGGAAGGCGTTGCAACCATCGTTTCCCCGCTGCAGGTGGGAGACGCTTAAACGAATCCGGCCAAGCTTCTGTGAGACAATTTTGACGACATCAGAAAACATCGTGCGTATGTCGACTACGTGAGAGGTGCTATGGACGGCTAGAGTTCAATCATCCTCATGAAGTTCCTTCCAAACCTGTTCAGTTTTCAGACGTTGCTCTTTGGCCTGGGTGCGGTTACGAGTCGAACGGTCGACGCGCTTAAGGCAGGGATATTGTCAGCGCTCGGAGGGGCACATTAAAGACAGGCCACTAACCTCTTTTCGAAGGCACTTGTTAAGGCTGTCCTTTTCTTGATTGCAACCACCAGTCAATCGCGCCCAGTTGTTAACATGGCATGCGTCGAGTGCCTGGATGAATTCCCTGCAGACTTTGATGGCTATGTTAGAACAGGAAAGGATACTAGATAGTACCGGGGCCGTGCGCCGCACCTATTCGTTTATCGGACAACTGCGGGTGCATCTGAGAAATGCTGCATGAAAAAACAAGGGCTATTCACCACTGACAGACAGTGGAACACAGGCAGTTATCGAAAACCAGTGTTAACGATACACGCACAGACCAAGATGAGAAGAGAGGGCTCCGGTCAAGCCCCGGTTGTGTGTTTTCCGTAGACAACCGTCGTGTCCGAGAGAGTTAACGCGAGAATCCCCGTGTGAACTGGTTCCATGGTAGTAAGCCTTCGTAAGCAGGTCGCTAACTCAATCTACTTGTCAAAATCAAAATCCTATCTGAGGGCCATATATTAACCCCAAACATTTCTATCCCCTTCTCTTTCAATCCATCAATCATGTCCCAGTTCACCCCGGAGCCAACAGATAACGCCTCCATTGCCACCATCCGCACTCTTGCTGCCGATGTCGTTGGCAAAGCAAACTCTGGCCATCCAGGTGAGCAGGACTAGATCGCCTTCATCCTGTGCAACGATAACGACGATGTTCCTCATTAAGGTGCGCCCATGGGTATGGCACCCGTCTCCCATGTCCTCTTTACAAGGCAAGTGATTTTTAATCTTCCATCTAGTGGTACGATTATTTAATATACCCCAGATTCTTCAACGCAAACCCCAAAAACTCCAAGTGGTTCAACCGTGACCGATTCGTTCTATCTAATGGGTGAGTTTGTCTTCAGGTTTGCATTCGACTGCTCGCTGACGAACATTGTAGACACGCGTATGCACTTGACCCCTGACTGGTGTATTAGTTATCGCTGATTGTTGTGTACTCTAGCTGCGCACTGCAATACATCTTGTTGCATCTCTTAGGCTACAAGCTTTCTATGGATGACCTTAAGGCATTCAGGCAGCTTGATTCTTTGACCCCTGGTCACCCCGAAGCACACCACACTGATGGTATGTCCTACTCCTCATGAACAGCCTATCTTGACGGATCGCTTACGCTACATCAGGTATCGAGGTCACCACCGGTCCCCTTGGTCAGGGATTTGCCAACGGTGTTGGTCTTGCTATGGCTCAGGCGCACTTGGGTGCAGTTTACAACCGTCCCCAGTTCGACCTTATCAACAACTACACGTATGGTTAGTATTTCCCCGGTTCCAAGAATTCAGAATGTTTCATAAATATGTCTCCGCAGTTTTCACTGGAGACGGTTGTTTGATGGAGGGTGTTGCATCCGAAGCTGCTTCGCTTGCTGGCCACTTGCAGCTGGGCAACTTGATTGTCGTGCGTACATTTCACGTGTGACTTCTTTTACACTTATTAATAATCGGGTCCATCCCAGATCTATGATGATAACCGTGAGTTGCATCCTCATTGGCTTGCGGCTCCGTTCCGTGACTTATCCCCATTAAGATATTTCCATTGATGGTGACACCGCTGTCGCATTCACTGAGAATGTCGAGCAGCGCTTCTTGTCATACGGCTGGCAAGTTCTCCATGTCAATGACGGCGACCAGTATGAGATTGTTTCCCATCCCTATCTTTGATGTCTGACTTGCGCTTAGCGATCTCGCTGGCATTAACGGCGCCATCGTCGCTGCTCGTGCCGAAAAGAACAAGCCTACCATCATCTGTCTCAAGACCACGATCGGTTACGGCTCAAAGCAGCAGGGTACCCACGGGGTTCATGGCTCTCGTGCGTATATTTTCATTTAAAGCGCTCGCATGCGAATTATTTTTGCCCCCAGCTCTCAAGCCTGACGACATTCAAGCTCTTAAGAGCAAATTTGGATTCCCTCCTGACCAAAAGTTCTACGTGCCTAAAGAGACTTACGACACTTACCAGGCAGCTGCACTTCGCGGTGCCCGGCTCGAGTCCCAATGGAACAGCCTTTTCGCCGCGTACGCGAAGGCATATCCCAAGGAGCACGCAGAGCTCTCTCGCCGGATTTCTGGGAAACTCCCGGAAGGATGGGAACAGACTCTCCCCGTGTACAAGCCTTCCGATCCTGCTCAGGCATCTCGCAAGCTGTCTGAGCTTGTCCTGACGGCGATCACGCCTGCGCTCCCCGATCTCATGGGTGGCTCTGCTGATCTGACAGGCAGTAACTTGACCAAGGTCAAGGGAACTGTCGACTTCCAGCCACCCAGCACTGGACTCGGAAACTACGCTGGCACGTACATCCGATATGGTGTTCGTGAGCACGGTATGGGTGCGATTGCCAATGGTCTGCATGCTTATGGTGGTATTGTGCCATTCGTGGCTACATTCTTGGTGAATGGTGTTGTTTTATAAGTCAAAGTTTCCCACTGATTTCATCCTAGAACTTCGTTTCATATGCGGCTGGTGCCGTCAGGTTGTCCGCGCTCAGCAAGCATCAGGTTATCTGGGTCGGTGAGTAAACAGAATCCTTCAGAAACTAGGAAACAATGTTCACAATCTGTCAAGCCACGCATGACTCCATCGGTCTTGGAGAAGACGGTCCCACTCACCAGCCGATCGAAACTGCCATCCACTTGCGTGCAATCCCCAACCTGGACTTCTGGCGCCCCGCAGACGGTAACGAAACATCCGCAGCCTACTACGTCGCCCTCAAGAGCACGCAAACGCCATCCGTCTTCTCACTTTCTCGGCAGAACCTGCCGAACCTCGAGGGCTCTACCATCGAGCGTGCAGCACGTGGTGGATACGTGCTCTACGAGGTCGCCAACGAGGACATGACGATTGTCAGCAGCGGCAGCGAGGTTCCGATCGCTCTTGAGGCAGCAAGCTTGCTTAAGGCAGAGGGTATCAACGTCAGACTTGTTAGCTTGCCTTGCTGGTCGGTATTCGACAAGCAGGACGAGCAATACAGGCTCAGTGTCCTCAGGAGCGGTGCTCCCATCCTGTCATTGGAGGCCCTCACGGTAAATTTGAATCATTGAAGAAGTGGCACACTTTGCTGACTTGTCTCGAAATAGACCGCTGGTTGGCAAAAATACAGTCATGAGGTGAGGTTTTGTGATCGCATCAGTTTTGCTAAGTGGCTAATATATTTTGCAGCAATATGGTCTTCCTGCATGGGGTGCTTCAGGACCGTACCTTAAGGTGTATGAGAAGTTTGGCATCACTGGCCCTAGTAAGTTAGCATATAAATATCGGGTGGGATGATACTGACTGTGATTCAGACATTGCCGCCGTTAGCAAGAAGGTCATCGCGTTCTACAAGCAGAGGGGTGGACAAGTCGTGTCTCCTCTCGTCAAGGCTCTGTAGGTTATCGTGTCCTGTATAAAAATTCGCCGGTCCTGCAATTAGGATAGATTACTTATAGAAAGCACAGTGTAACAATGCTGTAATGAAATAGATTGATTTTTGACAAATTGCGGTTCAAACGAAGTCTCTCATGGGCCTACCAAACAGAAGGAATATAATTGTTTATGGTTCAAGCGAACAGTAGTTCCATCGGTCACATTGGATGTGCCCACTGGGGAATGGAACCTCTGGTGAGGGCATCGTCGATATGTGTGAATTAAGGATAGTCGCAATTGCGAGTCTACACGGATGCGAATGTCTATTTGCGTTGAACGGTCATCGTGTCCCAGGTGAATCTCTCCTCCTCTTCCTTGAGAACGCTCTGAATATGAGGCTTGAGGTATCGCTTGTCCTAAAACAGCGTTCAACATACATCCACTTCGCAATGCTGCGAAAGGTTGACGTACATCTTCAGGCTTCGACCACTGTTCTTTGGGTAAAGGTTTGTGGTGAAGATCACAGTTACTTGCAATTTTGAAGCGGTAGGCGCGGTCATAAGTCTCTCGCGGAGTTAGGCGACCGATTGCCTGTAATTCCAGTCCGTGTTAAGAATGCTCACGCAAAACGGGTGGGCAACTCACCCTTTGCACTTGTGGGCTCTCTTCAACCTCTACATAAATAACAGTCAAGCTTGCTGGACAGTCGCAAACTAAACATAAGACACGCACGGAGGTCATCATATTTGAGACCCATCTTGCGGTAGCCCATGAGGTTGGCATACCAGTGAGCAATTGGCGTCACATATTTCTTGAGTGTCCGCGAGGAGCGAATGTATGGTGCGAGGGAAGGGCCGAGCACGTTCATCGCGTTGGCTGCTGAGTGTAGTGTCTTCTTCAAGAAACTCAAGAAGCGGAACCACCCGGAATATTATTTGGCACTATTTGCATTTGGTTTATTTGGGCTTGTTTTTTTTTGAAAGATAAGATCTGCAAGATAAAATTCACAATAAATCTTGACTGCGATCAGTTAGAACACTTCCTCATCTTTCCGCTCAGACAAAACAGATATGGCCCCCAACATCCGTGAGCGCACCTACATAATGGTCAAGGTAGTCATTCATCATCTCGAGATAATCATCCGCTGAGCGACCGCGCTTTCTTCCAGCCCGATGGTGTTGACCGTGGTCTTATTGGCGAGATCACTGCCCGCTTCGAGAAGCGTGGCTTCAAGCTCATCGCCGCCAAGCTCGTCGCTCCCCCCAAAGAGCATCTCGAGAAGCGTGAGTTCTGGATCCAACCAGATTTCTAACGCGTTGGTTGACAACATCTGGTCTGTACAGATTATGATGACCTCCGTGACAAGCCCTTCTTCCCTGGTATGATCGGATACATGCTCTCTGGCCCTGTATTTGCCATGGTTTGGGAGGGCTTGGATGCCGTTAAAACCGGCCGTGCCATGTTGGGCGCCACCAACCCCCTTCAGTCTGGCCCTGGTCAGTCTATGCGTGGTTATCAAGTGACACTCAGGTACTGAATTCATCATAGGTACAATCCGTGGCGACTACGCCCTTGCCGTTGGCCGCAATATCTGTCACGGCTCTGACTCCGTCGAGAATGCCGAGAAAGAGATTGCTCTGTAAGATCTCGGGATCGCCTTGGTTTATCATGTCTAACTGCCTTTGAAGCTGGTTCCCGGAGGGCCTCGTCCAATATTCACGCTCCCAGGAGTCTAAGGTCTATGAGATCTAGATGTGTACAGAGGGAGAGCGACAAGAATCGCCAATGTTGTAAACTAGATACCATTCCGACTGCATGTGGAGCATGACCACCCCATAGGGTTAAAGAATCAAAATCAGCGTTCGCGCGACGCTTTAGATGCAAACCGTCAAAGGACATCCCAGTAAATTGCTAGTAAAACAATAATAAAACAGAACAGATAATAGTTGAATTTAATGAACGCGAACAAGGTATTGTATGCAATGAGAGTGAGGGTATGTGTGCAAGAAATGATGATATGATAAATTTGAAAAAATAACTGTGTGCTAACACCTACTACACACTCCTCGGCGTGCCATAGTATGCAGGGTCCACCCAAGGCACTATTTGATCCGGGACATGCGACCTACTAAGAGGAACTCCGGCCCAATCACCACTGATAGACATCCTACCGCGTGTAAGGCGCATCAAAGGCTAGAAAGCGACATCGATATCATGAAGCCCACAAGCATGCATTACGTCCCAGATGCTAGTATAGCAGCGAGATCTTGCTCGCCAGCTGCTGCAAGTTGTCGTGAACGCGCCTTCAAACGCACTGCGGTAAAAAAAATAAGCTGTTGTGGGCGACATCAAAATTCAAAGGACTTACAGAGACGATCCAGGGACAGTAACACCACCTTGACGGCATTAGTATCATCTCGCACAGCAGGAGCATTCTTCAACAATGCTGAGCGGTCCACCCAATGCTCATCTTGCCATATCGCGGCTTTCAGAATCAGATCATCCATGCAGCGATCCCACGAGTCTTCATTAGTGAGATCAACCTGCTCGATCCGCACGCTTAGCGACGCTAGGTAGTTGCCTTTTGAGGTTTGGACTTTTAGGGATGTGGAATGCGAGCGGACGTGTGAAGTGATATATGCAATGGCCTCTTGGGCAGCTTCGCCAAGCTTAGATGGATTCGAGGAGAGGCCGTCGAGCTCCATTATAACCGGGACTGGCAGGACGACAGTCCATCGGAGACTCTCAATGATGGATGCGACGGCCGATAGGGAAGATAGGATAATGTTGGTATCCAGTACAAGAATAGTATATCCTGCCACGATGTTCAGAGATGGCATCAACACATTGTTCCTGGGACGGGCAGGGCGAGACCGTTGTTTGGGTACGTGAACAGGTGCGCGTTGACCTGAAACGAGGAGTGACCGCAAGTACCTCCGGCGTGCCTATAAACGTCATCAAATACCATCCGAAACTCAAAAATGAAGCAACCCACCTTGAGAGCCTTGACTTCCTCAGAATCATTTTCGTCATCGTCACTCTCTTCTGAAAATCCATCAGCGTCTTCATCCTCAGCATCGACATCCATAGAATCGTCGGTCCAACGACGACCACGTCGCCTCCGCTCCTCTTCCTCGCGCTCATGTCGATCTTCCTCAAGCCATCGCATCACTTTCGCTTCAAGTACACCCTCAACCCTCCACTCACGCGTGCCCTCCACCCAGGTGAACCCATCAACAACAGTTGACAAGGAAACGGCACATCGCACAAGTCGACTCCATCTCTTACTCGTCTCCCCACGCAAGCTCTCCCCACGGGAGTGACCATCATCTTCATCATCTTCATCTTCGATGATCCCATCGGTGAGCTGACCGCCTTCTTCCACATCCAGAATCTCCACCTCCACACGTCGCTCCTCTCCACTCTTCCAGTATCCGCGCTCAAAGACTTTTCGACCGATCCACTCCATCCCACGGAGGCACCAGTCCTCGGAGAGAGGCGGGGCACAACCGCTTGTCAGCATCGCCCACCGCTCGCTGCCAGCAGCTGGGATATCCAATCCCTGCGCGGTGAAGATGTCGCGGGGAATGGTAGCGAAAAATTGGGCAAGATCATGCCAAGGTATCAAACGCTCCATTACAGAAAGCGTCTCCGCATGTTTTGTGACGGTGGCCAAGAAGGTGAGCATGACTGAGAGATAAGGATTCAGAGTCGAACGTGCAAAAGGCGAGGCCTTCCGCGTCGGATTGCGGAGAACGAATGACAGCATCGAAAACGCAAGTTCCATCGCTAGTTTGAATGACACCGGCAGTTCCACAGGCGTACGTGCGTCTGATAGAAGTGGAGATGCCTGTGGATCGCCTTCGTCATCCACGTCCATGCGTTTCTCTTCACTGTCTTCTTCATGGAATGCGGGCACAGCATGACACTTCTTGACAACTTTTACAGCCGGACCGCTTGCGCCAGTGTCACGAGCACCTACACCGCCGATCTTGCGCAGCACGCCGCTCGGACGTCCATATTCGAGCACGGCACCGATGTTCACGACTGCCATCATGATCCACTCGCGTTCCTCGGCTCCCTCGATTTCGATGCGCTCAAGGAAACGAGCGAGAGTCGGCGAGAAGTCGTCAAGTTGGATGTTGGTGAACAACATGCCGTGTAAAAGAACAAAGAGCTCTGGTGCGCGGGCGTCAGGTTGCGACCTCCGCGACTGTGCAGTTGATGACCAGATGGGAAGAATGGACTCCCGAGAGGTTGAAAATGTGTGAAGGGTGGTCATACTACGAAAAAAACAACTGATCAGACATGCTGCAAATAAAATTTGCGGAAAATCAAACCTCTTGACGAAATGATAGACGGCGCGTAGCTCCTCGTTGTCGACCTCACGACTTAACAAACCGAGATGGTGGTGCAACTTGCCTGCACCAGGGGTATCGGCAAGGCCTTGAGCGTACCACTCCTTTGCAATACTTCGCCAGCGTTCCTTCTCTGGCTCAACATCCATCATACGTGCGGCAACAACGCCAATGCTCGGACTCGGCGAGTCGTCAACCCGCGCAGCGGGACGATCAGAAGATGATTTGACGCTCATCTGCGACTTGCTCTTGGCTGTCACAGGTTCGCCATCAGCGGATGCTGCGGCCGCTTTAGAAACAGCATCTGTGGTTAGTGCTGAACCTTTCAATTGATTGTTGGTAACCATTGCGGCCACGGCCATACGATAGCGCGCAAGATCGCCAAGAGCTTCGAGCCAGCCGGATCGGAACGAGCGCAGGGTGGGCTCCTCAAGAAGCCCGGTGTAGAAGGTGTAGGCATAATATATGAAATCTTGAAGGTGTTCAAGAGCTAGGGGCGAGGAAAACGAGGCACGTCTCAAGGCCTCGAGGAGTTTGTGGAATGCGTGTGTCCAGAGGCGGATGATGATATTGTACTTGCTCGGAATAACGCGAAGGGAAGCCGGAACGCTCGGGGCGAGGGAGATCTCCATCAGATTATGCATCATCTCAGCGAGTCTGCATGTTTTCAATCAACAATATCACGATGTAAATCGGAGAGTCACTTACCGTTTATGGTCTGAGATCAATTTCGTCCATTTTTGCTGCTGGAGGTCTTCATCGCTAACTTCACGCCCTCGTCCTTGGAGAACGACGCGACCTTCATCCACGATGTCTTCAGGGTCTTCATTGAGGATCTTGGTTTCGAGTGTAGATATACTGCGGTACAGCCTTTTGAGTTGAACTGCGAATGCATTATTACTAGGATCCTCGCGAGGTTTGCTATCAAATAATGCCGACGATGCGGAAGAATTGTCGGTCGTGCCAGAAGAAAGGGTGAAACTAGAAGACATCGAATGGGCGTAGGAAGAAGTTGATGATGCGGAAACATAGTCTCCTGAAGATTTGGGGGTAGGTGGAACTCGGCCACCGTTTGATGATGGACGAGCGAGAACTGAGACGGCAAACCTTACAGGATCATCTTTGCGGTGGTCGAATAATTGGCGATTTGCTGGCGGGTCCCTCTGATGAGAAGTGGGGGTGTTGCGTGGCGGGGAGGAGCTACTTGTTGCGTCGGAAATTGATTCAGGCTCAGTTGTGCGTCTCATGGGAATGGGATCTGTATTTGGATTAAATAATTTGCCGTGCTGGGTCTGCTTTGTATGATGGTGGGGGCGAGGTGAAGTAGATATCTTGAGTCGTCGTGAGAAATCTTCTGGGTCTGCCTCTGGATGGGAGACGACGACATGGGGTGCGGGATGAGTCTTACGTGGAGATGTTGCTGCTGCGGGAGAGCTGCGGGAAGGAAGAGGTGGATTCGGGGGTTGTAAACGGGAAGCAGATGGAGATGACGGCGTTCGCTCTGGGCGTTCGCGAGGACGAGTTGCACTTAATCCAGAAATAAAAATTAGTAAAGAAAAAGTTGTAGGAAATAAAACATACCCTGCATTTCTTCTCTGGAAAGCGATCATACGCTCTGCAAGATCAGTAGGCTGAGCGGGATCACGGTCCCTTGGCCTCCTTGAAGGCTTTGGCTCATGGTTTGATTCCATGACCTGTAGCAGCTCAAAAAGCTGAAAGTGCTGCTATGATATACTTCTAGTGGAACTGCGAGAAGAGTGAGGTGGACGGAATTCAAGAGCTAACGCTGTGGGCATACCGTTCCTTGTCCGCTGCGCATTTCGAGAATCCGCAGTCGTTGGCTGCGCCGATCAAGATCCATCCAAATTTAGTATCAACTTCCAATTGTGACAAAAACATTTTTACCCCGGTTCAATTGCTTAACTCTAGGGTTAGCAGTGCACCTCACTTGAACGAAATGGGTCCTCGACAATTCCTCGACACTAGGGGATGTACCAAATTTTGCAAGTCTGCTGGCATCACCATGTTATTAAACAGCAGCCGCAGTGACACCTTGCACAGCCGCTGCGACTGTCCAAACCGATGCTACCGGCTGACTAGTGCCTGCCATTTCTTAGACCTATCACCCGAGTGGTCGCTTGAAGTATGCACCCCAGCATCTCCTTTTGTGCCCGAATTACACGTATGGAAGCCATACTTAGCTACGAACTCTCGCGATAAATTTTCTTTACAGATACATCAAGCCCTCCGTCCGTATATCCTACAACCAATCCCTTATCCTTCCAGTGTTCCATCACCAGGAGTGGTGACCACCGCTGACGATGATACTGCAAATTTTACAATTAGCTTGAAGGAAATACAACAGAGACAACGTACTCGCTACCCGTGCAGAACGTTGATGCATCAGATGCTAACCACGTCACTACACCGCGCAACTCGTCAGGGCGTCCAAGTCGGCCCAGAGGGTTCATACTAGACCACACATCGAAGAGGTGCGGTTGTTTGTCCAGATATGCTGCGGTCATACTATCACAGCCATTATTATTTGGTGTTGTGGTGTAATCAATCCCGAGACACACCTGGTGTAGATATGGCCTGGAGACAACGAGTTGACGCGAATCTTCTTTTCACCGAGCTCACAAGCCATGCTACGAGCCATCTGCAGGACAGCTGCCTTGGAGGTGTTGTATGAGACCCAGGCGTGGCCCTACACAGGGTCAGCATACGAGCATGGCCGTAGCAGTTTTCGGGAGACGCGCACTCTATTAGTGATGCTGCCTGACATCGATGCGATAAGAATGATGCTGCCCACCGCGTCCAAAGCGAGACATCTGTCTGCCAGCAGCCTGCGCAGTGAAAAGGACGCCACTGGCGTTGACATCCAGGACCTACAAATAGGGGTTAGCCCCATATCTGTAGGTGGTAAGAAGTTGATCGACGACCACCCACCTCTTTGTACTCTTGCGCCGGATATTCCAGGCAGTCTGTGTGTGACCTGAGAATACCAGCCGCAGCGACACAAAAGTCCATTCTTCCCTCCTTATCGCCAATTTCCTCCGCCTTCTTCCAAAGCGTCTGTTGATCAGTGACATTCGCGCTGAAATACTCAAGCCGCGAGTTGTTGCCTAGCTTCGCAACGTAATCTCTGCTTGCGATCCATTCATCTGATGGCTTCTCTGGGAGATCAAAGCAGTACACGGCGCGTGCACCAGCTTCGCAACATGCAAGAGCCATCTCCAGGCCAAGGCCCCTATTTCCTCCCGAGACAAGCCCAACACGATCGGTTAGCGCGAATTCATCGAAGATCTTGGGCTTTGGTGTGATGGATGGGTCTGCAGCAGCCTCAAGTGCGGCCTCGATACCGAGTTTACCAAGAGGAGATGCAGATTGAGCTGGGAATTGGGAGCTATGGACAAATTCAGTTTCCAACGGCGATGATAGATTGAATTAAACACTCGGCACGGCTTACCTGGACATGGCTTAGAAAATCGAGGATAGACGATTGCGACAAACTTAGGAGAAGCGATCGTGTATGTGGTGTCTTTATACTGCACGGATCTCCACTTCCATAAGGATTCCGCGAGCTCACCTGACCATAGTCAAGGCGAGTTGCGGCGTCTGAATAACGAAATTAATACCAGCAATGAATTCTTAGTGACCACATGAGCATGAGGTGGTGATTTGCGGATCGATGGGCCTTCCCACAGCAGATAAAGACAAGTCTTGAGGATTGTGGTTCCCGCGTTATCGGTGTTATGTAGCGCTGGTCTAACAGTAAGGGAGCGAGTCTAGATTGTAAGAGGGAAGGGGCAGCCATCATTAATGCAATGCCTGCTTTACAAGCTAGTATACAACCATCTCTGCGTAAAGTGCATGTAAACTACAAGGAACAAAGCTCGTTCATGTATGTGGAGCGATATAATATTAGTGAATACCTATAAACAACGAGCTGGACTACAAATAGCATATGGTGGAACAACAAAGGGGCTGTAAAGGTATCAATCGATTAAGTTAGGTGACGAAGGCAAAAAGGGGCACCAAGATGACAACAAGCACTTAACAAGTTACGACATCCAAATGCCTTCTGTGCGTTGGTGTCAAGCTTTGGGTTCTCTAACAAACCATGGCGTAACAAGCGCATTGGTCCGTCTGAGGAGATTGACACCGAACCAGGACGATAGCTCCTTTCCGCCCCATTTGTCGGTCATACGTATTATCTTGTCATCGTCATCCAATTCCACGACGATGATAGAGTCGATTCGCTAATAAGAAGTGAGCGAGAAGTGTCACTGGCGCTGTTCTTAGTTAGCGCTATATACCTTCTTGGTTCCAATGTACCGGAAGGTATACTCTTGTGTTTGGGAGTAGATGAGACGCTTCGGCACTCGGGTAAACGACATGACCCGGCTCGAGATCGTCTCTGATTTCGAAAAAATCTTTGCCTGAGGCCCCACTATGAGACTTTGACATTTCAGTTGAAAGCACGATGACTCGCCATGGCAAACCACTGCGTGAAAGACTCAATTAAGCGTGAGAAGTCAATCATGACGTAGTGTGTCGCACCTGAGGAGCATATTGTTCATAACCCTCGCATTTGACCAAAGGATCCTAAGGAAATCATGAAGCAGAATGATAGTATGAAGGCATAATGAAGCTGACCTCAAAAACTGCATCGGGCCTCCAAGTTCTTTCAAAAATCTCCTTTGATGGCCGACAACAGTACAACTCCTTCAGTTCAGCCATGATGCGATCCCGAATCATATCATCCCCTTGCATGGATGGACTTGGATTTACAGGAGACGTAACAATTTGTTCATCGCTGTCAGACACAGGCGCTCCAGAGTAATGGGCACCCCCAGTAGCGGAATTGACAATATGTGGAATTGGAAGAGGTATATGCAGTGTCGGAGGGTGGTATATCACCGTTGGTGATGCTGAATCACTGCTTTTGAGTGGCGCATCGTGTACGGTGGATATTTCCTGTGAGGTGGTCATTTCTGGAGTTCAAGGTGTACGTTCAAGTTTAACGTGGATCAACACCTAAACCGAATACATGTGGAGTAACCTAGAAGATAAGATAAGATAACAGTCACTGCCTGTGGCTGTGGTTTCATAGTTTATATACACATCAGCAAAACATCCCAAACGATGCAAACCCTCTGGCTGCCAGTGCAAGGCATACAAGTGCCACATTCTCTACAATGTCATGACAGACTTGTACGTATCGATACAAGTCCGTGCATGCGACCTCGTTCAATGCATACTCCTCTAAGCCTTGTTTGCATTTGTATACTCCTACAAGTAGTGTTTGCATTTACATTCTCGCACATGCCTGATTGCATTTGCACCCTATGGTAGACCCTTGCATGGGTGATGAAATTCCTACCAGCACAATATGTATAACCAATCAAAACATGGCAGTAATATTATCACGCTTGACCAATTTAAAGCACGGTTACCTAGATCTCGAGTTGTGGCATGAAAGTACATCCGTTGCACAGGTTGGACTGGATTAGCACTAGAGAATCATAAGCCAGCTTTCGCACCGTCTCTCACAAATTGCTACCCCAAGAGACTCCAGGATCTACCTATTGAACATTGCGCAGCATTATGCTGTTGGTAAAACAGGGCCAGCTTTCCCACTTTAATATTGCTCAGGATATGTTTACAAATGGTCAGTCATTTGGCATCTTCACCGGATGGTATCTTGTACCACAGTTGTTCGGAAAATATAGTCTTATGAGGTTCACGACATCCATGGTGAAAAGTCTTCAACAATTCAGAAGATATAGTTTCATGAATTTGCCACATATATGGAATGAAGCCTTCACAGGTATAACATGTCCTTGAATATTCATGCTTCATATTGTGTGGACATTGGCTGATGCGGCATCGCAAATATAATTGGTATCACAAGTAGTTTCACTTGGATTTTGCTGGACAAAGTGCACAATTTAATCAGATAACACTACGAAGTAAACAAATGGATCTTTGTGTAGATTTTTACGGTGTAGGGTCTGGCGCTACAGATGTTCAGAAAATGTGCATTTGTGAATTGGTTATATTGTCGAAGCTAAGTTTCCATTTGTATTGCAAGCAGTTTATCATAGATCTCGCCAGATGAGGTGTATAATTGAGCCAGACTAGACCATCCAGTAAAACATTTAACGCAGGGATCTTTGTTCCGATCTCGGAATCAGATACATTTCAAAAAAAATGGGTTGATCGGATCAATTCAAATGCAGCATTACATAGCCAATATAATTTATTTAGTTTGCACTAGTACTACATCGCACAATTGGCCAGATATACAAAGTAAAGTTACGTGTACATCATACTAGGTTACGAGTCCAGGACAGTTCAGGATTCACAGAGTTCATTGGGAAAGTGCTCATCGGGCAGTAGACGTCATAGCCACTGACAGCCGTTCGGTGTTCTGGGGTCGATATTCTGACATATTCCTGCGCCCAAACACTTTCCTGTTGAAGCAACAATGTTAAGCTAATGAAATAGAGATGGATGCTACTTACTGATTCCACCAAAATAGGAGAGTTTCCACCTCCTTCGTTGCTTCCCGTGAGGGACAAAGCTCAAAGTAATCAACCACGTTGTGATAAAATTCTTCGTGGTCGAAGTCATCATCCACAATGCGCCATGATCCAGCACTGGATAGCGCAAACCGTAGCTGAGTCATCTCAGTCAGTAGTGAGCGCCTGGAGGTAGTAGATCATACCTGAACTGCTGTGTACGCAATGGCCCTGGGTTGCACTGATTTCATTCGTAGTAGTCCCGCAACATCATGTCGTGTACGCCTCTCGCCTGTGGTCCTCTGGCGCTTAGAGAGATTCTGCACAGAAGCGAACCCCAGTGGATCATCAGCTGAACTGGGAGACGTGAATATGTGCTTGACTGCCTGCGATCTATCCTTAGTACGACAACAAAAAGATGTAGTATTGTTGGGTGTACGCACCTTCACAAGCACTTCGCCTTTGAACAAGCCCTTCGTAGGGTTATTTGGGTCATAGTGTCCACCCTGATATAAGTACGAGGGCCAGGAGTAAGACGTCACACGGTAGTCAGGGTGGCAGTTCCGAATGGCCTCTCGCACACTGGCATATTGATTAGCAATGGAGTTTCTCAACGATGAGGACTTACATAGTATCATTCCAGTCGTAATCGACGGGGCATAGCAGTTTTCCAGTTACGTCATGGTAAAATCCACGATAAGATTTGTCACGGTGTGAAATGACAGGGTTTGGAGTCGGGCTGGCCTGCATCAACCACGAAGCCACAGCGAACTTAAGGCTGGTTGTATCATCCCCTCTCGCTGCATCAGCACTCCGATTAAGCTATACACAACACATGAGTTAATGGATGTGTGGCGGTGTAGTCTCTCACCTTGCTATACTCGCTAGCCAGCTCAGAGATGTCGGCTGAGGACTGCATGAATTTTTGCACTGATGGGCACCAAATCACCAGCTTCTTATAGGACCTGTACCGTCTGTTTTCTCTAATATCACAAAGTAACATCGTCATCAGCTATCCTCATGTACAGACTACACACCCACATTGCGGAGGATTCAAAGGATCCAGCATCAGAGTCGTCAGTAATATCAAGTGTGACACGCCGGTCAAATTCTGCAACCAGGTCTTCAATGGAGTCTATAAGACACACAAGCCTTCGAATAACACGCCCTTCAGGAACCTGGCTTTTATTGTAGTAAATAAGTAGTTTATAGTGGGTTCGTGGACGTGGCACATACCTCTTCCTTTCCGCAGGCATACTGAGTTCAGCATTTTGCTCCTCTAACATAGCGATGCGCCTCTTCAAGGACGAAAAGGTTTCAGCAGGGGGGCTAGCACAAGGTGTCAAAGGCGATAGTGACATCAGGTAGATTTGATGAGGAAGGTCCGCTGCGACTGAGCGGCCTGTATTTAACCCTTCAGGAATAAATCATCTCAATCAAGTGAGGGTTTTGTTGGTAGAGATCTTAACGTAAAACTTACCTTCAGAATGCTCCAGTTTGCATGTTAAAATTGAGCAATGATTAATGATTGTCCAGGAATTCGCTACCGATCAGTGGAGTTACATTTTTAAGTTGAGATGGAAGAAAGCCTGCATACATTCGGCGTCAGTACCTTAGATGTGGTCGAGATTTGAATGACTAGCGGTTATTAACACTTTGCGCTCATTAATAACTTGAAGAATGTAGAGTGGGAGATCTGCACTAACTTGATCTGTGTAGTCCAACATCATGTGGAAGTTACTGCCACGGGCCTCATACCTTGTGACATACCATAGCTCGCAGAGTGAGCCATGAGGGAAGTGGTAGCTTGTTCATACATTTCATACATTGAAGAAAAATCTGATAGGCTCCCAACGAAACAAAAAGAATTTGTGTGACACAGCTGTGACACAACCCCCTGTGTCTTGCACAATTTATGCTGTGTATGTGAACATTCACCGCATCAATTTCACCTGGCCCCACTGGCGCCACGGTGATTCCTGCTACGTCAGTCAATGTTCAAGAACCTTATTCAAGTCTTAGGCGCAAGATCCAGTATGAGTTAGCTCTATTTTCTGGTTGGATCTGACATTGATGATCGAGGGTGGTGGTATGTTGCGGACTTGACTCTGATCGTCCAATTCAGTAAACATGAGCGCACATCATTTGCAGGGTGCATGCATGCAGCAAGTCGGAAGACTTTTCATTCAATCTCGTATGGCAGACACAGCATATCAATGTCAGGTCAATGTTCGAATATTCACCCGCTTGGACTCGGAAATACTGGTTAGTTTCATGTGTAATCCCGACGCCCACCTTGATGTCATTCAATTCAATTCACAGCTTCCGACTCGGAGTCGATTCAATGCGGCATCTTGTATCAATGACACATTCCCAATTGGAAATTCCACTACGTCCTACCTAATTGCACTAGTGCAGGGCCAACCCCGCAATGCGTGCAAGCCTAACCACACCTGAGCGCTGAGCCGTCAAAATCATCATATCAGCCTTATAAAGGCAATGTTCCACTAAATGATATCATTGTGGTGCTGTGCAAGCCGCTGTTAGTTTTGACCATCACCGGCAAACCTAGTACTACTCACATACTCATTCATTGCGATGCCTTACTATGATCCAGACCAAAGCTCTGAACACAGCTCACGAGGCTCAGGTTACAATGACGGCGCATCAGAAATCCTGGGAGTTGAGGACAAACATCGTGGCGGATGGCGCTTTCCAGCCAATGGTCAAGGAGCACCAGCGGACTCGCAAGGAAATTACGTCTACACCAGTGAACCACTGGCAGGTCCCGGTGTTCAAGGGGCTTTAGATTCTGCAAAGTCGCGCTCACCATCACCAAAGGCACCCAACATTGCATCACTGGCAGGAGACGACTTGGAAAACCATGCTAGTCACCAGGTGCGTATGCCGGTACCATTTCATAAATTATGAACTGACACAAAGAGGCTCGAAAACCATGTTTACTAGCATCCTGTCAATATCCCACATCATAATTTGAAGCGTGCACTGTCAGGCAACGAGTCAAACTCTGATGTGAAATCTGATGCAGTGAGTCTTCTCTTACTCCGTTGATATAAATCATCTACTCACACTCGTGCTCAGAGCCGGCACTTCGCTGACAATATCACGAACTCCCTGCCCGTGCAACCACCCACCAAGAAGCGGCGGGTCATTTTGTCTGACAGTAAAACTATTAGCAAGGCTGCGGATAAAGTGGATGAAGTCATAGAGAATCGAAAAGAAATCGTCGCGGTGCTTCGGGAACAGACTGCTGTCCTGGCATGCCTAGTATGTGTTCTTGAAGCCGTATCTCGGTGATACAATGGACGCACCACGGTGGTCAACACTGTAAAATCATATTGATGTATTATATTGTTCATATCTCCTCGTCCTCCTCGGAAATGATGACATCCATGCACCATGCAAACCCTTGTCTTCATTGCATGAACATGAAGTTAATCGACATGAATTCCAAGACATTGCATGAAGGCGTTGCGACGATCAATCATGGTGTTACATTAACGAGTTACATGGTAGTGGACATACCACATACTCTCTGATTCTCTGTTTCACTGATGCGAAGGATATGACTCGTCATACTAGTAGTTGTCGACAATACCAGTGGAGTCTGACTCGGAGGTGGTATCAAAGGGGATGAGTACCCAACACGTTCAACATGATCCATAGGTAACCCACTTCGCAAGTCATTGCGCAAGAAGAATCCACTAGAACAGCAGATCATGTTCGTTCAGATAGGTGTCTAGTTTGATGGGCCGTATTCTTACTTCCGTAGTTCTGTCTGCTTGCTTTCTTCCCCTCGCTGTCTTAAAATTCGACTGCATCAAGGTATGCAAGTGTTCGGGCAAGTCCATCGCTACGATAAAAGACGTGCTGATGGCAGAGAAAAGACCAGACTGATCGAACGTCAATCTCAAAGTGAGTCGAAGATGGGCATGCGACACTTACGAAGACCAAGACAATGTCCATATCGCTGGTGTATGGCTCAAGGAACTCGCTGTCATGCTCCTCCGCGACTCTTTTGTACACCCCCCAGAAACGAGAGCGATGGTCCTTGCCGCTCTTCGACGCAATCGTCGAGTCTTGGAGCACACCCAATACTTGTTTCATGACACTTGTTCTGCGTGTAGGATGTTGTCAGCTACGATCGCTCAACTGATTTTTCGCTCACAATTCGCTTAGAGTTGGCTGGTCCTTCTCCACCACGTCCTTCTCCGCCTCGCTGAGACAACACATCATGAGCTTGTTTGACATTGGCATTCATGTGGACTTACGGAGCTAAATCGCCGTCTGGTGCAACATTCAAGTTGGGGTACTTTCCTCTACGTGAAGTTCTGATGGTTGCGAACGCCCAGTGTTCGAGCTGCAGTTCTGGTGAGGAAGAACACAAAAGCATCAGGGCAAAAGCACTGACATCCCTGATGGCAGCACCACCGAAGGTTCACCGTTTATCTCATCCCTGTCATGCTGTTAGGTGGGTGGCAGATGCTATAAAGTCGCAACTTACTCATTCGTGGGTCCTTCGGTGTCATTTTGCGTGGGAGGCTGTTCATCATTGTGAGCGCGCTGATCCTGGGCGTTGTCGGCGCCTGATGCTTTTGACATGAGGTAATATACTTATATTGGATTGAAAGCAAACCTAGTGAGATTTGGGAAGAGCAGGAGGTGAGTGGGCAGAGAAGAGTGGTGGTACACAGTAAGAGCCTCGGGCGGTGGTGCGACCATGACGAACACGTGCTTGACAGCGTTGACGCTGGGAGTGCTCGTGCGCTTCCTTCAGTAGACTGCAAGTCCCGCATAAATATAGTCAGACCGAAAGTAGAAAGAAAGTCTGGCTTGCGCAACATATACTCGATATTCGCCCTTCACGTAAGGCGTCCACCCAAAGGCTACCCGCTTTTGGCGCAGCCAAGGGAGTGAAGGTGTTCAAGTTGGCATCAAGCCAGACGTACGTGTAGCAAGTGAAGTCCAAGGTATAGTACATTAGATAAAATGCATATTTGTTTCTAGGGGGGACAATGTCAGAGAGTACTCAATCAGTGAAAAATTACTTCACCTTTGTCGCTGTGTGATACTTTGCGCAGGAAAGCTATGTGATCGAAGCAGAAATAGAAGCTGAAGGCAAGTGGAGACTGAACGACTTGAGGATGACGTGACTGAGTCACCGTATGGCTGTACTACAAATGTCGTCTAGGACAGCACTTTTTCGTTGGGTTCCGGTGCGCCGGCACGTATGATCCCAACCCTAACCCTAGCTGTTTTTCATTGCTGTGCTGTTGTCAACGCCCAACTACACATACCCTCACATCGACTTGCCAGCAGCACTCTCTCCCACTCCTACTCTCAAATCTCACTCACGCTCAAATCTACCCGCGCACTCGCAGCAAGGACAGCTCCGGCAAGACACTACTGACTAGCAAAAGAAATCGCACCATGTCTGGAGCATCTCTTGACGTATGCGATGGAAACACTGCAGTAAGCATGATTTTCATGTTGTCTGATCATGATGTCGTGTCTAATCATAATTCACACAGACGAACACTGTGGTTGGGTCTCCAGCTCATTCTGCCCTCAGCCAAGTTCAATCCCTTCCGCCTGTCGCGCCGCCACCTTTCCGCGATCCTATGGTGGCAACCAGCCAATGGAGGGATAGAGAAGAGGCAGAGCAGAAGAGGCAGAAGAAAAGCCTACAGGATATCCTCATGCATCCCTCGCTTTCGCGGTGAAACCGTCTCATGGTAGATCACAATCTTCTGAAGTCCCCCGTATCCAACCGGAGCAGCCCCAACTGGACCGATCTCGTACAGATCCTGCAGCGATTGATTTCTCGCCTGGCCGTCACCATCGACCTGAAGACATCACGCTATCCCAGAATAATTCGTGATACCCACAGATCAGTACGGCTGTAGAACACCAGCCCTCCCAACAGCGCTCCGCACACAAGACTTCATTTTCCAATCCTCCAGCCGTCACTGGCCCCAGACCTCAACGTTTATCTTCTTTCGCATACCATCAGAATGAGTCGATTAGACCTGCAACAGCAGCGACCCCTGGTCTCGTAGCTACTTTCAGTCAGCCACATGTGGCCCCATCACTTGCTCACAGGACGAACTCGAGTCCACCTAAGATTGCATCGGCTTACGGATCTCTCCCTTCTGGATATTCAACCACTATGAGCTCACAGACTCACCTCGTCTCTGGAACCCATGGTAGTAACGCGACAGCAACCCGAAGATCACCATCCGATATCAACACTATCACGCTGGAAGATGCAAGAACTTCGTAAAGGCTCTGTAAGCATGAGAGAGCTCATCCGGCGAGGAGACGTTATTGAGCGGCGCTTGCAAATGCACGCATGCGCAAGCTCCAAGCTGAGAACGAGTGCGTGTCCAGTCTTGTTGGTTGACCCGCGTTACTAACTTGCTTGCTCATTTCAAGCTTGCTTCTTGACGCTATCAATCTTACAGTTCCAGCAACGCCTTCCCTCATGCATCTCACATGCCCCTCTCCAACGCTATATTCACACCAAGTTGCGCCTCCAACGCCTCCTCCACCTCACGACATGAACGGGCACAGTGTTCCCCATGCTAACAAGAGGTATCGCCCAGTAGATGTGCGCACGCGAGTTATCCTTTATCATCATCTCCTCTGATTTTTGTCTTGATAGCCACAAGCCATCACAACTTCGGAGAGGGATCGTGATCGTGATCGATTGCGTGGCCTTCGATGAGGTTTGGTGCAGGTGTAACTTGTGCAAGGTGGGTGGACAACCTTTGTCCAATTATTCCTCCCTCAAAATCTTTCAGGTGTAGATCAGCTGTATGTGCCGTCTGTGCTCGCACGTGCTCCTCCATGTTACAACAATCCTCGTTCCCGCCAACACCGGCATTAACACGCAGTCCCTCTCTGTCGGGATCGCCATCACCGTCATCTTCTGGATCTCCCAAACGAGCCGCGTTAAGCCTGAGCATCTCTACCATGAACTGCGATATCCACCTTTCTCTATCTTCTAGCCAGCGCAAGAAACTTTCAAAAGTTGATTTAGACTATCCTTCGAAATCTGGAGGCACGCTTTTCGGGCTAGGCGAGGCGACAGAGCTCTCCTTGTTTCTGGATGTGGACAACTGATCTGCAGAACGTGCTGCGTGGAATGTATTCAAAAGTAAGTCTTCAATGACTAGCACTACGTTGAGCAACGATTGAGGCCTTTTCTCATCGCAGTGATGGGACTCTTTGTGTGGATTGTTACGCCGTTATTTGAAAACGTGTTCTAGGATGGGGAACAGTATCGTCACCAACAATCGACTTCGGGTCGCCGAGATAGTTCAAGTCATGTCGGCAGACCTCTTCAGTGGACCGTGCTAAGACGCATTTCCAGATATCTCCGAAGCCTCCGTGAGCAACTGGATAGTCGGATTTCTTACGAAGACGTTGGGTGAGGTCGCTGAATGGTCCGATACTAACAGAATAAGCAGGTCTCTAAAGACGCCTCATAATTGACATTCGTACCTTTGCTCTTCACCTTGGACTTCATCGAGTGTAGTATGCGACAGAAGCTCCCTAACACTGACATTCATGGCAGAAGAAATCATTCCGATACCGTCTAAAGGTCTACCGTGGGCTTCGCATGATATCCATCCGCCAGCTTAAGGCTGGTGGCGCACTTCTCCTCCATGCACTATCGACATTCACTACCACTGGTGCCGGGATCACTGCAGGATCCACATCTGCCCTCTCGATCGCCTCCTCACGTCAAGACTCGAGTACCGCTTGGTCCAAGGAAGAAACGGGTCACTTTTCAGGTGTTTCTGCTGCTGCACGCGTGAGATTGGAGAGTATGGGAGGGAGGAGTAGTAGTGCTGTGCTGTCAGTATCATCATCTGATTCTATTCGTCGGCGACTGACGTGTCTTTAGGACCTTCCCTCTACCATGGGGCCACTTGCGATTCGAAGACCGGGTATCAACCCGGACCATCCATTCAAGACATCCACGCTGTCGTCTGGCTCTCCGTCCCTCCACTCACCTTCGCCTTTTCTACGTCAACCGTCGCCACTCGCCACAGGCCATCCATCACTGCCTTCTCGCCCTGTCCCAACGTCGCCGAACTCCTCTCGTGTTCCCCACTCCTCGATTGGATTTGGCAGGCAATCACCCAGTAGCATCGGAGGCCGGTCAGATGGCGAAAACACATCTCTGAAGATTCCAACCAGGAAACATTATTCCAGCAGTTTTGGGCATCGCTACGCTGCAGCAGGAGGTGTGGGTAGTGTCGGAAGTGCAGGAAGCGGGGAACGAGCAGAGGTGAGCGACCTCGTTGCCTTATTATACATTATCCCTCACTTTGCATATCGACTTAACTGGTATGGCATTGCATTGCACATTGCTTCATTTTTCATCATTTGTTTCATTGTTTATTTATAGACGGAACGTAGTGCTGATAATGTTCCTGTGCAGAGCACCTCCTTCCTTGGTGTACCCACTGATGATGATGATGAGATATCCATCTTTGTCAAGGATATTGATGCGCGGAAGCCACTTAACGCTCAATGCCAACCTTTGCTCACGTCTTCGCAGGGCCCACCCACTATGCCCTCGCATACTCAATCTGACTCCACGGGTTCTGCGGGTCCGATGTTGACGCAACAATCAGAAGTCGACGAATGTTTGAGCCACATGAACGAGATGTTCCTTGCGAGCTTGGAGGGACTTGGTGGCAATGGCGGCCGGAGACGAGGGCTGTATGGGTGGAGATTCAGCGGGCGGTAGCCTTATTTCGAGTTCGAGTGGACAAGGAGAGGGAGAAACCAGAGGTATGAGACGTGCAGAGGGAGGAGGGACCCGGCGGGAGACGTCAATGCCAAGACTTGGCTCCTCACGCAGCATGAGCACCAACGACATAGCTTCGAGCGGCGGGTCTGCAGATGGCCGGTTGATTTTCATGTACCGGAAACCTTGCGCTCACACTCTGCAGGTTCCCGCGCCGTACCTATTCAGAAGGACGAGGGGAAATGGGAAGCACTCTTAAAAGACCCAACAGAGTCTGGGGGGGCGGTGTCGAGCAGGGCATGTACGCAGGGTGGGGACGGGCTCCGAAGTATAGAGTTAGTTTAGATGTTGATCGCACATTCAATGACAAATAAGATTCGCAGAGGAGTACTATGACTAGCAAGACCACAAGCTAAGGTTGAGTAACTACAGTGAAGTTTTTCGGATGAGCGTGCTGGAAGAGCAGTGTGTCAGTGAAGCACGTAAATACGATCCTGCGGCCTGTGGTCACCGGAGCGCTGAAATGAGCCACAACACGGGCCAAAACAGCTAAGACTTGGCCTGGTCGGACAGGAATTTTGATTCCCAACTGCGGGATACAAAATTCGCCACCTTCCCAGTCTCCGACGGCGAAAATGTACGCGTAGATCGCACGATTGTCGTTCCAGTCGATGTGTATTAAGCCAGAACCGGATTCTTTCACGGCAAGGGCAAAAAATGGCCCTCCCATATCTGTGATGGGACGTTCCAGAATCCTACGTCGTAAACATTTCTGTACACGAGCATGTGCCCTAGTGAGATAAAAATCAATCAATCAATATATTGAGCCCTGTCAGATATAAAACGACTTACTTAAGCATAGCAGCCCAATGATTTGGAGCGTGCTCCTCGAACGCCGTGCCTATCTTGGGTGCAATGAAAGTCTGCACGTAAAATAGCAAGGCGTTGATCGCTTCCTGTGCCTTGGCTGACTGTTTGTGCGTTTCCGCGGTCAAGCGAGGCATCTTGCCAGTCACCTCCCAGATACCAAAGTGGTATCCGTCCGCGTTCGACCGGTTGGTGTCACACTTGAGGTGCTGGCCAGCATCGCTGGCTCGTACGTCATCCCAACGCCGCTGCAAGCGCCTCTGATGGTCCGCGGAGAGAAAATGTTCGTAGCGAATTGCGAGGTGAGGAGGCATGCCAGCCGGAATGGTGTCGGCGGGAAGATGGTCGAGAGGTAATAGGATCTTGCCGTACTCGGGCAGTGATATAAGCTGCGTAGGGAGGATCGAGGATGAGTAATTTTTTTGAATGATGTCGCGGACCAGAGCACCACTCCGTTGGATGGCGAGAAAATCGGATGGGAATTTACGAATGCGGTGAATGTCTAATCAAAAATTGGTCAATGCGAAGTGGATATGCTGAAAGAGACTTACGTAAATCCTGTTCTATGGCAGCTTTGACTTTTGCCGGGTCATGGTCCCTATAGGCCCGTACCCTGGCGTCTTGCTTGGCACGAGCACGAGCACTACGAATTCCATGTCTGGTTTTCGCCATGTCAAACAGCTGTGGGAAAATAATATATCGAGTAAGATTTGTCAAAGCGCTGACTTCCAGCACATAAGACGCTGGGTGAACGACGAGAAAGTAGCCAGGTTAAATATGATGCTTCATGACTAAGGAAATCTCACGTGCGAACTGCCACGTCACCACTTGCAATTCCCTGCAAATGAAACTTCCTGACTGCCCGATCTTTTTCCATTGATCCGCGACCCCAATCCTCTCATCCATTTGCGCACCATCACCTGCGTCAGCAACATCTCCTTCAACAACAGACTCTGCATCTCCCACCCCCTGCTACGATCGAGGTTAGCCACCTCCCACTCTTGAGCATACAAACCAAACTCATGTTATGTTGTTTTAGTTTGAAGACGAGGCAGCCACAGACGCAGCCCTTACACGCCTGTGGGCAGAGATTCTTGCGTCGCTGCCGACAGGCACTTGCGCTCTTCCAGGCACTTGCCCTTCGGCAGAAAAAGCGAACATCACGCAGGTGCTGAGTGAGACTACTCCCATAGAGGTGTTCAGCCTAGGGCTGGTTACGAGTGGAATGGACACAGTTGACTGGGCGGAACAAGTCTGTGTAGAGATGGGGATAGAAAAGCTGCTAGAGATGCTGCTGAGTATGCAGGACGTTGACCTAGGCCAGGAGTGACCTTTGTCGTTGCGGAAGACCCACCTGACCCTTACCCTGGGGCTACACAATTGATTTCTCACATGGCCGTCATCATCGACCTGAAGACATCACGCTATCCCAGAATAATTCACGATACCCACAGATCAGTACGGTAGTGGAACACCAGCCCTCCCAACAGCGCTCCACACATAAGATGTCATTTTCCAATCCTCCAGCCGTCACTGGCCCCAGACCTCCACGTTCATCTTCTGTCGCTGACCATAAGAATGAGTCGATTAGACCTGCGACAGCAGCTACCCCTGGTCTCGCAGCTACTTCCAGTCAGCCGCATGCGGCCCCATCACTTGCTCACAAGACGAACTCGAGTCCACCTAAGATTGCGTCGGCTTACGGATCTCTCCCTTCTGGATATCCAACCCCTACGACCTCACAAACTCACCTCGTCTCTGGAACCCATGGTAGTAACACGACAGCAACCCAAAGATCACCATCCACGCCTCCTACCCACTAGTTTACAGACGATGATGATGGCATCAAAACGGCGGCGCGAACACTTTTACCGTGTTCAACACCTCAGACACCACTCCCCCACTCAACTCTTTCTCAAACTCACCATACGATCCTCCCTATCAGCAATGGGACAGCGGAGGCCGCGCCGTAGGATATGCCCCAGACCCACGCATACACGCGCCTCAACACAAGAAACCTGAGAGCCCATTCCCCAGTGATCTGACACCCACACTGGGAACCAATTTCCTTCGCCAAGAAAGCACGGATACCGCAGGATGGGAGCTACAGGCTAACGCGGTGCAGGGCCAGAGTTACAGGTTGAGCGCGATCGCACCTGAGCCATTACGGAATCCGTACGGGGGTGATGGTGAGATGGATTCCGAGTCAATTGTTCCGTCGTATCCGCCTCCTGCTGCGCCGCCGCCTGGTGCTGGATATGTCTTCAGTGCTCCGGGGCATAGTTTTGCGGGAGGGAGTTCGCCGCCTTTGCCTGGTTATATGACGTGGCAGTAGTTTGTTTGCGGTGGTAAGGAGGCTTGTATGGACATTTTTATCATTGGGCTGGTAAATCTGCCGTTGAAATGTCCCCACATCCTGGTGTTCCTACCCCCCTTCATCTGTTTATGATCCTGATGTTCCGGAAGGAACGATTAGTCCTGCGCCGTAAGCATGCGTTTAGTAACAGTTGTCAACACTTATTAAAACATATGTCTTTAGCCCTGCTATGCCTGAGGTCGCAGAAAATGGACACGCTGCAAGGGAGTTGAGCACGCAAGATATGTTTATCAAGGACGTGTTTCTGGTTTTCCGAGCCTTGTGCAAATTCACAATGAAGCCTTTGAACACGGATAGGTATGATTTTACTTGCTTCATCAGGCGCGACGATACTGATTCCCAGCACAGCGAGCGTGATCTCAAACCTCATGCCATGAGGTCTAAACTCTTGTCTCTCCATCTCGTACTCATCATCCTCAATTCGCATACGGCACTATTCGTTGATTCGAACACCATAATTTACTCTTCTTCCACGAACGAGGCAGCTACTTTTGTTCAGGGGGTCAATCAATATCTTTGCCTCAGCTTGAGCCACGACGCAGCTACCCCCGTGCCCCAAGTGTTCGAAGTCAACGTGGAGATCTTTGGGCGAGTGTTATCAGGAATGCGAATGAAGCTGAAGGTACAATCATCATCCATGAACTGCTCTTGGCTCATTCGTTTCTGCAAACAGAAAAACACTATGACGCCTTATCCTTCGTTAGATAGGTTGATTGCTTCTGCTGCAAGCACGGAAGCCCTTCAGCAATCAACTCCGGACACTGCAGACGATCCCTCCAGGTTTGAGAGCGCAGAGCAAAAACAAGACTAACTGCGACAGTTCCTGCCTCCGCTACCACAACAAGTCTCAACCCGCTTCTCACCCTTGCTCGACCAGGCTGGCATTGACGACACCGTGATGACAATGGCAAGACACGCAATGCAAGGATGTGGCAAAGGTAAAAGATGACATCCAAACCCTGCAAGGTGCGTACTCCCTCTCTGTTTCTGTGCCTCTTCACCAACATCACTATAGATTCGCGTTCCTTGGCTATCTGGGATACCAAGGCAGACATGAAGAAGGCTGCACGCGACCCGAAT